GGGGGGGGGGAGATGATGGGGAAATAAATGGCACGAATAATTTTAGATTTTTCTTTTTTCATATCACACACAATAAATTACCGAAAGACCCATTGAACGGGTTCAGCATCCTTTTTATTATCGAACGCCTAATATTTCGAGTGACGCGCGAGGAATATCGCACCTCAAGCGAATTTCGTGCAAGTACCTCGACCTCCAGGCCTGTTTGGAAACACGTGGACGGCGACCGTTGCCAAATTTCATTGCGGATGAGTCACACGAGCGTAATCGCAAGTGGGAGGAGGATACGTGCGAGATACGGCAACGTCGGTGGCTCCGCGGGCTGCACTCTGGAGATTTTTGCGCGGCATTAGAAATAGTTTGGCCATGAGACCATCGGTGCTACGACGTCGAGAGAGGCCGCCGACCGACTCGAGGCCGTCGCACACGAGGCTTTCTAACTTACCAAGCCCGGCGACGCGGATATGACGTAGCTCCAAGTCACTCCGCCTCCGAAGACCCCGTCGGTGGCATCGCGAGCTTTGCCGAATCCTGGACGCTTATATGCTTGGCAGTGGTCTCTCAGTGTCGGGCGTAACCGAACGCGCACCATTGCGCGCTGTGTAGGTTATGAAATTCGATTTCCTGCTTTCTTACGCCGACGAATGACACCCCGAAAGGAGTTCGATATGGTCCCACGGGAGCGCCAGGCCCTTTTCTTGTAGTTCCTGGAAGCGACGCTGGCGTTGCTGTCGCCGATGTCAGCGCCCCAAACGGTCGGAATGCCGAACGCAGACCACCGTCCACTTTTTATTGTCAGTTATGCCGACCGCCAAGCCAAAGGGAGGCTACGCGCGGCAGGCTCTCCCGAGTATATAAGAGGGGTCGTTATTTTATTTTTCGGCAAAATGGTAAACACCTTGCTCTCGGAGACGTTGCCGCGACCATGCCGCCCTCTCCTTTAACTGTCCGCGTACATATATAGCTGCGCGCAGATAAATCGTACGGCGATTCTCGGAAAGGCCGCAGGTAGACACCGGGATAACATCCCAAATGTTATTGTACTCTCGATTCTTACTTTTCGGTTCGACCTGAACAACAATAAAATTGACTGAATCGCAAGCTCAGCCAGGTATCCACTCTTTATTCTGTCACCTCCAAATCGTAATAAGTTGGACTCTGATCTCTTTAGCGAAATCATAAGAATATACATTACATGGCATAATTGAGTCATACTAATTGAAACTTTAATACTCATCAAACTAGGGATGGTCACGCCCTCGTATCTTAGTGAAAAATAAAAATCAAAAACTTACAAATGCCACGGGTTAACAACTTCAATACCGTCAGTCAGTCACCCTCTATCCGGCCGGCTGGGCCTTGTACACGGGGGACCGGTCTTACGTTTGAGCAGACAGTTGGCCGCCTGGTTCTTGGTTGCATTTGCCCGTCCAGGTTCGCTCTAACGCACCCTATCTTCAGCATCTGCCTTATACGTGGCCGGGGCTCTGCGTGCGAACCCGTATATCGCGGTGGTTTACAGGCGCGCGTACCACCTCATGATCCGCGGATCGTCCTAGCCACCTGCCCCTTCGTTTCCTTCCAGTGAAGACACCTTGCCCAACCTAACCTAACCACACCAATAGGACCCAGCTACGCGAACCATTTTCGGACCCCTGCGCACATCCTGGGCCCTTCTGGAGTCATCTAGTCGCATCCCTGGCCGAGGCTCACTGTCGGTAGACCCATCGGGTCTGAAAAAATCCAACCTAATGGAATCCATCTCATTCAGCAGAGTTTTACCATAAATCGCATGACAAGCCTTTGGTTACGCTATAAACGGAAATTTTCTGGTGTTGCTGCCCGATATAACTATACTCATTGTCCATAATCATATAACCAGGTACCACCGGGTACACCCTGCAGACCCAACTCGATAGCACCTAGACGAATGTAAAAGTAATAATGAGACTCTAGACTGATAATCTTCGTTACACTTGATGGTACATTTCTCGGTATCCTCATTATGAACTATTCCCGTCTCGGTACAAGTGAGAGGTTACGGTACGCTTCGGTGTAACCAGTAATAGTACTGGGTAAGGGGCCACCCCTGGATATCCATGGAATTTCATGGTGTAAGCAAGAGCCCAAGTAGCGTACACTATATACCTCTTTGGTTCTCCGTGGCATGTTCAACGCGACCGCGGGATAAAAATAAACGCTGGAGCACAAGACATCCACAAATTTATCAAATTCGCTCTCTCTCTCTCTCTCTTCGTCTCTACATCCGTACTTGCCTGCACGTGTCTGTCCCGCGCATATACGGATTGCGTGAGCAATTCCATGCGAGCCCGAGTACACAGGCACTTTCCCGGGAGTCGCGACGTAATAGTTTTGCGGTGAATGAAACAAAAGTGTAGTAGGATCACGACCGTACCCTGTGGGGTCACGTCATTCCGCTCTTTCCTCTAGTCACACACTCGGCTCGTACAATCTCGGCTCTCTCCCTTCCTTTTCCCTCCTTCACGCTTACCGACTATCACGTACTGTTCTCGCCGTGCTCTCTACCTAAGTTATAAAACGCTCCTCCTACTGTTGATCCTCCCTCAGTCATTTTACACATGCCAGATCACGCTCGCCTTACAATGCGCCACGGTACAGTGCGTACGCGTACGCGTACAACGCGAGGCCAACCTCGCTAACAGGCTAACGATCCTGACTTTGTGATTTCATCGTGCACGCCATTTGCGATTCGCCGAGGAACGCCGAGTCTGATATCATGCAGTCCAGGTATCGTCGTCGGACGTAATTCTGAGATCGACGGTATACACGTTAATCGGCCTTTAGGGTTTTGCGATTTAAGTCGTAGCCAAAGGACTCTTGTTGCCACCGACTAACCTTTCAGCAGGAAGCGTTCACGCTCCAATGAACGATCTCCTGCTGTCGCGACTTCTTTTTGACGGTATTATTATATTAGTATTATATATATAGATATATGTGTGTGTGTGTATCACTAGGCGGCCCTAGTCCCAAGCACTGATTTGAAGGTCGTCATGGAATTGTATCGTTTTTACTTACCAAGGACGTATCTAAAGACCGGCCTTTGTGTCGCCGATTGTTTGCAGAGGTGGGAGCAGCTGGTCGTCTCGAAGCTTAAGTGGGAATTGTCGGCTGTCACACCAGGTGATTTCCTTCTGCACATCCTGAGGCGTCTGCCGGTGGATCCTCGTGCTTTGGATTTCCTCATGGTACGGAGACACGCACAGACCTTCATCGCTCTCAGTGCCAGAGGTGAGACATTGCATATATCTTAGTTCGATTATTTACTTTTGCTCTCGTTGCCGCCGTGCTAAGATGTAGATATTTTTTACGCTACTTTTTCTGACCGTCTTACGCTCTACGAGCTTCGTGCGCTCTCGGGTGGACTCGTAACTCGCCGTGAAATCCGCGTACGGTTTGCCCTTCTTTGTCGACCGGGTGAGTCTTAGTTGATTCCGCGAAACGTCCAGAGATGGCGCACCGAGCGCCGTCATTCGAGAAACTCGGAGACGTTCGCGGCGGCGGGTCTCGTGGCTATTAAGGGTTTAAAGATTGTCGTGTTTAAATGCCACGTCGTCCACGGCGCATACGACGTGTACCCGCGTCCTACGTGGCCGGTTGTTATTACAGTCGTGGTGGCAAAAACCCTGCAAGGACTTTCGCAGGCCGACCGGACGGGTTCGTGGTCCGCGATGCATCGAGATTGTTTCTCACGGGCCAAACTAGGCAGTGGACGCCGTGCCGGCTAAAGCAAACGGCGAAGGCCATCTTGTTACCCTGTTGCCACGCTGACCAATTCCATGGAGTCAATGAGCATTAGATTTTACAAAGGGTATTGGACGTTGATACGTTTCTCCGATGGCTGATCGATTGGAGTTCAGTGATATTTAGGGGGACTCTTGTTTGTTACATTTTGTTAATATATCGATACTTCCTGCAAGACTCGTTGCATGACTTTTACGTAATATTCGAATTTCATTAACATGCCCTTGACTTAATTCTCAAGCAATTTTGCACGTGGCATAGGTCATGGTCATCTACCGAGTGGCCTTGTTGCCACACTGGTCAATCTCATCTGTCAATGTATCAAGTAGACAGTAGACGTTATAGGCTGGACACAAATTAGAAATATAACTGTAAATTATCGTATAAAGTAGATGATGCTTAGAACGGTTCAAGGATCGTCGGTAAAACTGAATTTTATTCTGTTAGGGTGAACTTCGTTAGTCGTTATAGTAGACTTCAGTACCGGATCTTGTCGTTTGTAATTTATGCAAACGACAAAACTTTCAAGATAGACCTGCTTTACGAGACTTTGTATTTCAAACAGAGTTCAGCCGAGATAAATTAATCACTGCGTCAAGAATAAAGTGAAATTAGCCAGGCGGTCCTGGAACCTAGCCAAACTTGACATCATTATAAAGAGTGAATTATCAGAGATACGCATGAAAATTTCGAAACTCAGAATTAAGAAATTTACCGAACTCTCATCCAGAGTTCATTCTCATAAGCTCCGGGTATCGCCTTGTTACCTTTTCTATGATTTAGTTAACGGCGTCTGGCACAGATGTCACCCCGACGAAATTCCCATGCGGTTGGCTACCTAAAATGCTCGAGGTCAATCTAGCTGCGCAATAGACATCGAGTGGCCCGTGACTATTATCAAAAGAGGGAGCACGTCAGACAGTGAAGGTCACGAATTAAATGGCAAGACCCAAGTAGCGGTCGAAGTATACATAACTCCATATTGCCCTCGACGACTGGGTCCCGCATTCTCACGGCCCAACCTAACCTAAAAGCCCCGGCAGCACCATTGTCTAATTCCATCGGTAGGGTCCGAAAGCAAAGCGTTTCTCGAGTGCCCTTCCGAGATGCGATCTTCCTCGCGGATTAACGAGCCCCCCACAAACGAAATAATATGTGCATTTGTAATTGGGGCCCTGTACCCCGGGGCCCGATTGTATCGTCGAGGAGCGAGTATTGTTCTCTGGCCCTTCCTTTTCTATCGGGCTTAACCCTTTTTTCCACCCTACTTCTTCCTTTTCATTCCTTTGTACCTCTTCCACCTCAGTTCCCAAACTGACCACAACGTCTGACCATGTCGGTATGTCTACTATGTCTACTACGGTTCATTCTCGATTGTGCTGGTGCATCCCTGCTTAACTGCCTGATACCAGGGGGTCAGCCATCTTCTAAATCCTCATCCACCCCAGTAGTAATATTGTTCAATTATAGTATACGCGGGGTACGGCTCTTATGTCTGATCTATTTCGTGGGGGACCCTGAGTGAGCTCTGGAATTCGCGAGGCGATCGTGTTACGTGCCTTTCTTGATGCAGGCCGATATATACCTTAGGGACGGCAGGGTTGGTCGTTGTAGTTGCGTTATAACTGTTATTACGCGACCCAACCTGACCTCCGTGAGATTCTACAGACGAATCGATCACTAGCACAGTCCTCGCTTTGCCACTAAAAACGAACTAAAAGATTTACATCTCGCCACCTACGTAGAATTACATTCCAGGGATGCGCGCGCACAGTCCTTTGCGTTCAGGGTCGCGCATGCGCGCAACCGGACAATCGTGGTTGTTACCTAGAAAAAGTGTTAAAAATAGAGGAACAATTGTTTGTCTTTGATTAAAAATTCTTTTCTTTTTTTTTCATCATGTTTATTTTTTTCTTTTACTTTTGCAGAATACAAATTTTCCATGTACACACCGAGCATGATCGCGGCGGCGAGCGTCGCGGCGGCTTTACACGGTCTGGATTGGACGGGAAAGAGCGGATACGGATTAGCCGGTCTTCTCGACGAGTTGACTCGCATCACGGCCATCGAGCAGGTAATTCACCCATTTTATCTTTTATCTAGGCTCGGTCGGTAAGGCAGTTGCTATTGACGTTGAAGAAGACGCGCGCTGTTACCAAACGTTTTTTCGTTCCCCTTTTTTTATACTCGTCTGGCACTGTCCTTTATGTCGTTCCCTTGACTCGGATACCGGTGTCTAATGTCCTCCGAGAGACTGTTCGAGGCGAAGCACCATTCATGAACGCCACTAAACAGATGGACGGACGCTGAAAAAGTTCCACGGGAAGCTGAGAAACAGGTGCCGGGCATATGTCTTCCGCAAAAACTCTTCTTCCACCGTCTTCCCTTTTTTAAACCCCCTTTGTCCTTTATTAACGAACGCGTCGCGCCCTCCCCAGCGCCATCTCGCGTTCTCCTTTGGTGTATAAATAAGCAGCTGAATGGCCTCGGCATGGGGCCCCCCGAGGGGCCCACTGTAAAAAGTTCAAATTCGCCACAATACATGTATGTGTGTCTCCAGGATGACAGGAAGTGTCCCTTAGGGTTTCGCCGAAACCCATTAACATTGTATCATTCGCAGTGCCTCTGTATCCCGTCAGATGTCTCTGCCTGACACTCGTTACAATCACCCAGTTAATATCCGAACGTTTCCTGTCTGCCGTAGACATTGTGCACGTCGAATCCTTCTTTTATATAACGTATAAACCAATGAATACTTTTTATCAGGCGTTTAACGATACTTTGCTCTCTTACAGGATTACCTACAAGGCTGTCTGGAGCAGATCGAAGAGATGGTCGCGCAAGCTCGCGGCAGCGGCCACCAGGTGGCTACGGCGGGTTCCGCCAGTGCACCGCAGAGGCCGCTGGGGGACCAGAACACGAGCCAGGAGAAAATTCTGGAACACGAGAAGGCGGGGACGCCGACCGACGTGAGGGATGTCCACTTCTGAGCGCCACGACATCAGGCTGTAATAATGACGCCGAGAACGGGAAAACGGATGTCCCGCCGACGACCAAGGACTAGACGTCTCTAAGATCAAGGAGGACGCCTGGACTAGTCCATCGTGGGAGGTTATTGTAAACGTGAATGCAACGCGACGCCTCGAGAGTAAATAGAAAACGAAAAAAAATTAAAAATTCATTATTAATAACAGCAAGAACAGCAACAACAACAATGAAGAAAAAAAGAATTACGAAGATGTGTGCCGAGTTTACGGGAGAGAAGTGTCAGATTTTCCACTTTCTGCCTCGTCACGGGATTAAACTTCTGCGGCTCGTGCTTTCGGCCAGGAGTCCTTGCCGTTCGTACGCGTTGGTTATCAATAACAAATTAGAGGTTGGTCCTCTGGCCAGAAATTACAGTTGCAGGAGTGTCGCGCATGCGCACGGATCCACTTTTGTGGTCACGACCGTGACCCGGACCCACCCGGATCGTAGATCGGCACGTGAAGTCGAGGGAGGCGTGCTGGGGGAAGGCAATGCAATACGCTTTTGAACGCATTACGATTATATAATTAAGATAAGGGAACTTAACTTTTAGCCGAAACAAAAAAAAAACGTAGGTCGTTGTCTACGCTACTACTATTACTGTAACTATACTACTATCACCACTATCACAACCGCTACTACTATAACTACTCAAACACTATTGCTTACTATTTCTGCTGTTACACTACGGTTACACACTACTATTACTACTACTGCTATCACCGTCACTGCCACCGCGTTACACAGTCATTCTACACCGCACGACATATACAATGCATAACACTGCACTCACTACTGTTACTATGATTTTTTTCTTCTTATTTTTTTATTTTTTCCTTTTCGCCCCTCGAAAATGGGAGAACTAGAGCCCCGGAGGTTAACACAGGCTCCGCGCTAAACACAAATAAAAAAAAATGCATATAGTCATATCGAGTCATTTAGCGTTTTGTAAATATGGAATGAATGCGTGTAACGAAGAGAGGGGGGAAGAGAAGAGAATGCGTGTATGAGTAGATATGGGGGAAAATGTAAGAAAAATTGAGCGAAAGAGTAAAAAAAGTTTGAAAGCGATAAGGGTAGGGGCGTATGCTGTTACGTGGAAGCAACGAATGGGTAGTTATATATATATATATATATATATATATATATATATATATATTATATTATATTATATATGTCGCGTATTAACTGCTAATCATTTACCTGTACGAGCAAAGGATTTACGTTTTTTTTTTTCATTTTTAATTTGTGGGTCGGCAGCCAATGCGCTTCTTCTATTCCAGTTCGGTTCCTAGAGCGTCAGCCAGTGCCCATATGTAATAAGTAATATTTTGTGTTTTCATTTCGACAGTTTTTCCTTTTCCCCTTTTGATTTTTTTTTTAATGACAACGCGTTATACTTGGTTTTCAATATTTCGGAAGGGACACGCGAGAGTTCGGATAGTTTTATTTTATTTTTTTTTCTTTCATCCGAGCACAAAAAAGCAAAAAAGCCTGAAGGCGCAAAAGTGCGTGAGTGAGATGCCTTCTGTAAAGAATGGTGCAAAGAGTGAAATTCGGTGCGAGAGAGATAGAGAGAACGGGAACGAGAGTGTGGTTTCGTATGTGTGTATACAAAATTGGATTTTGTTTTGATATCGTGTACATAATCAACAAGAAAAAAAAACACAATAGTCTAGTAAGATCGTGGGTAAGAATTATTTCGTTAGGTTTTTCGCGGTCACCCGCGTGCTATGGGTAACCGCGAGGATTGTGTAAAATAGGCCGATCGTGCGACAAATTATAGCGAGAAGACTGTGCCTGATAAGAAACAAAAAAAGATATGAAGACAAGAAAGGAGGAAAATCAGTAAAAACGAGAGCGAAGGTACCTTGAAAGCTGGCAGTACTTAATTAGGGAGACTCGAGAGGGAACGATATAGCGACACGCCCACTTTTTCTGTTAGAAAAACGAGACCACGCCCCATTTCCCGTTTAAACATTCATTATACGCTCGATGCCCCACCCACAAGTTTACTCAATCTTACAAGCACCTCCCACTGTACTGTTAAGCCACGCCCTAAATATTTTCAGGCATCATATAATTCTGGTACTTCGATTCAGGCAATAATTTAGCCCGAACTTTCCTTTTTTTGCATGTCTCTCGCTCGAGTCTCTCTATACTTAAATGAGCCCAGTGCCACAAGCAAACTAGTTAGTTCATACTGTCATAACCAAATGTAGTACAACCTAGAGAAAGAAAGCGAGTATAATATAATAGTTAAAGAGAATCGCGCGGGTAACGAATAAGAATGGCGATTGTGTAAGCGACGGGATACACAAGGGGAGAAAACGAACACGTGAAAAAATAAAAAAAATGTGAAAAAAAAGTAGAGCGAGGAAAATAGACGAGCGAAAGAGTATGAAGCATTTTTAACATAGCGTTATACCGTATGACTATGTATATCATGGGATGGTTCACGGAAAGTCCTACGGAGCGCGGGAAACATAAGAAAGTTTGAAATTGTCAATCTATCACGTGACCATCCCGTGTAAGCACTGAATAGCATTTAGATCCATAGGCCATGATGACCGCGAAGAACCTAAGCCAAGCTCGACGTCGTATAATAATTTTGGGGTAAAAAGCCGTGAAAATGGGTAGCCGTTTTATTAATAGAAACCCATTATTTTCTTTTTGTACATTTTTAGTAATCTATCTTAAACCTTTAATCGCCTGTCTTGTCGCTCCTTTTTTTTTCTCGATGACGTTGTCGACCCTGGTTTTTTGTTTTCATGGTTCAAGATTCCACGTATGAATGAAGTATCATTTAAGGATATGGAAGAGATCTTTAATGCGTCGATTTTTTTTTTTTTTAAATGCGGCGCCTTATATAAAGAAAGGAACGTTACGTCAGTATGTCGTGTCGCTAGATAATTTTGCTGTCGTTCTTCACAGCATGGACCACTCTATACATATTATAAATACATTAATAACAATATACCCACGAATGTACATCTATCACGTAACGGAGAGTCCATTACTGCCAGATACTTTGTATAATAGCAAATGTGCGTAACGAATGTGTATTTTGATGCCTGCATTTAGAGACGACGTAATTACTCAGATTCGCTGTGGCGCCTTACCGTACCTTGATTTGAAATTGGCCACGGGATGGCAGCAGGCGTGCGTTGGCAAGGTAGATATCTCGTATTTGATACGCAGCGACATATGTAGTACGAGAGAGAGAGAGAGAGAGAGAGAGAGAGAGAGAGAGAGAGAGTGTGTGTGTGTGTGACAGAAGAATGAGCGATGCTGGAGTATCAAATGAATGGCTCAAATGAATTAAGAGGGTTAAAAGAGGGTCCAGTGTCTCTCTCGGTAGGGTCTAAAGCAAATATGCCCATTCTCCTAGGCCAAATCGTGGTCCAAAAAAAAATTTAATTTGCGTTGGATAAAATAACGCGTCATGTATTTTCAAATGGATAATTTTACTTCACTCTTTATTTTTGTTTCCCGTAAAAAATCTGTACCTTTACTATTTTCTTTGTTTAAATACACAAAAAAAGAAATTCTAAGAGATACGCAACAGACGCTTGGCTGATGCTCCGTATAAAGCGATGTATAAGAATTTAATTTGTAGGAATATCAGCTTTTTGTTGTATCTAAAGATACCCATAACTCCATGGTCTATGGTAAAATGAAAATACCGTGACGCAAATTTATTTGTTTCCTTCTTTCGCTCTTTTCTTCGTTCGTTTCTTTTCTTTTTTAATTTAACTTACTACTAAGGATTTTTTAATGGTTATTCGCAACTTGTACTATGTAAATGTTCAGCACCTTTGTACATATCTTGCGCGTTTGTACGGCGCAGAGTCGATTGAGAAATAAAGTATTGGTATTTTATACAATTCTCATTGTCATTTATTTATTTCTGGCATCCGTGACCCCGTAGCCAGTATAAAATTTACTTTTCGATTATTCTCATTCTTCTGATGTTAAAAGTACCCCCGCTTCAGTAGAAGAACGAAAACTAGTAAATTGATTCTGCGCATGCGCCGACTCCCCACTCCGTGCCGCTCGTCCAGCTCACAATCAGTCCAGCTGCTTCTGCCGAACAGCTCCACGGTTTATTGTCGCTCATGACACAGGCACGTGAGGTAGTCGTAACTTTTGAACGGATAGGGCTTGTAGTTCCAAGTCAAGACACAGTGAGCAGATCAGAACAGAAGTGGGTTTAGGATTATAACTATAGTCACTCAAGGGATTTAGTATTTCTTGTATATAAATTAAATTTAACATTAATCATTTTTGGATCTTCAATTAATTTATGTATGCAAGATAGTCAGAAACTGTTTGGGTCTTCTCACAATGACATACGAGGCTGTTACTCATTCCCTATACTGCTCAGTGTTACGGTGGCTGTGCCGCAAGTGTTATGAGCACAAGGCGTAACCAGGGGCACAGGTATCATCGTCATTTTTACATGTTCTTATTAAATCCTAGATCTCTTGCTTCTTTCGCTCATTGCACAGCTGCCGTATCGCTCACGTCACTCGACCACTCAACGAGCAACTCCAATCTTGAGCGAGACCGGTAGTTCCAGGCAGCAATGAATCTTGAATTTGAGTTATGTAACCTCATGTCACGACTGACCACATTCCTATTCCACTCAGGCCATCTCAGCTCTGCTGCTAACTGCACTGCTCACGATTACGATCAAGGCCTGGCGACTCGGTTACTAGTTTAGTCTTACATTATGATATATTACGATTAATGTAAAACTGGAATTACCTACTAATTACAGTGTTACACCACTCGCCGATAACATACTGTAAAACAAACTCGAGGTCCATTATCCTTACCTCTTCACGATGTCGTCCGGACTTGATCTTAGCTCACTGTATGGCTCAATAACGTAAACGACACTAAGCCGTAGAGTGAAGCATTGTGAGTGAGTACAGTGGCACAGTGAGATAACCCCAGCAGCTAGTCTACAACAGATGCTTAACGTGCCATTGAAAAATATATTTAATATCAGGTAATACTTTTGTTGTACATACAGCTTCTTTGTTTCATTAGACTAATTCTTTGTATCACGTTAAACTTCCTTTGTAGAGTAGCGAATGGGAACGAGGTCAGTTATGACAAGTCTGCATAACTGAAACTCAGGATTCCAGTCGCCCTGACTAACCTCACGGTGCCGCTCAAACTTGGACATACTCACCGAGTAGTGTGCCGCTCCGTAAACGACACGTACCGTCCCGCGCTGTGAGCGACAATGAGCCGAGTCGCTTGGTGGTGCTGGACTAATACCGCGTGGGCAGAGTGGGGGAACTCTGACGGCGCAAAAGCGAACTAGAAGGATATTCGAATGGTGACTTTTCACCTTCGTCCGTTGTCTTTTCTTTCGGCTGTATGAAAGTGTATAGGTTAAATGTGCAAGGGAAAAAGATTGATAATTGTTTTACACACGTATATTCACTTTTAATTGTTGTTTATTTCACTGTACAATTCTTCTCCTTCTAGCAGGCTTCTTCTATATCGTATATACATATATTCGTCAAATTGAATTCCTTCTTGTAAAAGTATCTAAGCGCCAATATGCGTACGCTCTCTTATTGAGATTACTTTGCTCGTATTTACAGAGAGTATTTTTATCGGTGCACATGGCAACTCTGCAGTGTTCGCTAGTGCAGTGTGACCTTTGTTGTAATTATGCAATTGAAAGTGCAACGGAACAATGCAGTTTATCCATGTGCGAAAAAAATGAGTATTTTGCTTGACGACGAGTCTCCCACCTCCTTTATCCGTAATAGACAAATTCAGCTATTCGATTAAAAATTATTATTAACAATTGACGAGGTGTCAGCAAAGTGCCACTGAGAGATGTATGATACATTCAACGAACTTGAAAAAAATTGACAATTTGATAAATTATTAAAAAAAGAATTGTTCCTATCATAAAGAAAATGCATTGCGGCCACAAATTTGAAAATTCGTCACTTGTGATATTACATTTATTATCTTGGAGGTTTTCCAATGCATTTTTTTTCAGAGTGATCATTACGTCATAAAGTTGATTGAAGGTATGACAATCGAAAATTTCTTACATTTTTGTTTGCAAGTTACACTGTTTTGGCAAGAATCACGTGGTCTTCTCAAATTATATTCTCGTCTATCCTTTACATGTTTATCAGGTATGTTATAAGAGTCCTGTACCTAATATTAGATTGTTATAATAATTGAACAATTTGAGAAAAAAAATTACTTTTTCAAGAGTCGAGGATATTTCTGAGAATATTGTGCACACGGACGTGTTTCTGGTATATGTATGTACAACACAACAATAATGATAATAGTAGTATATCGATTTACAATCATCCACATATGCATATAGACGTCGCATCATTAACTTAATTACGTTATTACAGATGGTTTGATCATATATTACATACATCATGATTGATTTTACAATGGATTCGACTGGAACGTGCAAGGATAAATGTAAAAGAATAAAATAGAAATAGAGATGAGACATAGAAGGGAGGAGGAAATTTGAAGATTGAAAAAAGACACTTTCTTTAAAGATTCATTATAGTTTCCATGACTACTGACGATTTCTCAATTTTGAACGGAGGCAGCAGAGAGGCTTCTTAATGAGTGTTCAAAAAATTACTTTATGGAATATGGAATTTAATTAAAGCTACCTTGACTAGTTTATTTATTATGAAGAATATTTGCTTTTAGGATAGTATAATTAATAAGTGTAAGAGAGTCACATTTGTTCTGTGTTGTCATCAAAGTAAACAGAGAAATTTTGAGAAATCGTTCGAATAAGAACTAAACGCAATTTTAATTTGGCAATTGATTATTAGTTATCAGTAATTTGTCAATTTTATCATTAATCGCATTAATCCTCATTCACTTTCATCAGGTGAAACCAAAATACAATCACTCATCTCATTGTATTTGTTTAAATTTGTCTACCTATATCGATGCATTAGTATGCTATATAATATATATACAGGAAATACCACATCATCCAGATGACGGTGTACAACCTTTACATATGCTATCTATGGATAATTAATCAATGAATAATTTCAATAATAATGAGTCAATAATTGATTATAAAGAAAAAATCGCGAGAACGTTAATGGATTAACTCTGTCATGGTATAGATTCTCTCTTTTTCCTTAATCCTCATTTGATGGATATTCTGCGGAATTCATGCTAATCTGAACGACAACACATCGATCGCTTATTAATATCTTTGGTACAAGTTTACTCTAGGATTTGCCACTCGAGATGGATTGATCGAAGTAAATGATTCATCGATCAATCTGATTGGCTTCAATAGATTAACCATTCCGAAGAGAAAATAAACAAATATCACACTGGTCAGCATTCGCTGAATACATTTCCCTTCTTTTCTCTTTCTTATATATATCTGAATATCTAACCTTTATTATTCTCCTGGATCTTCAGTATTTACGTGTATCTCTCTTTGCTTTTATTTTCCTCCGCAGCTCGAGTGTGGGAAAAGCTCACTCATTTAAAAATTTTTAAAAAAAGTCCAGAGAGATTCGGTGCACCTTGGTTGTCATCTTAAAATTTTATACAATTTATTACCAGTCGTTGAGCCTCAAAAAGATGGTGGACTGCACTTTCAATAATTCTCTCTGGATGAGTTCTGCGTTTCACGCAAAATCTGCATAATCAAAAACTTCAAATAGAGAGTAAACGAAATTTGTATTTTACATCAGAAAATGAAATAAAAATCCGTATAACTCACCTTCTAATAAAAAAGGAATGTTTCCCTGGTCGAGACTACTCAGCATATGCTAGAGATTCCGTGTGTAAGACTCTTTTCCAAAACGATATGAAATTCTCCCAGTGGTTCCAAAATGTGAATCAAAAAACTAAGAAGCGTTGGACTTCGCAGAAACGATGTTTCTTCGTACATGTCAGCCGTAGAACGGGCTTCACTCATTGGCAGTAGCATCGGGTGAAGCAGTTTCTCCCTATTAATTGATTTATATTTTTAAGGCATATGAATATTCCTTCTTTCTCAGTAAGTATCATACTTTATTTACCTTGCTGCCAAACAGACAAACAGCTGAAACTTGCCATCCTTGCCAAGAGTCTGACTAGATGCATTAATCTGATCTATGAGATGAGAATAACATCGAAGTATAGCAAAACGTCGATTACTCTCTGAGTGTATCCTTCGATCCCGATTGAGCCTCTGGGAATATTCGTCCATTTCCTCTAACAAGGAAATCTCAAAGTTCTCCTTGACTCTCACTGAAAAAAATTCAAGCAATGATATCGGGGTACGCTTGCCAAAATAAAGTAAACCATCGTGCCAATCTTATTTTTTCGCGTCTTACCAAGATAATCCCATACGTAAAAGTTTCTGCCAAATATCCTCTGATTTTTAAAGCCAAATAAAAATGTCTGTTCCAAAGAAGGAACCAGGCCACCTTCTCCGCAGAGCAATGCGGTCAAGGAGCTGTCTTGCGATTCACGACGATAATGGAATTTTACGATAGCATTAACTGCTTCTCCTAGAACACAAAAAGATATAAAAATTATAGAATATAACAAAATACATTATTATATCTATAACAAGTCGGTCAAAAGCATTAATAAATCCTTGTTTATCCTACCCAGCATATATTGCAGTTCACCCTGGGACAAGGTTGGTCTTCGGGGAATACTTGGAGAACGACAACGTGGTGGTGTAGAACACGATTCCACGAGTTCATCGCTATCGATGCTCCTGGGAACTAGAGCACCAACCAATAATCTTTCAGTGGAGCCATCATCGATTCCTCTGCCGAGCCAACGACCACAGGGAAATTTAAAGGTATGTCCAGTCACTTCGTTTCGTACCACAACATGCTCTACCATCCATTTTGGCGAAAGCCCAGTATTATCATGACCGATTCTAAGGGTCGATAGTACCCCAAGATTCTTGTGCTGTAAGAAAAAGGAAAGAATAAGATTAAGTCATAAATAGTAATAGTATATAAAGAATGAAAAATTATATACTTACATGAAAAACAAATTCTAACGTTCCTTTAGGAATGGGCACAGGGTTAGTTTCGCAGAGAGTACCGGAAATGGCGACCCAACTGTTGGCGGAAGTGGTTGCTGCGCTTGCTTTGCGACTCGGAAAAATGACAACTCGATAAGGTAATTTAGTCGTTGGATAATTATTTGTGAAGCAGAAATAATCGACAGCGTTTAACGTTAACAGATGATAAAGAAATTGTTCCTTTTCCTCCTCGCAGCGAAGAAACGCAGTTCTTTTGTATTGGCCCCTGGAACAAAAAAAAAATATATAAATATACTGCTCCGTTTTAAACAAACAAATGTGTAACATTTTTTATTTTGTCTTTTTTTAAATACCTTAGTAAACTAGAGTCGGAGAGCAGAGTTTTCAAGTGTCGCGACAAGAGCTTCTTCTCCAGAGCTAATCGCACCCAAGCTCTTGCGTATCCAATGTGAGTTTTGATGTCGGTCATGGCTTGAACGTTGCGAATGTCGAAGATCAGCGTATCCGGAAGTGGCCTCAGGTGTTCAGGGCCTATGGACTTCCGTTCCCCGGGAGATTTGTGACGTTCCCGTCCTCTTGTTGGAGACACTTCCGTTTCCAGGGCTAAATTGGACAAATCTGCCCAAAACAATTATTGAACGATTTAGATACTTGACGTAAGACACTTCAAACTAAGCATGCTACATGCGTCAATTCGATGTGTGCATAAAATAATTTGGTTGAAAAAAAAATCAATGTAAAATAAATGTTTATATTCGTGTTGTTCTACCTATACGAATAAACATATAAAATCTTACAAAACGTATAAACAATGTATTAACACAACATGCCACACACTCAAGTATTTATTACATACAAAAATTAGTGTATATCAAAAACCCAAAATGTTAAAAGAGAAAACAAGAAATAAACTCAACATTCTTCAGGGCAAGCCGAAAACCGACTGGCTTACCGTTGAAATTCTCCTTGATATAGGAAGCGATTTCGAAAATGTTTCTGCTCTTAAACGATGAGACCAATCTTTCCGGTAATCCGAAAAACTTATTCGACACCTTCTTGGCTATACCGGTAGAAAAAAAAAAAAAAAGAAACTAAAGAGAACTAATAAACAAAACAAATTAAATTACGACTCAATTAGTTTCAAGGGCCTGAAGAGAAATCTAAAACTGGTAATTAATAAATTCAGTTGGTAAAGTATACAAAATTACAAAATCAAAAGCGTGCAATGTCAATAGAAATAAAATAGCGTGAATAAGTTTAACAAAAGTTAATTGACACGAGACTACTTTGTTCTTGCAAAAAAGATTTATCAATACGTGACAGTAACTACGTGAGACAGTAATCTGTCTTAGTGTCTAACTTAATTTTATTATTTGTTTCTCGCTTAGTAACGTACAGTCAAGCCGCTTCCGTAGGACGCACCAAGCGAGGGCTGCATGTTTTAAAAAGAAATGCTTTATTACCCAAAGAAAAAGCCATACAAAGTCATTAAACCCTCACTGTGTTTCATTTAAAATGATAGTGTATTAGTCACCGATAAAATTAATATAGAAAGCTTGAAAGCTTAAAATTACACTTAAAAGACATTTACAGTAGCAACAGGGCTGAAGAAGTTCTGAAAAATAAAGCTACGCGTGAATTATACAGCGAAGCAATTTATCAATAAGACCTAAATTATATGAACAACCCTCGCTTCCTACTGTTTTCAAACGTTTACCAGGTTTTATGCGTTCGGTGGGTCCCTGAGACTTAACAGTAGGAAGTGAGGGATTGGAAATGCCGAATCTACTGAGTTTCGGCAACCGCCCACTGTCGCTTGAATGTCGCTTGAATGGTCGTTAAGTATCCCCGTCCTCCCTTCCCCCACCGCGTACAATGGGTCTCAAATAAATATACAGACCCCCGCATAGTTGACAGGAAAAAATAATTATTTTGAAATAACCAAAAAAAAAGAACCTTGGCTATAATTATCCTTGAAAAATAAACAGTATTGTCAAGACAGGTTAAAATAAAGAATAAAATGAAAAAGAAGAAGCTTACCAGGAGTTAAAAAGTTTGGATCAATTGACTTAGCAGTGTCATTGCACTCCTCCAGTTCCTGATACATAGTCAAATGAGACCACAGCGCACTCTTTCCTTGCTTATTCTGCAAACCGTGACTCCAGACTCTTTCCAAAAGGTCACAGAGACTAGCGACCAACGTGTTCTCTTCTACGTCAGAGAGTGATTCGCCCCCGTGACCCAGAGCCACAGCCTCAGAGCCCATTTTTTCTACCAGCATACGTTTCGTTTTGGACTTGCAGTCCTGATGGGAAAAATATGAAAAATTTTGTTGGTTAGAAAATCGAAATTGATATTTTCAAGAGATCAAAAATACAAGGGCACAAATAACAGACCTTGAGCAATTTTTCGACGAAAGTCCAATTTGCTTGGGCAATTAAGGCCGGACTCATGTCTGTCGACAATTTCGTTTGCGGTCGTGGCGACTGCGTCTCTTGCGGTGCTGAAGTCTTTCCATTCGATTCGATGAGCTTCATTTTGTATTTCCATTGTGTCTGCCCTCTCCGACTGCTGAGAAGCATGAAAATATCTTTTTGACGTGTACAAAAAAAAAGTTACCAAAAATGTACGCGTACTCACAGAGTAAAGAAATGAAAATTCAAAACGATAAAATTGTAGACGATAAATATTTATTAAATATAAATAATCGTACAAATTTGTGTAAAAGCATGCACGAGAATCAACGTGGATCGTTCACTGGATTAGATTCTTACCGAAGGATGCTGTTGGTCGTGCGGCAATTCAAGATTTCCAATTTGTTAGTACGTTATTTATTGTATTGTTACTGGGGGGTCATTCTTAGGAAGACCATACACTCACCTTTGTGCCGGTTCTTTGTTTAGAGCGACGTTGTCCAAAAGTGGAAAGCTACGAAAATACGCAGCACGATGCGGCACAATTTCTGTGGGTGGACTCGCTTCAAAATCAACATTATTGAAACGCTGGTCCAGAATTTTTTGCGTTTCCGCAATGGTCGTGCACATCTCGTAGCAAGGTGAGCGCACGATACCCTCGCCAACCTTCTTTCTGTAATTAAAAAAATGTAAGGTTACCCGCAAACCTAATTTTTTTTACTCATTAGAATGAGAATAAACTCAGTAAGGGTTATATTTACTTTATATGAGAAATTCGACGATCAAACACTTTTATGTTGAAGTCCAACTCGCTCCACGTTGACATTACTTTACTGTCTACCAGTGAAGCAAACATTTGAGTTTCCAAAAATCTTGATAAAAATGGCAAATGCTGAGCCGGCTGATCCGAGAGAAACGTCGCTTTATCAAAAACATGCATGCTGTCCCGATTTGTCAGCCACTCGTCTTTGTCCTGTATTGCAGTATTAAAGTTGCAGTGAAAAATCGAAAATTATAATATAAATAAAAATTGTCTAGAGACCTGACTCGGCTGAATAACAAAGTGCTCGTAACTGGAGAAAATCTGAACGAAACGATTAAGAAATATCTCTCTGACGGAATTATTGAAAATGAGAGTCTCCTGATATTCCTCCTGAGGCGTCAAAATTCGTTCTTTTGGTACATTTTCCACGGAATCAATATCATCCAAATTAATTCCTAAAATGAACAATTATATTGAACACGAAGCTTATCACGTGCATTAGTTTTCACTAAAAATTGACAACATTACCTGTTCTCTTGACAATATCCACAATTCTTTGCAAAGCCTCAGATTGTGGTTCAGGCTCAGGACGATCCCAATCAAGAACATCGTGAAATGAATGTTTTCTACGTGGATGATGAAAACCGGAACCAGGTAGAGTCAAGCTACTGGTCATAATATCTCCATTAATATAATGCATAGCCACATTGTCAGTTCTGAAACGTTTATCAATGGATTAAAATGAAAATCAATTAATTCCCCTAATTAATTACAGTATCCTGCCTGACGCGTACTTGTCCGGATGTGGAACCTTATACTTGTTCAGCAAAGCCCGAATTTCCGCAATGAACTGCATCTTGTGCGGAAAGACCGGAAGTTCCTCTGGCAATTGCGTGGTCTGCTTGTCGATATCCACATAGCACAGATTAGCCTGTCGATTAAAGAATAAGGAACATCAGTATCGCCAACGGCAGTCAACAAAGTTAAATAAATATTACCTCGCTTGCAATCTTCAATATTCCTCCCTCGTTCTGCGCATGAAGACCCATAATAAACGGCACAGGCGCATCCAAGAAGTGATGCAAGCTCGCCGGAAGTATAGGCACGTAAACGTGTTGCCAGGAGAAGGGAAAAAGAAGTGCAGTGATGCACTCAGACACCACCATGAGCTTGTTGAAGTTAGCACTCCTGAGCAGCACCTGATTCTCCAGTAGTACACAGGTAAAAAGTTGTATGACGCAGTCGACCCCAAGCCAAGAAAAAACATCCTTAAGTGGATAATCGAGCATAGGTAATTCCTCCGACGACATTGGCTGATAGATGACCAAGTCCAACGGCGATTTAGCCGGCTCGTCATTAGGTACAAAGAACTTTAAAGATTTTCCCGGAAGTGGTACCGGAACGTTATACAATAAATTATACACATAGGACTCGAGACTCAAACCAGGTCCAGGATGCCTGGGGACACATCTGCAAATGTAAAAAATGAAATCAATGACCTCACAATCATAAAACAACAATAACAAAAAGGCTCATCATCGTCATCACTACTCACTTGTACAAATTGATGAGGAATGTTCTGGCCGCATAAAGATACGGCTGCTGACACAGCAAAGAAATTGATTTGGTAACAAAGAGTTTGTCTTTGGTGGAGTCATAATATCCCAAAGCAGCACCGGGCGAGTGGGCAGACAGTTTAAAATGCCTTGGCAGAGATCTGGTGTTGTGACCATCCTGTCCTTTTCTGGGCCTTCGAAGAGATAAATAATTTAGAAAAAAAAAGAGGGAATGCAACTTAAAAATGAAAAATCTCAAACCCAACGTGACATCGACTTTCTCGCCGTTCTATCTGTCATCCACAAATACACTTACACGGGTGGTGTGCCATTCTGTCCGCTGCTCAATTCGGTGATGTGCATCGCCTGCAGTGTCTGCATGGCGGCGCAGATTTTCCTGTTGCGACACTCCTCGTAGAAGACCAAGCTGAACCCGTAGATCCTGTGGCCATTTTCCTTGGTCAGGACGAAGGAGTGAAAGACTGGCTCCACCGAATGCTTCTGCGTGCGAAATCGCAGGCCGCTCGGTAAGCACAGCTGCAAGAAAATTAATCAAGATTGAAACGACCTCCGGCAGACTTATGAAATGTACGTTAAACTTTACAGTCATTTTTCTTTATTGACATCCAAAGCACAGTGGGTCATACTTACCATACATACTGCATGCTTGTCGAAGGGATTCCAAGGTACAGAGTCTGGATAATGGCCGAGCACTTTGCTTTTGTAGGCACGATCCAATGGCGTGCATTGCAACGAGTCTCCTGCAATGTCAAAAGACAAGAAAATAAATTAAAGACAAAGTAGATGGTGGACGCACAAAATTTTGTTTTCACATGTCAAAAGAGGATTAGCGGATTTGTATATGTACCCTGTAGGGAAACTGGAGCAGAATTCTAGCGATCCAGTTTTTTTTATTGGTAAAAATTTTTTTTAAGTACGTACTATTTTTTCAAGAATATACAACAGTGATACAGAGCAGCACGGACAATTTTTGAACGAGCCTGTAGAGACTTCAGCTTGTGTGTTACACTCGAGTGTTGGAAGTGCATCGAGGACTCGGAGCGAGAAGGAGATAGAGATATAACGAGTGAGAGAGAGAGAGAGAGAGAGAGAGAGAGAGCTAGAGAGTATTTTATCCATGACAATGCGTCCTCTGTGCGCTGGTGGAACGCTCGTAATGAGAAGACCAATGAAAGGAAGGAGTAGAAACAAGCTAGAGAGTATTTTATCCATACTCGAGTGTTGGAAGTGCATCGAGGACTCGGAGCGAGAAGGAGATAGAGATATAACGAGTGAGAGAGAGAGAGAGAGAGAGAGAGAGAGAGCTAGAGAGTATTTTATCCATGACAATGCGTCCTCTGTGCGCTGGTGGAACGCTCGTAATGAGAAGACCAATGAAAGGAAGGAGTAGAAACAGTTTTGTAAAGAGAAACTGTAACGTGAACGGCAGAATCTCAGCCAGCGAGTAAAGACTGTGAATTCGCAGTGTGGCAAACAAGACGGAACATAAAAATTTCATTTCGTTCGAAGAAACGTACTGTATGCTATTGCGAATAACGAGGTATGCATCTTCGGGTATAAGGTATTATGCAATTTATATGCACTACGGTAAACTGCAGCAAGTTTATAATGCATAGGACTTCCAGCAATTTGGCACTGACCATAGCACTGACCAAAATATGGCGTACCGCATAATTCGGAAATACATATTATACACGTGTGTTATGTACACTGAAAAAGGGTACATGGCGCATCTAGTTATATACGCTACATACGTGAACCACCAATTTGGCACTGGCTGGCGATATTTTTTTGTGCAATGCCTGAAAAAAAAGGGGGAAAGCACGAAGTATAAAAAAAAATTAAATTTTTTTTTGTATTCTATAGGCGATAGAAATAACACTCGAAGTTAGGTGCGCACGAAGATCGTTATTCGGGCTTGCCGCGTGGGCGGAATTATTTTAATTTTGAGAAAGTTCGGAAAATCGTCATCGGGTGGACACGCGTGCTTTAGTATTTTTACAATTTTTCACTCGCAATTGTATTATCTCGTAGAGCAAACTGTATGAGAAAATAAAGCGAAAGAAGAAAAAAGAAGTAATCTGTTAAGAGCCAATGAGGTACTACTACACCTCCCGCCACTCTTATAGTTATATCTTTTTGTTCGCCTTCCTTTCCTTTTATTCTATCCTTTCTCGTTCAGGTCGCCCTTTGTAATTACATGCATTTCCCATGCGCTTAGGTACGGTGGGAGAGGCGTTGAATTGCGCAAAGTGGAATATACGTGGCGGTGCGGTTAACGGGACAGTTGGGTTATCTTTAAGTCGACCTGTATATTATGTATTGGCCGTGTAACCAGAAAGATCTAAATTAAAATATAGATGGTCGGTAACAAAGGACTCTTTATTTTTCACATTTCAGACACGAACCAGAAGCCGTTAGCGAATCTGTTTTTCGATAAGCAAATTGCTTATATTTTTTAAATAATTTTATTTTCATCCACTTCCGATCCCAGCGTAACGTACTTCCGTTCACCCTGCCCGTCAGACCTTCTGCTTCCGAAACTTGGCCGGCGTCCAACTTCAACTGGCAATACAAACTGTATTAGGTATTACCGACCGTACAAGGGGTTCCTTTCACAGCGAATTAATCCGTAGCGATCAGTCTGGCCAATCGTGGAATGCAGTTAAAATGCACAAGAATTAATCACTATTAAGAGCTTATTCTTTTTTCCTTCTCTTGGCACAAGCCTGTACTTACTACACTCTTCTCGAGTACACGTAAGCACTGCACTTGGAGTCGGTCGGAGTGCCTACATTTACACGTATACATATTTTAGACTAAACCGGGGTCGAGGGTCTCGCTTAATTTGGGTTACGTATCCAAGAGTAAGAGTACCGAGAAAGAAAAGAAGCAGAAGCCTTACGTGGCAGGAATGAATATTTCTACTGTCCCGCGACGAAAAACTCTAGTAAATACACTTGAAAAAAAATGTATTTTTTTTTTTCGAAGTATCTCCCACCTAAAATATCAGCCTGCAGTGTAATCAGATTTTCACGTCGGTAAGGTAGATACGATGAAGCGAAAGAGGAGAAGGACGAATTTTAATAAGGTAAAGGTACGATAAAAGACGAAGGGACGAAAAATATAACAGAGGAGAAAAAAAGAAAGCCGTGTCGTAGTTCGATCGGCAAGCTTTTCGAGTCTCGGGCGAAGTGCCAACTGCAAGGACATTTTTCTTAAAGAAATGTTCGAGTAAGGAGACACGACACCCACTTGGCCTGCTGCAATAAATTCGCAAAGATGTCTTATCGAATTTATTTCACGTCTCTCACTTCGCTATCTGGGTACTTGCACGTAGTTTCTGTTTCTGTAACGCACAGCAGCCAAGCTGAACGTATATGGATACACGTAGGAGCGGAGTTGCAATTTAGGTATTAAAGCCATGGATTTGAATAAAGGCGTTTAATTGAGTCTTAATGAACCCACTGGCCAATCTCCGGCTAGAGATTGCATCCCCGTCTATAATCGAATGACTGCCCAGTCGGGTTGATTTATATTTCGAAAATAAAAAAAAAACCAATATCAAGAGCCAATTTGATGCTCTTGTATTTTTTTTTGTTTTCATAGTCCCTAATGGATCTTTCAGACGTCCATTGGATATTAATAGGTCCCGTTGCTCTTTGTGTCAACGAAAATGGCTCCTTTGTCTATACGCTCAATTGACCAAGGACAATTGTCCAGTAACCACGTACTGCTTGCTCGACATCTAATACCACGGATAATGACAACTCAAATGTCTGACAGCGTGGACGATGGTCGAATGAGTGGGAGAGAGAGAGACTAAAAAAAAGTGTATTAATAATTATGAAATTTGGACGGTGAAACTATAATGGAGAATTGTTTTCGCATCTGGACGCTCAATCGAGTGAGAACAATTTCCTGGTAATTTTTTCCTCTGATTTGGCCGCCGAAGCTAAAAGTTATTGAAATGAAATAATAATTGGACGATGGGAGGGGTGGGGGGGAGGATGAAGATGCGAAAGGAAAAAGATGATCACTAAAATCGAAGCCAACAGATAAAAATTAGTCCTAGGTATATTTTCTTTGCATATTCTAGGGATTTTATCCAAATCCAATGAGAATGGATAAACCGGAGTAACTAAGATACCCGCTATAATAATTGCATAATATAACGAGTGGCTAATAGGAATTAAAATAACTGTACGTAATGAGCGCGCAGTTTTACCCACGAGATTACCATACATTTCCATAACGAAATTTAAGTTTCGCAGGTTTGTTAAAAAAATTTTTTTTTTTTTTACGGGTTTCAGCCCTTTTCCCACAAGTTCCTTTTGTCCTTTCAATTTTTTTATTTATTTTTTTTTTCATCAAGCTCAAAAAATTGGACCATTTCTTTGTCTTTTCTCGCCTCAACTTTAAAGTTACGTCGTCAGCCATAAAAATGGAGAGCGACGCAGTTACATGAGAATCGACTTAAGTTTAGAGTCGAGCCGTGTCGTCGACATGATTTATTTATTTACACGAACGCAGACACGGAGCCTCCGCGCCCGAAAAAATACAGCAGCGCTGGAGACCGAATACGGTATCGCATTGCATAATCATTCACGAAAATGACAATTCATCTACCAAGCATCAAAAGCACCAAAATCAACAAAATTTCGAATCAATCAGTTTTCTCGAAAATAAATTCGTTAATTACCAAAGCACAACGAATTTTTCATATTCACGACCCATTAGCTCTCAAGCAGCTGCAATTTTCAGGAATAAAATCTGTTTCAACTCCACGTCGCCTGGCTGAAATAAATGAAAGAATCGTCAAATAAATAACCAAATGTAACGACGAGACAAGGAAATCCCAGTGACTTCTGCGTACCGTGTTCTGTTTATAGGATGCTGGTCCAGTTGGTACGCAGCGTGCGCGATGGGTCTCACTAAAGATCAGACTAAAAAAAATATCAATTTCTTTAATTATTACTACAAGGACACCCTATACAATAATAAAAAAAAAAAAAAAATTAAATTAAATTCAGAAAAAAAAATCTCAACAACAATAATTACCACTGCATCCAAAATGCATAGGCACGATCTGCCCTCGATGTACAGCATATACAGGGTGGCGCGAAAATAAGAGTAACATATAAAGTACAACGATGAAATCTAAAAGAGTGCATAAGATACTAATGAACGCGGGGCGAGTATATTGATTGGTAAGCGTAAACACGGGGCTTGGCCAGAATATATTTTACTCCAATGAACAAGAGATCGTCCCTAGTGTCTGCGTATGAATCGATAATGTGACCCTTGCCCCCCTGCCCCTACTCTTCCGAGAAAAATCGACAGACGGGAAAAAGTCCGAAAAAAAACTTTCCATTCGCTTTTCCATCTACAGACAGCAAGACGCAGCATCAATCCGATGGACCAACTTGCGCCAAGTAAATCGAACCGTAAAACAGAATTTTCACGTTGAAGGGAGAAATTTTATCTTTCCCATTCCCAAGAGTCACTAATCTGTTTCTAAAAATATAAAAGTGTCACGCGGACGATAAGACGAATCTCGGAAGAGAATTTTTCTGGGGGCCGTGGATCACAGCTGCAAGCCGTCTGCATTTCCTTTTGCAGCGGACGAAGGAGTGGCTCAAGTATAATTTTCATGGGACGAAGGAAATACGGGGAGAGACTAAGGTCCTTTTTCAAGTGATCGTTTAAAGGGGCTCTTTTGCACGAATAGGCTCGGACGGTGACGTCATAGCGAGGGGTGGACTTACGACCTTTCGTTATCCCGATGCACGCACCCCTTCCTCTACCAAAGACTGATTCATTCTCCACGGCTCTTTACGCACTCGATATGTATACTTGTTCAAATGCGTGCATTATAAAATGCATACAATGTGCATCGGTAAATGCATATGTGGATCCACATACTGTAGTATAGATACAAGAATAGATATGTTACGACCCTGAAAATGAGAAATATTGAAAAATCCCTAGGACGATTACAACGTTAATAAGCTCGTGTCAGCTTGAAGGATTTGTAACGGTTTAAAATAAAAAATAAAAAATAAAAAAAAAGTGCATACAAAATCTTCCGCCGCTCTATGCAGTTGAGATCCGAAAGTCCGTATTCCGCTGCAACGTGCAGCGGTGGGGGTTGGTACAAATGCGCACGGCAGCTGCATCCCGTTTCTTAGAGTTCCTTAAGGTTTCGAAAGGTCCATAGAAAAATTCGTGAATTCTTAGAGCATCGCCAGGCGACGACCTGAATTTTCTATTATTCGTATTTGCGTTTTTGTCCGCGAGAGACTGTACAGTGCATGGCCACCAATAATTGAAAATTTTCGAAACGCCGTAACGCGCCGTAAATCCGTACGGAGTTAGCGAACCGAGAGAAGCCTGCTTCGGGAGCGTGGTGGTGTCTTTGAGGGCAAGAAAAAAAAAATCGTGTTTGAAGTTTACACTGAAAGAAAGAAAAAAAAAAAATTAAAAACGACCACACCAGAGATCGAGTCTTAGCGCGATGAGAATTTTTTTTCAGGCTATGTAAAACGAGCCTCCTTTTTGGTTAGTTCGCAGAAAAGGGGATCACCGCGGACATTGAAAAGACTGCCGTGAGTTTCTCAGGGAGATACGTTGCTTCCCGCCGACACGGTCCACATCCTGATGCATTACAAAGGAGCTCGGCCCCAGAGAAGAGGAACCGGATGCCGTCGTTAAATGCGTCCTCGAAGATCCACGTGGTGTGGATTTTCAACAAGACCCACATGCTGGAGTAAGATATTATATTGCGAAATGTCACTCGGGCGCACTTCAAAATGATTATCTATTATCCGATAAGAGACTGCTGCTACCCGTATGCAAGGTACGTAACGGTACGCGAGTCTTGAATGATGTTCGAAAGGCCGACGCGGTCTGAAGGGTGGCAAACGATGACCTTACAACGGCCTGTACAAAAGCTTTGCTGAAGCAGTTAAAGGCCTTAACGAACCCGATGGTTCCAGTGTTTAGGCTTAGGGCCGGTTTACACACGAGTAAGGCTGCAATTGCAGCGCGACGGGAATAGTCGAATAAAGCGGCCTGCATTGGCTCCCTTCCAAGTCTTTTCAAGCCGCACAAAGAGAACCTTTGTCAACAAAAAGACGCCTAACTCACGACGATGTTTAATTTCTTCTTCCTTTTTTTCACGTATCTCGCGTACTCGAGCGGCGACACGACGGCGAAAGACTATGAGAAAAATTGAGGTGCGGCGATTACGCTACTGAAGACTGACGTCTGATCGATATGCATAAATATTGTTTGTTATGTACATTGCTTTATCACGGTATACCCGTCAAATTTGACTAATGCACTTTCTTTCAAACTCACCCTGTATATAAGATCGAATCAAGTCACAATTTAACTCCTTGTACATTAAGGAGAATGAATTCACTAGATCCGCCATTTTTGAACAAGGCAAGTGATACCGAAAATAGAAAATTAATCTTTCGTCCCTCGTATGTACGTTAAACGCGGACGTCAATTCAATTCAATTTAAACCGTCGTCGTATTCGCGCCGTCGCCATTGCCTGCGATGTAAATCAATGCGTGCGCTATATTCGGTCGTTGGGTATAATAAAGAGCTTATAATAACGGGCTTCGTGTCTGCTTGGCATTCTGCATTGAAGAAATTTCGTGTTCGCAATACTGTTTAACAACGTGTGTATATATATTATTTTAACGATCTTAGGTTAGGTTACGTTACGTTACGTTACTCGACGATCCTGATACATAGTAAACTTTTATTAGGAATCCCAATATGTACGTAAACCAATGGTAATGGCATTGTACAGCAGATATGTGCCAATGTAATTTTCTGATAACATCATGGGCTTGTACGGACGAGTGGGTAGGAAATGCGAGAAAATAAAATTAACTTTCGACCATGACGTTTGCAAGCGTGTTCCCTAAAAAAAAAGGAGAAGAAGAAAGAAAAACGATGTTGACAACAATCTAGGGAATTTTTCCAATTGGCAGCTGGACGCGGAACTTTAAATAGACGTTCAAAGGAACGTTTATCTGAATACTCGTCACAATCGCGACAGACGTCATTACGCCATGTTGGATTTCTGTAACCAAGTCGATCGAGACGGGACCATCGGATGGGACGAGCTCGACTGTATACGAAAACAGGGCCGAGCCAAGAGTTACCGACAAAATCCCAAGAGAATCGGGTCAAGTAGCCGTGGTTAAGCCTTGACAGAGAACTAGGTCTATAAATAAAAATGCCGCGTCGCTAAACTTTATTAATTTTCCAATAAAGGCGAACGAGAGTTATCGGATAACATAACATACAGCAACGCTCAGACTCGATGGATACAATTATTCCTGGATCATCGAGTAAATAGTTCCTCTTCATTAGTCGGACTTTAGGATTCCAAATAATTGATAATAATTATCTGTTGGTTGTATGTTTATTGCGAAGGAAAAATAATCACTTCGAAACTTTGTTTTCAATTCTACAGAGATTGACGTTCTGGGTTTGTGAAATCCGCCGCTACGCGCCGCCGGTGTTTCCGTTTGCGACGGAATTACAAAACTGTATGTAAATAAAAAATGCATAAACTAATACGCAACATTTTGTCATGCGTATAAACGGAGTTCAAGATTATCTTTCTTAGATGATGTACGTGCGCACGCGCATTTTTTAAACGACAAAGCGGCACTATCGGTGTCCCAGGAGCAGATATAGAAATGCATGTCGACGTCTTTTTATAGATAACGCGCCAGTATCATTGCTTTCTTAGAAAAATACGGAGGATAAAAACCTAGAATTGACATGTAAAAGTCAACAGTGATAAAATTAAATAAGACGAGAAAAATGCTTAATGATAAGAAAATGTTTGTTTACTTCCTATTGTGTCATTTCCTTTCTTAAGAAGTAATACCAATGATTCATGGATAATGATCCCGTATAGAGGTATGACCAGTAAATTATTAAATTACAGCTTGATGACCGTCATCTGATAAAAGCGTAGATTATGAAAGATAAATATTGGATTGGTAAAAGGACTGTTCGGCACACATGGTAACGTGGAATAAGTAGTTAGGTAGGGGATTTAAAAAGTGCATGAGTCAGAGACGCGCGCAAATTTATGGATTTAGGTAAATACACTGGCAAACAGTTTGCAAGTCGTGGAAAAAAAATGCAGAAAAATTTGGAAGAGTGCGATTCCTGCGCATCACCGTTCTGTAAACTATTATTGTGTCGAGTTAAAAAAAAAAGATGAGAATCGTACAACACTTATGAATATAGAATATAAATAAAAAACTGTTAATACGGGTAAATATAAGCAGTGCGACCGTTACGGCTCGCGGAGTGCTTTCACTTCTAAATTGCGCAACGAATTCGCCATCTCACGATATATCCGAAATCGTGATTAAGGAAAATTTAAATAATAAAATATTTTCATACATTATACAATGAACCAATGTAGCAGAGATCAATTTAAATTTAAGTGCACAATAGAGAACCGTTATGTATACTTTGCTTCGACTCCATTTGAACTGTCAACAGAGTCTAACAGTCGATAATTCGTACAATAATATAAAATCCTCTACAGCCAGTGTCAAGTGAATGTCCAAAAGAGAAATAAACGAAACGATCAGAGCAATGTCCGTCGAAGTAAAGGAGAAATTAGATATTGTGATTGTGGTTAGACTCACCGAAAAAGCGATCTGGTTCGAGTCCGGAGTCTTTGTCCAGTCCACAGATAACAAAATAATCGGCGAATCTGCTTGGATGCTGCTCGGGTCCACGAAGGACCTCGAGGCCGCCGTTCATATCTCCAGGTCGATTAATCAATTATCGTAATGCTCACCGTCCCTGACCGTTGGCTACGTTATACAATTGACACACACGTACACTTTTTCAACGTTATTCACGCCGGAGAATCACTCGTCGCGATCCACACCGTGTTCGCGACTGTCATTTCAACTCTCGCGATACGCGACAGCTGACTCCAGTGGACAGACGTCCGCTGGCGCACGCTTCCCGGAGAGAATAATTGATCCTCCGACGAGAGAGCCACCTGAAGTCGACCGCAGAAAGCTCAGTGAAGCTCCGAAACTAAAATATGCGAGTTGGAAGTATGTCATGAAAGACTGTTTAGAATAACAGTTGAGATGGAGAACTGACTTGATTTTATTGCTTTGAATAAATTTTAATGTCGCTACCTGGTGGTAACTTTATGATACAAAACAGAATTTTGATCATGTGATATGTCACGTGACTAGAACCATTGAAATGTTGAATCTAGTGGAAAAACAGTTTATTTAAATATTTCTCATAATGCTGACATCTGGTGAGAAAATAAGTAATTTGAATTGAAGAAATTTTACAGAAATTGTATGGAATGTTTTACTTAATGAGGAATTTAAAAGATAATTTATTGGTTAATTCATGAGTACTTTGCACTCGGGACTTTGGAAATTAATTAAATATCGTACTAATTGTTTTAGGGTGTTTTGGAGTATGTTGTTGGTAATACTGAGTAATGTGATATATTATGCATTTTAAGAGATGGCTGACCTGAGACATCGTAGCACCATCTAGTCCTTATTTTGACAGTTGTTTGAGAAAAGGTTAGAATCAAAGATAAATTGTGTACGACTGTTAAGGAGATTATCCGTGACTTTCTATGTACGATGGAGGAAGTGGACAATATAATAATACATTCGTTGAGACAAATAGGCTGGTAAGTTTTTATCACTTTACGGAATCATTTATAGATTGACCAACGGAATTGTATTTTGTCTTATAAAAGAAAAATGGGTGGCACCGGTTTTGCTGTTGACACTGAAGTTCCTGAAGCACCGACTGGATATTAGTTTCCTTTTTTTTTCTTCAATTTTCTACGTATATTTAGGAAATTAATGTTAATTTATGCTATCGTCAACTACATCAATTAAAGACACCATTTATGTCATGTACCAATCAGCGTTTAAGAATTTTTTGATACTTGCTGCCTGAAGTTGCATCGAATCTGAAGCAGTGAAGAATAAATTATTGGAATTACCGATATTTTTCGAATTTCAATTATTTCTTTATATACTTGTACAATTTTATATAAATTTAAATAATTTCAAAAGTATAAGAGAAAATTGTCGCAATTAGGATTTGAATAATAGAGTTAAATAAATCTACGGACGTGCAATTATTATGTATTATTTTATTCTATCATATCGCGCTTTAATTTTGTTCATTAATATTATTAGAAGATCTTTATTATCCAAAAATAATTGTTAATACTTTATTTGAGAGAAAAAAATTTCTGTCAGAAGTGGGATTCGAACCCACGCCCTCAGAGAGGACCAGAAACCCCGTATAAACTCAGCATGAACTGAGAAGGATCGTACCTTGAGTCTGGCGCCTTAGACCACTCGGCCATCCTGACATTTGACTTTTCACATGAAAATTTAACAGATATTCTTAATTTTTTAATATTTATAAAGTATTTCTTGAATATTTGAATACGTAAAGTTTAATTAATATTTATTGGATTACATAAAATATTTCACACGTGCGATAATCATAATCAAATAATTTATACAAAAAATTATACTGTTGTTATGTTATTGCAATTTATTTTTATCATGGGAAAACAAAAATAAAGTATGTATACTATCTTGTATTGTTACCTTATTTCAATTATTTTCACAGCGATGTAGAAGACAATATCACCAACTTAAGTGGCTTTCAAACTGAATTAGTCATTGATGCGACTGTCAGATGTCTTAATATTATACGTCCTGGTCTTGGTTTATCCACTGTTTTACCAGAAAATATGACTGCAAGATTTCGTCTTGGTGCTGCATTAGCACAAGCCTGCTTGGTAACTATAATACCTGTAACAATGGTACATCTAATGACATGGGATTATTAATCTTTTAAAATTCTATGTAGGATCTCGGCTACAAAGGTGACATTGGGTATCAAACCTTTCTCTACAGTTCAGAAGTAGATCTGCGTCGTGTGTTCATGTTTCTTATTGAAAAACTTCCAAAAGAGTGTGACAAATCTTTAAATGAGCCAACAAGCCGTATTGCACTTCTTGAGAAATCTATTGCCTCTACAGTAGCTAAAGATCTGTCTTCTTCCTGGCTTCCTCCATACTGTCACAAACAAGGTCCTCATTGTCGTGGTAGAACCACTACTGCTTACAACAGTATCGAGTTAGATCTACCAATAGCTGGCAAGGATGAAGGTGTAATGCATGTTTAATTATTACTCTGATAGGAGACTATTTTTTAAGTAACTTTAATATCCTTACCATTGTTTTATCTTCTGTTATAGATTTTCAGAATTACTATATTCACTATCAGCGACCAATCAATGAACAGGCCTCTAATCAACGTTTGTTACCTTCCGTGATCTCGCACAACGCTAGATTAATTTATGGCAAGCCTACAGACATATTGGAAAAACTTGATTGGCTAAATGAGCAGAAAGAGGAATTCGGTGAAGCAGTACACGAGAATCAAGAGATCCTTAGTAGATTCACGCTCAATGAAAGATTACAATTTGCTAAGGTAAATAGAAAAATAATTTGTCAGTAAAAATAACTATTTTTGTATTTGTACTTTTTGTACAGGATAATATTACCGAAGAAAAAAGTCCTTTTACGGAAAGTCCAGTAAAAACACCGGTAGGAGTTTCGCTAACGAAAGAGGAGAAACAGGAGCTTGCAGTAGAAAATGCAAAAATGGAATGCGAGACGTTACGCAATACAACAGAAGAATTACAAACTGAAATTCGTAAGCTCAATGTCAAACTTGCACAGCTTACAACAACGCGACAGGCTGAAGAAAAGGAATTAGCCGTACGACAGGAACAACGTAGAATCAAAGCGCGAACGTATGATCTTTTACCGGATGGTGAAGAGAATATAAAAAAATTGGAAGCTGCCATTGAGGCGGGTGCAAATAAATTAATTCATTTAGCCAATCAGTGGGAGAGACATCGAGGACCATTAATTGAAAAATATCGAGACGAAAGAGCGAAATATTCTAGCAAAGCTGTAAATATATGTCATTTACATTTGTCTATTTTAGTTTTCAGTAATCTAATACATTGTTTTTCTTTCTTTCGATCAGAGCGCGAGCCAGAAAAAGGTTGACGAATTAAAGATATTGAGGGACAGAGAACAGGAACTCCTGGAGGAATTGCGAAATAAAGATCAGCAGTACGCACAACTTATGGCAGATGTTCAAAAATTGCCAAAGGAAATTAATCGCTCGGCCTACACTCAAAGAATTTTGGAAATTATTAATAACGTCCGCAAACAACGTGACGAGATCGACAAGGTCCTCGCCGATACGAGAAAAATACAAAAAGAAATTAATACTCTCACAGGGCGATTAGAAAGATCTTTTACTGTTGTGGATGAGCTTATATTTCGTGACGCTAGAAGTAACGAAGCTTCCAGAAAGGCTTACAAATTATTGGCGACGCTTCACTCAGACTGTAGCGAATTGGTCGACCTCGTCGAAGAAACTGGTGCAACGATAAGAGAAATTCGTGATCTTGAAGAGCAGGTACGATCATTTATTTTTCCTTAGTTCTGATATAAAAAGAAATACAACATTATGAACGTAATTTCAGATCGACTCGGAGTCAACGAAAAATGTTGGCGCAAATTTAGAGAGGATAACAGCGGATTTGAAGCAAATGAAACAAGAAACAGCAATCTTGACGGCACAATTGCAAAATAAAAACTCGTGATCCAAAGCGGGAATGCAAAAAGTTCGCTGGCGATTACGAGAGCACCGTTCTATAGCAGGGATTATAAGTGGCGCTTCTTGTTGATGAACTCTTCTGGAAGCTTCAACCATTACTTTGTTAATAAGGAGGGATTTTATTACTTGAAAGAATACAGGAGAGCAGGAGCTTTTCTAAGTTTTTTCGTACGGCCTGAAAGATATTCTCTACATAAGGAGATCTATTATTATTGTTAAGGAGCACTACTGTAAAGAAAAAAACACTATGAGAAATATGAGCTTGATTTGTTGTATAATGAATATACGAAGTATATGGAAATTCGTATTAGAAACACGAAATTGTGAATTATTTATTTTGTAGTAGGAAATTTATTCCCAGGATAGTTACGTAGAGTTGCAGGAGGTAAAACTCAAAATTATTGAAGTATATGAAGAATTTTTTGGTAACTTAAATAACAACTTTTTATTCTACTATAATAGCTCAATTATTCAAGATCGTTTGACAATCTGGGGCGGTACATAATTTTCATCAACACGGAAGACCCGCCTCGCCTGTTTACTCGTCATGTCTATCTTTTCTTCTTTACTTTCCAACTTTTCTATTTCAAGTTCTATTTCTTCCTCTTGTTCGAAGAAAGTTAAAATACGTTCACGTTCCTCCAAGTCTTTCTTGATTTTTTCCACGTTTTTCAGTCTGGCCTGCTTTTGCAATTCATCCAAGTGTGCTTCAAGTATGGATTGTCTTGTCTTTTCCCATTCATCGTAAATCTAAAAATGAAATATAATTGTAAAAACTGTTTACATTTTATCGATTCATATTGTGAAAAAATTATGTCATACTTCGCACTGTTTTGAGATGTCCCTTTCTGCTTGCAGTTCAATCGCATCCTTGACTCTTTTTTCAATGATTTCTGTTAAGTTTCCTTTCTTTAGCGATGCACCATTGAGATTTTTTAAATCATCCTTCAACTTTTCAATCTTCTCTGCCTCTTCTGGTACAGTAAATTTGTCTAAGTCCTTTTGAATTAATTCAAGAATTTCTTCATAAACACCATCTTGTTGACTGGACCATTCTTTGATCAATTCTGACAATCGATCATATTTTCCAAATAAAATTAAACCACGCAAACGCAACGTTCTTCCTAGTGTTGTATCATCCTTGATCTTTTTACCAAAGAAATCTAAAGTTTTCCCAACAAGATGTCTAGGTTCCACAAGATCAAAATGATCATCGAAATATGGATTTCTAAGATAAGGTACTCTTATTTTTATTTCCTCTGTATCATCAACTTCTGGCTCAGGCAATTCCCAGCCGATAGGATTTTTTAAGAACATGTGACATGAATATACAGCAAGTGCATTGCAGATAGGATGTTCATCATCTTCTTGGAGCATTAATAGTGAGGCAACATTAGCAGCCAATGCAAATTCCTTTTGTTTGATAAAGGTGTCCATAAGTAAATTGAAAGTGAAATGGTCTGGGAAGATCCCATAATTTAATCGATCATGTAGAATTTCAACAACCTCTCCTGCTTTAGGAGAATTCAAGAAAGCTCTGATGAAGGCGTGTGATGTGGAAGGTAGTACGTTACTCGCCTCCGGAGTCAAACGAACACGATAAACTATATTCATAAGTTCTTCTAATTGCTCATCAGTAATAATAGCATTCGCAAAAATATCAACGTCAATTCCGCTACATTTACCGACAGTTTGAAGCTTTTGATCCAATTCGTTGAAAAATAATGATGGGTCGATTTTCTTGATGATCGGCGATTGAAGCCGGCGATCCCAAGCTTCACGACATTGATATGCTTCAGATAGAAATGTTCTTCTCGCACGAGACACTGATTTAGCTTGACCTAGTATTCTTTTGCCGATTTGCACTGTTTTCCACATCTTTTTCCTATTAAATCTAATGTGACGTTCGATATTGTTTCATACTTCGAGAAACACTGCACGACTATTTTTCAGGTTATGAACAGTTTTCAATACAAGAAGGTTAGGTTTACTACTAACAGAATAGGTTAGTTCTATAAGATCGAAAAAAAAACCAATTACAGACGTGAGAAGGTTCCGCATTTTTAAACACTTTAATACGTTGATATTTGATTATTAAATATTTTTAATGTCAATCATGAGAACAATTCAATAGTATCTTAGTTAGCATCATTGTTTATTATAAAAATTGCCATTGAACTTTTTAATACATTTTTAGAGGTTATACAATGAACAATTAGTTCAATATTCGACTAATTTCCTGTAATTTTTAAATATCAAAATAAGAGTTATAATAAGTATCTCTTTAGGATATTAACTATTGATATTTTCATAATGATATTTATTTTATTTATGCTCATTTACAGGTTGCAAGATGCAGAGCCTTACGTCCTGTGTACAAAGGTTGGCCCTTTGTGGGAAATTAACAATGAATAATCAGTTGTTAATATCAAATGTTGGGAGAGTCCTTGGTGCACCACAATCGTCGCACATACATACCTCATTACCTATTCAAGGTTCTTGGCTCGATTATACAAAAGGTCCACAGAAATGGTTAAAACATAACAGGACAATATTTCCCCCACAATCGCCTGACGAGGAACGGAGGCCTGCAGTAAGTTTGAAAAATCAATACCCCAAGAATAATAATATTAAAATTACTTGTAAGTGAAAGTTCATATCATACGATATTAATTTTTTATATTTGTTTTAGTACGTTTGTCACATGAAGACAAACATAAGATACAGTCCTAAAAAAATGTGGTATATTGCATGTTTTGTACGTGGCATGTCCGTCGATGAAGCTGTAAAGCAATTAAATTTTGTATTAAAGAAAGGGGGAGCAATTGTAAAGGAAACAATTTTAGAAGCTCAACAACTTGCAGTAGAGAAACATAATGTAGAATTCAAAAGTAATTTGTGGGTTGGTAAGTATTTTTTTTAACTATAAGAGAAATAATAAAGCATTATTGGGACTATTATATCACTTCGAATATTTCTGTTTAGCTGAATCATTTTATGGCAAAGGTGTAGTTTATAAAGGTTTTCGGAGGCATGCAAAAATGCGTGCTGGTGAAATTCGTTATATACACAGTCATTATTTTGTTCGTCTTGAAGAAGGCAAGCCACCAGCAAATTACTATCTGAATGTTCCAAAGAGTAAAGACGAAATGTTGCAGAAATGGCTCGAGGATATGCGCAAACGTAAAATCATAAATTCATTGTAATGTGTCATAAGAAATATTTACACGCATAAGGGTTAGATTTTAATACTGTATGTAATAACAAATAATAAAATTAGTAATACAATCAGTGCATACTTTTATTTAATCCTGTAGTAGTTTGTAGGATTTCAAAACAAATAAATGAAATTTTGTTGGAGGTTTTGATGGAGTTTATTTGACTTAGCAAGAAATGCTTAGTTCACAGTATTCTAAACATGTTTACAGCTTCAACTTTGTTCTCCTCCAGTGACGCCTCTTAGCGTTGTAACTGTAACATAATAGAAAATAACAGTGAAAAACAATTCTCAGTACATACACACTGAACGTAATATTAAAAACTAAAAGAATTTTTATTAAATAATGAATATAAAAGCTCTCACTTTATTTGACAACAAACAGTACATTTATAATTATGTCTATTACATACTCTTTAAAAAATTCAAATCAATCAACACAATAAGGTTACAAGTTGCGAGCATAAACATAACCTCAAAAAGTCACCTGAAGCTTGATTAACCCTAATAATAGATAAATTGAAAAATAATTTCAAGGATGGAAAGTATGTGTATAATTGTTGTCGATAACTGAATAAGAATTTTCATATTACTCACCGAATTGTATTGCCAGTACGCATTCTGACCCATTGTGGAATTGGTCTGTTCTGTTTCAACTTTTTTGCAAGCTTTCGCTTGATAATGAATGTTTTGTGGGCCGACTGAAAAATAAAAATCAGTTAATTAGAATTTGTATATTTCACCGATTAGTTGGTTTAATAAATTTATAGTCGGATGTCAACGATTTATTTGGATTTTTCCAAATAGATAGAATACCCACCATGTTCACCCTGTGACAACACGCGAAGTGGAAGAGAATTCAGCCGGCGCATGAGCAGTGAATCTCCTTACTACGCTAGTCGAAATGTTTTCAGTTTACACAGAATTTTCTATATATTCAATAGCATTATGACTACAAAATTGCAACAAGACTTTTTCATATCTGATAAATTTAATGAAATAAGAATATTTTAATTACCTTTAATTTCTAAGAGTGAATTATCACAATGATTAAAATATAGTTCTGAAATGGTCTAATGTACGTCGGATGGCATAACTACTTGGGATTCAGTAAACGATTCACGAAATTGTTTATAAAATTTAATTTGTTATTTATTTTATAACAAGTCAATTACGGGTATTATTATATACGGTTGGTGTGTGTTTTTTACCATCACTACAAATATTTAAGATATCAATAGAAAATGAAAAAGACAATTTCTTATTATAGTACAATGCATAAATTGTAATCAGTATGAAACCATTGATGCGTTTTGTTTTCAAATAATTTATAAAAAACTTTACTAAATGATAAATCAATTTTGAAAATATTCATACAGCAACATTCGCATAACGGCTATTCATTAAATACGAATTATGTATTTCTTCCTCTTCGCGAAGCTGATCGTGCATCGTGAATCGCCTCCTGGAGATTGGTACATCATAAACAGCCTCTGGTTTGGCCCGAGGATAATTTTGTAATTTAGACAATTTTTTCACATTGGATGGTTCTACGTGATTCCTATCATGATTTTCTTCTATCGTAGAGATTCCAGGTTGGTAGATAGAATCCTCTCTGATGTAATAACGACGATCATTTAAATGTGGAAATTGGTATTTGGAATTTCGTTGCGTATAAAAGGGATGCTCAGCAGCTAAAGTTTGCATAGAAGAATATCGCAAAAGAGCATCCCTCTTCATTAGAGATACATTTCGATTCTGAAAAGTCGTAAGTGTTGTGTCTTCTCGAGGATTTTCAAAATTAAGATTGTCATTACCCACCGACTGCACAGAATTGACTCGTATCATACCGATATTGGATTTAGGGCGGCTGCTCTCTCCAATCTTTGGAATTCTCGTGATGCTCGGATTTTCAAAAACGTCCAAGTCGTCGTTAAACTGAGTTTTCGTTGTTTTTTTCGATTTTCCACGGCCAAATATCGTCAGTATAGCATTCTTCAAAGACTTTCTCTGACTCGTCTTCTTTGGAAATTGCTCGGAGGTATAAAGGTATTTATCAAAATTTGAATTTTTATTCGCTTCCAATGACATTGCCTTTTTTGACTTATCATTTCTTCCGTTCCAGGGCACTGCGTAAATATGCTGTGTACACTCTTCATTGGTTCTATAATTTTCCGATTGACGTCGCAATTCCAAACTCTGTCTCCCACGATAACCACTAGGTAATTCCAAATACTCCACAGACTTACGTGTCTTTTTGGATCGTGGTGATTTCGAAAGTTTCAAAGGCACGTCGATAGAATCACAAGATTTCGATGATAAGGATGATCTCCTGTTGTTCAAAACTTCCTCCTCAAATAACATTCTTTCAAAATCCTCTTCGGATTGGCACCACTTTTTCGAATCGGTATTTTCCCTTGCATAACACTTTAAAAATTCATCGTCAGCTACACATTCGCCATAATCGTTACGGTTTCGTTTTTCCAAAGTGGCCACGAATCGTTTTACAAAATTTCGTGATTTCGGAGTAGCCGATACAGTTGAAGAACACTCGAAACCTTTTTCAAAATTCTTAAGGACGTCACTGGCTAAATATGTCCTCCCAGTCTTGAGGTCAAAATTTTGAATATCCGCATTCATTTTTATTCCTGTGAATTCAAGCACGGGAGACAATGAAGAGTATAAAACCAAAAGGTACAAAATTGTGCACTTTTATTAATTATTATTAATCATAATTAATTAATATATTATATTCTTACCTCAGGTTCGAACAATCTGATTATCACTGTGTGATCTCTGTTAATCGACTGCTCGGCAATGTATAACTTTTCGACTCTCACGTAGATAGTCTTATAAACAGAAGAGGTCGAGACGTCCTCATCTAAATTCCTTAAGGTTTGCTTACACTGGAGTAAAATTCTTTAACGATACGAATGGTATATTGGATAGAGTATATTATCAAGATAGCTTTAGGCAAATAGCTTGTCTATCAGGTATACAAAAGAAACTTAGCTTTTCATTTTTCATAGAAAAAGATAAATGAAATACACGAATGGAAATTGAAAATCAATGAACCAGACAATTTTTCAATTTCACCATTTTATTCTTACATACATAAAGAGAATTGTCGATATACAAAGTATGTATAACATTTATCTATAATATCAATCTTGATTAACTGCATGCTTATAATTAAAATGACAGTGGTACACATTTATAAATAAATTAAGAACATCAGACTATCAGACTGTTGATTAAGTTAAAACAATAAATTAAGAGCTTGCTAAACGATACAAAAATTCTGCAAAAATTATCTCATCAAATCATGAATCTTCATAATCATTATTTCAACCATTTCATAACTAATGAAACGTAACTGATTGCCATTGTTAATTCAAGTCCTATTAATTCTAAACATTGACAGTCATACGGTCTATTCAAACAAATATGTCCAACAGTCAATTAAAGCATTGATAAATGTACTAATTAAACAAATCTCTCAATGTCCAAGTTACACGTTCTCAGCAATGCAATTTATCTCAATAAAACTATTTAGTATTAAATAGTAGCGAGATACCCTTGCTACAATTTACACACGTGTACAATGTTACTTAGAGCGAATCAAATTAATTACAATTAATATAGTGACTTGATTTTATGTTGTCTCATCCCGTCTTCAACGAAGGTCTAAATAAATTTTTAAAAGTGACAAAAATACTATGAGTATAGATTAAAGTCAAATTGTACCGAGTCAAATGATTTAAAAATATTCCGAGCGATGAGACGAGTCAAGAGAATTTTTTTAAATGATCATAGTGCGTTGTCTGACATAGCTACGAGGTCGTGACGATGATTTAAGTGTCGAGCACTTCCGGTACATAGCAAGCTCACTGACAGGACGAGTGAACAGAACGTCTTCTAACCAGGATCGATCAGACGACGAGACAGCACTGGATCTATCAGAATATCCTGAATCGATGACCCGAGTATCATTGGTCCTCAATAATTTAGTTGAATATTTTTTGTCGTAGGTACTACCCCAAGAACTCTGATCATCATCAGTCATTCTACGAATAGGACTCATACAGGGAGACTGACGTGGTCCACTGTTACCTGAGATTCTGGACATCATACTAAGAAGAGAGCTGGTCCTAGGCAGTTTGAATCTGTTCATTGGAATCCAATACACGCCATCTTCATCTATGACTCCAGTGCGTGACTTTCTTCCATCATTCTCTTCCGGTTTAATGTGACCAAGGTCGTAGGTCAATTCTGAAAAGGGACTTTTGATTGGTCTCGTCTGATCAGTATCACTGTCAGTACTCTTGAAGGAAATTGAAGTCGATGATTCTGATTTGACTTCTTCGTCACTTCCGGTATTAAATCCATCCTCTTCGGGAACGTCATCCAGTGGTAAACATCCGTCAATCGTTGGCTGCTTGTTATTTTCCAAGGCGTAAACTAATTTTTTGACAAAATTCCTGGATGCTACGGCTTCTTTGTTTGAATTTATTGTTTGTTTACAGAGCTTTTCGTTGAGTCCCTCAATTACCTCATCAACAAGACTCTTTTCGGTGCGGATGGACGACTTCACGATTCTCTCCAGAGTCGTTGACTTTTTTTTAGAGTTCATGAACTTGGTACCCGGGGATGCTGTGCCGCAGTCTCCTGGTATTTTACAGTTAGATGGAAAACGTTTACGGAAAACACGTACTACACGCTCCGCGCTTGTTGGCACTCCTGGAACGGATGCACTTCCTATCATGGGTACTGTGGTTATGTAAGTTGCTGTAGTTATCGGTGAAGCATCTGATATATGATTCGTGGATTCATATCCGGTTCTGCAGTCTTGACACATATTATCAGTGGCCTCATTGTCGATGTTTGATTTTTCCCAAAGTATAATACGAAATGGAATTTTTTCGGTTTTTGAATTCTGAGGTGATTTCAGCGAATTGGGCGACATTGCGAAGAACTGCTTTGAGTGATTTTTCGAATCTGGTGTCTGCATTTGGAATATTGATTTTTCCTGATCGCCATCTTTATTCGGTAATAACATTTTTGCTGTACCAATTCGCAGGGGATCTTCTAGGATTAACACTTTTTTCTTATTTTCAGTGTTCTCGGCGATACTTAATCTTCTTCCATTGTTTACCAGGAGCAATTTTGGGGACTTCGCGTTACCCGAGTTTCCATCTCGATCATCCGATGGTATCTTCAGGCCACTTTGTAAACTCGCTATTAGGCTTGTTAGATTTCCATTGTGCAAAGGTTCGTCGGGTGAACTGAACTTTTTTCCACGCTCGATGGACTCGATGAGAAGTGACTTTCCTGATGTAGTTTGTCTTCTTGGAAGATTTGGAGATTCTATCAGAGTTATATTCGATGATGCCAATGGTAGAGCTGGAGTGCTGCAACGTCTGTTACATGGATGAGGCGGAGTCGAGGGCAAGTGTCGAAGACTTTTGCGAGTTTCTGCTCTCTCGAAGAGACGCAGCTTCTCTTTTATGGATCTTCCCGTAGTGCTCAGACGGCGGCCATTTTTGTGCAACGGAGTGGATGCGATAGCAGGGTGTTCGTAATTTTTGGAATAATCCGAAAATGTTGAGCTACAGTCCAGTGATTTTTCGGCAACAGGTGACGACTCTCTCTCGTTTTCCAAGATTTCGAAAAACTTCGAATTCCAATTTTCCGAATTGTTACTGTCTTGATTCGTTATATCTTCTTCGGTCAATAGAGATGTAAAGTCTGATGTGTTTTCGGTATTCCTGGTATTTTCGAAAATGCTCAATCTTCTTTCGTTGCGTGAAGTTTTGAATTTTGAAAGACTCTCTTGAATCGATGATTGTTTTGTGGACTCTGACGATCGTTTCTCGTCCAGAGACACGAAACCTGATGACTTTTCAGTGATTTCTGGGGAATTTTTATAATTTCCGTCATAGTCTGATCTGTTTGACGAATTTTTAGAATTTTCCAGATTTTTATTGACGCGCTCGGGCGTTTTTGATTCTGAATGTGACGACGGAAATATTATATTTATATTTTGTATTTTTCGCGATGGCGAAATTTTTGGAAAAGTTTTGCTTATGTAGTTTGAAGCTTTTGGTGGTGTATATTGTATTAGCTGTAGCTGCTTCATTTCTGTGTCCTCGAAGGTTTTTCTGAGTCGTGCCACAGATATTTCACCTGAACGCTTTATTTTGTAGGTCCCTGGAAAGTAATAATAAAATTAAAACTTGGATCTTAATTTTCAATTAAAATTAAATAACTGCCATTTTTTAATTTTAACATTTTTTCTTACCTGATGGGTTTCTTGATTCCAGTATAGGATTGTTGCTTCGACTGTCATCAGCGTTGAACGACATATTATTAAAGCTAGAATTTGGCCTCCAGGCACGTGGACGTGATTCGATTGGTATATCACTTTTTAAAATTTTAGGTGGACTAGATTTCTTGTTTAAGTACCAATCAGGGATCGAAAGTTTTTTCAAAGAGCCTAAAACCTTCAGTTCTGCTTCCGTCAGAGGTCTTTCATTCTAAACAGAAATAGAAAAATATTTAAAAAATGAGAAACCCAAATTTCAAAAAATAATACAAAATACAACTACTATACACGACCTGCTTTCCTGATGCCAAAAAAATATTATCAGGTAGCAAAAAATTCTTTTTCCAGAAATCAACAATTTTAATATTTTAATTAAAACCAGAAAAATTAATACTCACGTTCCTCGTTTTCTGATTCCAGGTATTTTGTTGCACTGCCACGCCAAAATTCCCGTTCTTCACCATCTTACGATTCAAGAAACCAAAGTAATGGAAATGGAACAAAAAAAATGTGTATCTTCAATCACAAACAGAAATTATTATTTACACTCGTTGTACATCCAGTACAATTTGAATTTAAGAAGAAAACAAACACAAGGTACACACTAATAATTTTCCAAAATATATTAATTCAAGTTCAAACAGCGAAACTGACAGAAAGTAACTAACTGATTTCTCAAACAATCCCTCTATTTAAGGGTTGCGATTGACCAAGTGGTGGGGAGTAAACCACCCAATGAGAAACAGCGAGCAACAGAGCCGCCAAGACGTCTTGTTCATAAACCAGAGTATTAAAACGACTATTGAAAAAAGGTCAGAATTAGCAGCCAATTACTACCTGGAGACAATAAGAGTGCCCTCTGACCCCGTTGCAACGGTGCATCCTAATAATTCGCCAATGGGACATCACAGAAACAAAACAGAGCGGCACTATGTATAAACTAAGCCCACGGGTCAGGGGATTTTCTCCAACTCGTTATATTACCTTTATTTAATTTTATTACTCAGTACCAAGTACCCGTAGCAAATTTCCATAATTTTCGAAGAATTTTCCTACAAAATATTACAATTACATTTGCACCGTTAATTAACACAAGATACCAATATTTACTGGATTAAAAGTTCCCTGCGCTCGGTACAAAACAATATTAATACATATATTCGTATATACATATGTATACTTAACTGTCAAATAAAAATATTAGAACCAGTGCCATTGATTTATTCTGCGCAGAGTACATAAATCACGTCAATTGAATATCAATGCTAATCATACCTATATTAGTCTTACAGACTTGTGCGGTAAACATACAGAAAATTGAATATAGAAAAACGTTTAGAGTCTTTCTGGGTAACATCCGAGATAAGGAGAAGAGAGAAGAATAAAACATGCTAATCTAAATGCTAATCATACCTATATTAGTCTTACAGACTTGTGCAGTAAACATAGAGAAAATTGAATATACATAGAAAAACGTTTAAAGTCTTCCTGGGTAATATCCGAGATAAGGAGAGGAGAGAAGAATAAAACAGGAAGTAGAGAGAGAAAGAGATAGTAGAGATCAGAGGAGAGCCTGAATACGAGAGGTTAGAGAGAGTTGAATAAAAAAAAAGGAAGACGTCCAAGAGAAAAGGATAGAGAGAGAGAGAGAGAAGGCCAATAAGAGAACGTGGATGGTGGGAGAGACTCTGGGTTCTTTCTCGCATAGTTCTTTAGTAACAAACTGATTTACAAACGGTACCGACCTCTCGACTCTGCCATGTCGCGGTGCAGTCAAAGATCGTTAATGTTTTCTTAATTAATTAATGAATGAATGTAAAATTTTTTTTGTAATAAAATATTGAAGAATTAAAGAAGGCAAGTGCGGCGTGAAATTTTAATAACTTTTATGATGTTTATTTGATATTAATAATTAATTAAATAGGTGCGTCTGGTGACAGTGATTATTATATTTATTATTTTTCTCTAAGGATGATATTTAGTTATCATTTTTCTACTGAAACCCGAATAGCCTGTGCTTCTTGTATGGATTGTTCAATTTATAAGTCATAACCAGGTGCACCTTATATACCTGAGTTAATCCACGTTCGTTCGGTTCAAGGTGCTGGGAATCGCAAAAGCCATAAAATGTCCCGCTAATTCGAAGATTATCATAAAATTAGCAATTACGGAAAATCCCTGAGGGTCTTTCGGTACGCTGGACGATTTACCGTAATACGAAAAAAATGTAATGGTCAATGTCAGGCGATATTTGAAAATGTTATTTTCAAATATCAATTAAAAATTTTTAGAGGTGTAAAATTATGTAAAAATTCTCAGCTCACGGATTCTGACGTATGTTTTGTGAAAATTTTGACATTCATGTACAGTCGCTTCAGGTGATTTTTGCGATAAAACTCCTGGAACTGGACACACGAATTCCAAAACGTTCACGAGCAACGTGATCGGCATGTGAGAATTTTCAGATGCCAATTCTGATCGGTGATGACCTGAATTAGTGGGAGGGAAATTGAATTTAAAAGAAACGCGTTGCCCTTGACAATGTTAAAAATAAATATACCATTCGAAATTTGTATTCAAGGTAAAAGTGAGCGTCGAAATTTTGGTTATTATTTCAAGGATTTTTCATTGAGAAATATATTGATGACTGTTGAAAAAATTCATTTGGGCAGCTAGTGAATTTACCAATTATGTATTGCGACGTTATACTTTCGTTGAAAATGGCGTTATGAAAATTTTGAAAAATATCACATGACTAAGTTTGTTCAGGATAAATTTTTAAAAGTATGACATTAGGACCGCGTGAGATAATTGAAAGGTGAAAGTCACTCCTCAAAGTAGAACACGCCGAGTGACTCTTGGGTCCGACATTGAAAAACATGCCCATGAAATATTTCAACTACATTCGAGTTTTTTGCGGTATAAGAATTCACGGGAAAGAAGTGTAGTCTGTAAAAAATGTGAAAAAATAATTTTTCCCAGCATTCCTAGGACTTATCCTTTTTTTATTTCGTTACAGGCAGAAATTGGATAGAAACAATGGTATTATTAATTCAATCAGCGACGTCACGTCTGGGACATCGCTTGTCACGATCATGCCGATCGTTATGTAGCGAAACACTGAATGCAACGGGTCATGTGACGTCGTCTATTTCCGGAGACCTTGATAGGGCCCAATCGTATGATCTTGTACCAGGCCCGAAACCTATACCGATTTTGGGCAACACGTGGCGCCTTCTACCAGTCATAGGTCAATATCAGATATCGGACGTGGCTAAAATATCTCAAATGTTTTATGACGAATATGGAAAAATCGTTAGACTGACTGGTCTGATTGGTAGGCCTGATTTATTATTTGTCTACGATGCCGATGAAATTGAAAAAATATATAGACAAGAGGGACCCACGCCGTTTAGGCCATCTATGCCGTGTCTTGTTCACTACAAGAGTGAGGTTAGGAAGGACTTTTTTGGAAAATTGCCTGGAGTTGTTGGAGTGTGAGTTTACGTTTGATTTTGTGTATATATCTATACAGTGGAATAGATAATTTATGCATGCTTCATTATACGTTGATTTTTAAATTTATTTTAATGATTTTAGACACGGGGAACCGTGGAGGGAATTTCGTACGCGGGTCCAAAAACCAGTTTTACAACCTCAAACTGTACGGAAATATATTGGGCCTATCGAGGTGGTCACTGATGATTTTATTCAGAGGTACGCGATTTTTGGTCTTTTATATCGATTGGTCATTCAAGCTGGATATTATTATTTTTCTAGAATTGAAAAAATTAAAAGGGACGATTGTGAACTTCCGGCTGATTTTGATAATGAAATACATAAATGGGCTTTGGAGTGTATTGGCAGAGTTGCGCTCGATGTCAGACTTGGATGCCTTGGTGATAAGTTACCGCTAGATTCCGAACCGCAGAAAATCATTGATGCGGCAAAGTATGCTTTGAGGAACGTCGCCGTTTTGGAATTAAAGGCGCCATTTTGGAGATACATTCCTACGCCACTTTGGACGAGATACGTGAAAAATATGAATTATTTTATCGAGTAAGTTTTATCATTTTTAAACTTGAATTCAAAAATATATAAACAGGTTTTTTTTAATTATTATCCAATTCTTTCTTTTTAAGAATTTGCATGAAGCATATAGACGTCGCGATGGAAAGATTGAAAACCAAAAAAGCTTTGAGCGAGTTGGATCTGTCGTTAATCGAAAGAATTCTGGCAAAAGAATCTGATCCAAAAATGGCATATATTTTGGCTCTTGATCTAATACTAGTCGGAATAGATACGGTAATTTTTTTTTGAATCGACGAAGAAAATATAGAAAAAAAATTTTATTTCACAACGTTATCCAATTGAAATTTTCATTTTAGATTTCAATGGCAGTATGTTCCATTTTGTATCAATTAGCAATCAGACCGGAAGAACAAGAAAAGATTTATCAAGAATTAAAAATGATACTTCCGGATCCCACCGTGTCGTTAACAACAAAACATTTGGATCAAGCAGTATATACAAAAGCATTCGTCCGTGAAGTGTTCCGGTAACAAAAAACTTCTAATTAACATAATCAATCAAATTTCGATATTAATTAAAAAGTAGTATAAATTATTATCGACAGAGTATACTCCACTGTCATTGGCAATGGTCGTACCTTGCAACACGACACTGTCATCTGCGGTTACAAAATACCAAAAGGTGTAAGTTACAGGCAAAATATTTTTATATTGAAAAAATGTATATACTTTCATTTCTAAAAAAAAACAGTTGCATCCTTAAAACTAATTTTGTCTTTTCAAATTCAGGTCCAAGTAGTTTTCCCCACATTGGTAACCGGAAATATGGAAGAATACGTAACGGATTCAAAAACCTTCAAACCTTCTCGTTGGATAAAAAACGATAATAATGAAAAATTGCACCCATTCGCATCATTGCCTTATGGTTATGGCGCCCGAATGTGTCTGGGCCGAAGATTCGCCGATTTAGAAATACAAGTCTTACTAGCAAAGGTAAGCAGACTAGTGCCTGAATATAAACCTATATTATTTTTTAATATATCCCGATATATAATTATTCTCCATTTTTATATTTATAGCTCATCCGCTCTTACAAATTGGAATATCATCACCAGCCTCTAAAGTACAAAGTGACTTTCATGTACGCACCTGACGGTGAACTCAAGTTCAAATTAACTAAGCGATAATTAATGTGAATACTATCCTTGACATATATTCATGTTATATATGGACACAATGTTAATAGTCGTATACGAAACAATGTATATAAATATTATTAAATAATATAAAAATCACTAGGACATACTCGTGATGTATAAAATGTTTATTAAAGTAAAAAAATTAATATTAAAACAATAATATAATTTTTATTTTTATTTTCACATCTGTAACTAACTTTGATTTTACTCTAGTTTTTCGTGACTTACGTAGTGTCCAGTCGACTTACAATTAGATCGATGTACCGTGAGTACAGGATAGAAAGGAAGGCGGACAGTCAAAATGATTTGCGTTTTTATAACAACCTTACAGGAAATGCTAACGGTCGTCCAAATCCTTTCGCCTCGTTGCGCTTTCGGATACGGTCGTGCAACCTCTATTTCTTTCTCTCTCTGTCTCTCTCTCTCTCTCTCTCTCTCTCTCTCTCTCTTACAGTTGCCGTCATGTGGATCGCCCGGAGACTTCTCATCAGTCACGTCTCTTTGTACTTCGCGCTCTGATCCCCACACGGGATTGGATTCGCATACACTTCTTCACGCGACATCTCTTGTACGACTATCTCTTTCTCTTTCTCTCTCATACCTTTTTGTCATAGATATTCGTTCTGCCAGAGTCCGACGGCATCGACGCTCTCACTCACTAGGTACGTATTCGTGCGTTCTCTATCTTGCTCGCACTAATAGGTTTCCATCGGTAACGGTTCACCGTTGATAGAGTTATGTCTCATTGACGGGTAAAGACTTATTATAATTTTTATATGTAGTTAATAAAATAAAAAATTTTAATCGTTTGCAATGACAATAAATTCGTAGCGACTGTTAAAAGAAGGTATAAATTAGACTGTTTATCTGGTGATAAATTTTAACTTCAAGGGTCCTTTTGGCGTGTACATCGGGTCTATGTGATAATCCAATTTATCGTAATGATATTCCAGCTTGTAAGTTTGAATGATCTGAAAGAATGTAAAATTACATAGGATGCAGATACGTTATAATTGATAAATAAATTAGACAAAAATTATTGTGCGTTTTTACATCGTTACTATGCTTATACGGAATTTCTAGGTGCACATTAAACAACACCGTGATGTGTATCGAAGGGAATAATAATAACTATGGAGAAACTTTTCTCTGACGCGCGATAAAATTATGAAGAAAAAATAATCTTGTGTGATTCAAATGATGGTTCAGAAAAGTAGGAATTTTGTTGGGGGGTTTAATTGACTATTGTTACTCACCTTACTAATTACTACAGCCATTTCTAAATCCGCGAAACGTTTGCCAAGACACATTCGTCTTCCGTAGCCAAACGGAAGTGAGGCAAACGCGTGGAGAACGTCATTTCCGGTCAACCAACGTTCTGGAAGGAATTCTTTACTCCTTGGGAAATACTTGTCCTGATTACTGATAACGTAATGCTGGAATACTACTTGCACCTGACGGAGAAAAAAGTGATTTTTATTGATAATAAAGATTATTTTATTTATTATCGTGCAACTTTTTTTTTACCCCTTTTGGAATTTGATAACCACTGATTATCGTATCTTTTGTCATACAACGTCCATTTCCAATTACTACTGGATACATTCTGTTTTGCAAAAGATTATGGAATTATTATGTATATGTATGTAGTGGCTGGTAATTACGACTACGTTAATAATTACCGTAAAGTTTCCTTTATGCAGGCTTTCAAGTACTTCAAATTGTCCAAGTGTCTTGATTCCAATTTTTCATTCCGTTGCGGAAGGGTACGTGCCACCTCGTCGAAAAGAATTGCCTGTTTTTCGGGATGCAGTGCCAATTGATAAAGTACAGATGCAACAGCATTCGACGTCTAAGAAGAAGTAGAAATAACCTTATTTTAATAATTTGCTAAAAAAATTAAAATCCAAAAAAATTTACCGTGTCGATCCCAACTAAAAATAAATCCAGAGCAAGGATAGAGGCCGTTTTCGTGTCGTTCTCAACTGCCAAAATTTTTTCCAAAATTGATAATTCTTTTTCACTATCCCCACTAGTTTTTTCTCTCATCAGCGCAGCGTCCGTATACTTCCTGGTAATACTAAAGTCAAATGCTATTAATTAATATATAAAAAAAATTTTTAATCAACAAAAATTTATACCTACTCCACTATGACGTCCAGAGCGTTAACAAATTTTTGCCAAGTGGGTGTATTGAATATTTTCCAAAATGGTATTTTCAATTCCAACACACCCACATTTTTGAAGAATACATTTACGGCATCTATTAATTTTTGCGTCTCCAACGGTGCGTCGTCGTCTAGGCAACCGAGTCTGACATCCAGCGCTACATTTGCAATTGCTAAAAGAAAAGGATTGGAAGAAAAATTCAAGCTTTAAAATATTTCGAGTTTAATATCGTAAAGAGAAACACACGTGTCATGTGTGGAACGTAACAGTCACCGTAAAAAATGCTAAGCACATCATTTGAATATTCTAATATATGCTAAGGAGAGTCAAAACGAATCGTCGAACAAGACGAGTACTCACATTCTAAGGACCATTTATGAATTTCATTGAGAAAGTCATCTGGCGTTTCGTCATTTTCATCTTTTATTCTGTCTATCCTGTAGCGTGGGCGTGAAGGAATAAAAAAAAAAGTTAATGGATAACACAGAATTATTTTGCCTATAGACGTGATGGGATACCATGGATATAATAGTATATACCATATATATATATATATATATATATATATATATATAGAGTTTATTCACGAAAAACATACCAGCTGAAGTTGGAGGCGATTGAACAATTTTGTTAATCGACGCCTTGTTACCAAAAAAAAAATGAAAGAATGTGAAATTCATGGGTAAATCAATGTTACGACGTTAAATTTAATTTTTGCAATGATGCCACCCTGCTATGATTCATGAAATCACCCATTCGCGGCCAATCTCAGCTGATGCTTCTGCCGTGAATAACCCTGTATACACACGCGTAAATGAAAATATATCCAAAATCATATAATTATATATATATATATATATATATATATATATATATAGCATAAAGAACGTTCCATTTCTTTTAGAATAGTTTAGCAGGATTTATTCTCCATTCAAAAGACTCAATAGATAATAACGACTCAGTCTACCGTCTGATTTTGGCTCTGGCAGCAAGTTTGAAATTCGATATTGAAGAAGTCCTAAACGAAATCAGCAAAGAGTATAACTTCGTACAATGGCGACGGGCAAGTCTTTAGTGCTGTCAGAATGGGGTCGTAAAATCGTCGAAGCAGAGGCGCGTCTCTTTAAGTATACCATACAAAAGCTAGTAATTTCTTAAGACATAAAAACCTGCGAAGAAACGATTGGCTGGCCTCCTCAATAGCACCAATGTACATCCTAGCTGATCGTGGCTGCAGCATCACTTGTTGCACTTTACTTCGAAAATTATACCAACTTTCACCGTGACTGAAAAGAAAGGCGTACAGAGCGCAGTTAGGTGTAGGAAATATATTGTGAGGTGAAAAAGCCAAGTTATATATTTTGTATGAAGTGGCATTTTTTCTTCACCTTGAAATTTACCTAATCGTTAAAAAAAAAAAATACTCACACGCCAATGACTCCTGCATTGTTACCAAAATGTTCTTTGCGCAATACGTGCTTGTAGTAATTCAAAGATGGCATGGAAGGACGATGAGGCATTTTTTCCTCCTGACGAAAAATTCTCTCAATTTCGCTTGCGTCATAAATAAATACCATATCCGGTCTTCCTAAAAGACCTTCAATTTTCACTATGTCACCATAGACCGCGTGAAGGCACGTGGAGACTTTGTCTACTTCTTCGATTTTGAAATCGCCTGAAAGTATTAGGTGACGATTGGCTAAATAATTATATAAGGTTCGAGATGGATTTGCTATTCGAAAATTATTATAATTAGTTTTCAATTAATTAACAAAATTTAATTAATATTTATTACCAATATAGGGAATGAATCTCCATGTATTGCCAAGAAATGGAATTGGTTTTGGTCCTGGAATTTCTGAGTATGGACGGATCCCGCACGAGTGGGAATTCTCTGAATGTAATTCTGTAGTCATTGTATTTAATGATCTAGAAAGGATCCTTGGATCCTTTGAATAGATCTTTTTAGAAAGTACTAACAGACTCACGAATTTTCTTGAAGACATGATGGATGCTGGAATATATATATATTTTTTTCACTTTATTTAATTCCATGATTTTTACACGTTCAATTCACTATTTCTAGCTTCTGTCTGTCAGCCTACATAAGCGGGGTAATGTAATCAGCCTATATATGTAATTTCATCGTGACTTAGCAAAGTGGTAAACATAATTGAAGAAAATGTCTTTCAAAAATAACAACCACAAGTTACTGATTATCTTGATTTATAAATCGTAAGGTAACTCCTACAAACTTTCACGATGGTACCTGACCCAAATTTCTATTGAGATTATAAGTTTGAAATGGGACCTGATTCTTTTTTTTTCTAATGCCACGTGGCATTTATTTGTCTGGGTCCAGCCGTAATAAAATAGTCACGCTATATGACGGAGCGGTTAGATGAGCTTTCCAAAAATATCATCGTAGTTCAATATCAGGTGAAAATTGAATATAAAAAAAATAAAATTATTTTATCACGTTTTTCACTTGAATTTCTAACTCATAATTACTTTACTGCAGACATTTTTACTGTTAAAACGTGACAGTTTAGTATTAGGTCAAACGTGAATAAAAAAAAAAAATTAAATTACACTTGTGTCACTTGAGTTTCTAATCCGAAAGTAATTTCGTGCAGAAAACTGTTTGTATTACAATATGATTTGACCATAAAAAAATTATTATTTTAATGTGTGAAACTGGAACGAATGGAACCAGGAACTATTGAAGGTCAGAGTATGCTATTAGTTAAGCATGCACTATTTTTTTTTAATAACATATATAAGGCCCAGATCCTCCTTTTTTGCAATGTCATTTTTGGCTATAATTATATGTTACCTGTTTCGGTAGAATTAATTAGAAGCTAAAGACGCCCACCTAAAATTTTACGAAACGCACAGATCGGAAGCGAAGACACGGTTTTCTTTTAGAGACTAATTGCTTCCTCATAGAGGAAGCTATGTTTTTATGAAAAATTTTTTTTTACAGATTTTCATGTTAGAATACTTAACATGGTCTAAAGCGTCAAGAAAAGAAATTTAGAAAAAATGTCCGTGTGTGTGTGTGTGTGTGCAGGGCTTCGAAAATTCAATTGCCTCTTACTCAGTAACCGTTAGAACGATCGGACTGAAATTTGGCACGCAAGTAAAGTAGATATCCCTCTTTAAATGTTGCGATTTTTAATAAAATATATGCAAACATTCAATTTTTGTCATTTAAAATTTTTTGAAAAAAGGGCGTGGTCGCTCTAACTTTCGTAAAGGTTCGACGATTTAGCTAAATAATTCTTCATAACTGAAGATACGTTCAATGTTGTTTGGTATTGAATTTCGACAAGATCGTTAAAGCGGTTCAGATTTTACGTGGTTTTGAAATTTTAAAAAAATTATCGTTATTGTTTTGTTTTTTTTTTACGTTATTTTTAATTTTTTATTCCTGTAAGTACCAATGTTCAATTGCATATAACTCGCGAAAATAAATCAAAGAACTTCCTCATAGTGAAGGCTTTGTGAACGAAGGAAAAGAATCAAGAAGCAAAGTGTAAGATTCTACTTTGCATCATTGTGATAGAAAAAACCAAGTAAAATAATGAGGAAGCAATTTGCAAGGTTCTACTTTGCACCCTTGTTTTTTTATTTTTTCACGAATTTTTGAAAAAAAAATTTCATTGTGTTTTTGCGGACAGTCAAGTTACATTTAATTTTTATGTTTGGCGTCTCTCATTTATATTCTTTAAATATTGTCATTATGATATGTATATATATATATATATATATATATTAGTTAATCAGTAGTGAAATTTTAGGGAAGTCGATCAATTAAAAAAATTATAATCTCGTAATGTGATTAACGTTAATTCATAAAGTGAAATAATTATCTACTTACCAGTATTGCTCTTTTTTAATAATAACAATCCGTATCTAAAGAGAAAACAATCACTTGTCGATATTTTATATTTTAACAAAACAGTTTTTGCGATAACTGTAACATCACGTTGTCATTTTTCTATTATAAATTATAAACTTTCTTCAATCACAGATATTTGAAACTGAAGAATCGCCTTAACGTCTTCCGCATTATTTGGCGCGAATTCAAAAAAATAAAAAAAATTAAATAACTAATATTAAAACAAGTTAAACAATTAAATTTTACTGACGAATTTTTAACGTGTTATCAGTGTATATTCAAAAATGACAATTTGGAAACAAAATTTTCTACAACAGATCTCTTGTCAGTTGGGCACTGGTGGGTTTGGATATCGTAGGAATGGCAAACTAAAAGAATGCTACTTCAGCGGGTTGGATGAAAGGTAAATTCATGGTGGGAGAAGAGAGCACTTTATGAAGTACAATTCTAAGATAGTGAATGTTAATCAAGAAAGTATTATCAACTATAACCTTAGATCAGCGAAGGTTAATTAGTTCATCTACCCCAGATCTTGAGAGATTATACCAACAATTTAAAATGTTTCGATACCACGTTAATCTCATAAATTTTTAGTAACCATATTCAAATAATTGATAGCAAATTTTTCAAAAGGCAAGCGATTTTTCCATTAGTCACTCGACTGGAGTATTTTTATTAAATACAATTATATCACGTCACTGCTGCCAAGCTCGATACGAATACTTCTCATAGACATTTATTTACAGAGGTAAAAATGGGACTAGCGAAATCTCGAAGAAATCTGAATAATTAAAGGAGTATTAAGGCCAGATAAATTATCTTCATGCAATTTTAATGGTTAATCTTAAATGTATTTACGTGTCACAAAACGTGACTGTCACATCCTGCCATTTAAAAGCCTATCGTAGTCTATTCTGTTAGTCATATGCCTGTTTTTTCATTGTCTTTTAAATTCACAGAGTAGTATAGGATATAATAATATTTTCAATTTAAATAATATAAAAATTTTTCTGTATACGTTGAAAATAAAGACTTTTTAAAATAATTTATTACAAGATTGTAAAAATGTAGGTTAATTTTTAATTTTTTAACGATTACACAGAACCATGGTGATGAAACATTTATCGTAGATCTACTGTTCTTGTGCTATTGTTAACTCAAATAATTAGTAACATTGTATAAGAATAAATTAGCAATTTCAATTTCCATATTTATTAATGATATACACTCGCGTTGAAATATGCATCTTTTAAGCTAAGTGTGTAAATAACAGTTATTCGACAGTGTTTTTTTACGATTTTTCGAATTTCCTATAACTGACGTGAGTGCGAGAGAGACGGGCTTATAAGTATCTAAGTGAGTAAGAGAAGGACAGACATACATATAGGTCAACCAAATTCAACGGAATGAATTAAATACTGTCTCTTCAATTCATTTTACTGATTCCAATTTCGAACGACCATTATTTATGCAGTTTTAAAATTGCAATGATCTATGTGACATATTTGTATATACAAAATTTATTATGAAAGTGGCGCTATCTTTGTAATACTAGTAGAACCTTCTTGACATTCGTTTATACAGTATTCAACTGTATTTTATAAAATTTACAAAGTTTATTAAATACTTGTTTTTGTTAGACTGATAAATAAATTGCTGGGATATATATTAATAGAGGAATTTTAATTAAATTGTTATGAAATTCAATAGATCTGATATTTATTACACAGTAGATTTACTGTTAAAGCTTTCAAAACATACATAGTATAAATGGTGCGTATATAGTTGTATAAATTGGTTGAAACAGTAACAAATTATAAATTGGATTTCTTAAAAGTATAGTAACTATTAGACATGAAAATTATTAACATTTAAATGCGTTCAAAATGTATGCAAATATTTTTTAAACCAAGACGCTAGTTACAGGAACACGTAAATATTTCCATAGTAGGCACTAAAGGCATTGTCTTTTCATTAGGTAAAAGTATTTTTAACAAACATATATATATATATATATATCAGACTAATACTAACCTATCGTCTATTCTTACTAAACGTAATTGGTAAATATTTCAAAAAAAAATTTGTCAAAGTATGTCATGCATCTGCAAAAAATCATGAACGATCAGATACCAGTACGACTATCTACATCCTTTAGAGCCCAATAATTGTTAATCACAGAATATCAAAATGACCTTGCAATTTGTGAAAATCTACATCTTAAATGCTGTACTTAATATTAATAATTAATCACAGGATAAATTGTTTTCCATGGTGTTTCTCACAATTTTGTATCTCAGTTCGCTTTATCAGCCCGAGAATTATTATTTTCAATGTTCCTTTGTATCGTTTCCAAAATGTTTCGCAGTCTTTCGAATTCCGCAGCTATTTTCTTCTCCTCCGATACCTTTCCCCTCTTATCAAGAATTTCCCTGGCCCTTTCAACTATCACGGGATCCATGCATTTTCTGCCACAGTGTCCCAGGATTTTGGTTTCACCATCGACAACCTTCCTCAAAGGAATTCTGATCTCGTTGCATTTATATGGCTTGGTAGCTATCCTCCTGCTAGGCAGATATTTGGGAAAGAATAGAATCTTCTCTGCGAGATAACCAAGAGGACTCAGTTTTTGTCCAAAGAGTCCTGGACAGAGGCAACAGGTCCTTTCAAATATTGGTAGACCAGCTGAAATCCTTTCAACGTACGCGACCAATTTTGTTCTTGATATAAGACCGACGAGTTCAGCCTCTCTTAAAATATTTCCCGTGTCGCTGACAGCCATACCGTTTAACAGATTAAAAAGAACGATGGCAATCAGGAAGACGAAGAGGATAAATATTAGATGACTTAATATTGGAATCGCAGTGAATGGGATGTCGCTGGCATCGAATTCTCCAGTTAACATTATTATTGTTTTAAACAAGGAATGTCCAGGGTCTGGAAAATTCTCATCTTGCTCATCCTTGAATAGCGTGTAGAATGAGAAAGCGAATGCGAGGATCAGGAATGCATAGAGAAACAGAAACCTCATGAAGTTCATAGATACGGTCTTGAACATTTCTATCCCTGTAGACATTTTTGGAAATTGTCCTATCAGTATTATCAGCTCCCAAGCAGAGAGCAATATGGCGACTGCGCCTACCTGAAAATAATAAAATATTAAATTATATAATCGTTTAAAACAATTTTTTTTTTGTAAATAATATAAAATACCTGGACGGTGGGTCTTGAGATCAAAGAGATTCCCATGACTATGAGGATAACTTCAAGCCAGTTTTCAAAGCTGGAGACGTAGTGCCTTGGCGACGAAACCAATTGAAGAATTTCCCGAATTGTCAGTAACAGTAAAGAGACTCCAACGATAACATTCCAAAAACCAAGGGTCATCCACTTTGTATTTTGATCCTCGCTGTCACTGCTATTTCGCGAATTTTCATTTGCTTCGTTCCTGCCAGATTTTCTCCAGGTACCGGCCATGCACAGTATATACGTATTCAGTAGTAAGTAAAATAAAACATAGAAGAGGAAGTTGGCATAAAAAATATGACGAATCCTGTGCCACTTCAAATACAAGAACGATGAGAGAACCGGATGCATCAATAATTGTCTCAGTGAATGTTTTCCAGCTATAAAATCAAGAGCGTCCATTTCCGTACTCCTCGGTGCCCTTCCAGAAGAATCCGAATGTGGCTCCAGACAATCAAATATAAATTCTATCTCGTAATCTTCAGTCCGCTCCTTAGAACTTCTTATGCACTCGTCCAAATATTCCGACAAGATCTCTGGTGATATATGATCCAATGGAGGGACGCCATAGTTATTGCGATATCCAATGTAACTGCCAGCACGAAGTAAATCCAAAACAGCTTCCGAGCAGTCAGCTCTGGCTGCATAGTAGAGCGGTGTGTTTCCTTTTTCTAAAAATTGACCAAGACTAATATAACATACGACTTAGTTAAAAAATAAAAAATTATAATTTTACATAGTCAAAATAACAAACCGTCTACACAACGAACGTCATGAATCTTATTCATGATCATCCTGAAGCACTCGATACGATCCTCACGTTGTCTACCAGGGACACCAAGTTCCTGGCTAGCCAAAAGCAAGAGGCTTCCATCCGGCTGATATCCAGCATCCAAGATTTTGCCAAGAGCCTCGTGGAAGTTGTTCCTGACTGCAGCCTCAGCTGCTGAATCAAGTCCAGTAGGATCCTGATCAATTTTCAATATCTCTCTAATAGCACGTCCAAAGCCACGTTCTGCAGCCATCCTCATAAGTTCACCACGGTCTCTGAGATGACCCTGGAATCCTTGGAGTTCCTTCAGGAAGTTCTCCTCGTCGTTCACCACCAGGTAATATCTCAGTGAATTTTCATCAACGAATCTCTCGTGTGCCGGAGGCAGTGGGATCTTGCTCATCTCCGTTTCCAAGACCTGCCTGGTTGTTAATCCACGAAAATCTGGATAGCTATCTAGATCCGGAGGACAGGATGAACGCTCCAGAATGGTCCTGACCATTTCTTCATTGTTACTGGTAGCTGCCAAGTGGAGAGGAGTTTCTCCGCGGTTGTCAATTATGTTAGGACTTGCTCGATGATCTAGGAGGATCCTGACTGACTCTAGATCATTTGACAGGACCGCGATGTGGAGGGCTGTTTCGTCGTCGGCTAGGAGATTAGGATTGATCCAAGGATCAGACAGCAGAACACGAAGTACTCCTTTATGTCCATTCTCTACGGCGAAGTGTAAAGGTGCACGACGATGTGCTCTGTTCACCACGTTAGGTTTGGCACCCAACTCTAGGAATAGCTTCACGAAGTCATCCAGACCATCCGAACAGGCTATGTCCAGGAAGCTCTTCTGCAGAGGATCACCGAATACGTAGTTTATGTTTATCAGTGGTGGATTCTGACTCAGATAACGTCGCGCTGTGTTCTCGAAGGATATTAAGTCATGATTTTGTAGATACTCCAGGAGATGATTTTCAGGGGTCAGATGCTGGAACCTCGGTGCTTGCAAAAGAAGGCATTCGCCTTCTGGGCCCATTTTTATCTCACTGAAATAATAAATATTAAAAAATTGAAAATTCCCATAAAGACATTTAATTGTTATTAAAAATGTTATTATTAGCACTTATTATTAGCAGTGTATTTTTTGGTCAATCTTCAGTAGCTTGTTTTACAAACTTCCAAATTTTTATATTTATTCTTCACTAAACGTCACAGCCAAAAATACATTTTCACGTATACAATAGTTTGGTGTTTACATTAAATATTCTTAGTGCAAGCAAACATCCGGCACATCTTTTTATCATATATTAATTAACACATCGTCTTTCAATGCTTCGTGGTAAACTTGAATTACACTATCGTAAAATGTTAAAAAAATTAAAAGAAGTAAAGAGTAAAAAATTTCAACATTTTCAATATAAAAGTCTCTAAGTTTATACGTCCCTGGTTATGACGCGCCCGTCACACGTCATCAATTAATAATTCTACGTCTGGACCATTAACGTCCAAATTAAGACCAGTTAATGACGCGAGACTTCCTTAGTGAAAATTTTCAAAATCCAATAATGGACAACCATATTGCAAAGCAATACAGTCTAATGGAAGTGAAAAAATTTTTTGAATTGACAGTAGGACCAACAGGTGTCCAACACAGGTGGTCTGAGACGTAAACAAAGTATTCTAACCTCCCAAAATGTTTGACAGTCAAGCTTTTCCAAAATGGTGGAAGTTTGAACGCCCTCTGTCAAAGTTAACGACTTTCACAAAGAATCTGATACCAAGTATTCACAACTGCACTGGCTCGACTGAGCCGGTATCGTGTTGACTTCGTGCAACAAAAAGCAGCCTCGGCTATCCTCGGCACTAGTAGAGGGGGAAATATCCGGTCGAGGCTATAACATTACATTCCTGGAGCTCGTTCCAACACCTTACTCAAATGAAAGAGAGCCACTGTCCAAATGGACCACTTAAGGATAACATAAGATACGAGTCAAAATAACGGTAACCGTGAAACCAGACTTTCCCACTCGAGTCAAAAAACTTTAAACGTTCCACCCCAAAAACTTTTCCAGATAAAAATAATAAACAACCCATAGAAAAATGTCCATACTGAAATTATTCTGTTTATTTATATTATATATTAGCATACATTTTTTGGACAGAATTTTTATAAAATTAGATAACTAGTTTAAACTCCAAATAAAAAATTGTTAACAAATTTGGAATCAAACAATAATTTGAGTAAATAGTACCGTTACAAAAATTACAGACAAGTACAAAATAAGATATGGATGACATAAGATTGTTCAGAGGGAAGAACAAAAAATATTTTCAATGCCGTCATGCACGAGCGAGGGTGTCACCCGTGTCACCATAAAAGGTCGCCAGTCCGATTTCGCGACCCACGCAAACTTGGCTAAACAGTCCTTGCCATATTTTGCGAATATACCACAGTCCACAGGTAAAAGATATAGAAAGAAAGTGACAGCCACAACATGAATCACGACGTACAAGAAAGGTTTTCTGTCTTCGCTATCCACCCTCTGAACGTTTGTGTATTAGCGCCTTCATCGCGACTGATATATACCTATATGCTACCTGCAAGTATATTTCAAAGCGTCGCGGCGCACGCGTCGACTAATACCTGTACGTCAGTTGCAGCTTCCAGAAGGCGCGCGCGATAGTTTAACACTCGCAAGAAACACAAGTTGGTTCTGCGTTCAGTTCGCTGAGAGGCGCCAACGAATAAGGAGGTGTTTGTACTGGTTATTGTTACTTATTTTTGATCAACGTAAATTCAGACTGAACTTTTAGGAACGTGACAGAAGAAGAATTGTTCAATTCGTCAATATCGATACTAAAATCTTGACATTAATAACAAAAATTTTTCATAGAAGCCAGAGAGGATAATTGTGTTTTGAAAAATTTTAGCAGTCGCTGTGCTGATTCGCCATATAAACGTAAGTGGATACTATAGCATTGAATTACTGATTAGTAAGTATTAATTAATACCTATTATTTTGTGTAATTAGATAAAATTTCATTGCGCTATATCTATATTTAGATTTATACAGGCAATCTGAATTTTGTATATTCATGACATATCTAACTTTGTATAGTATAACGACACGTTCTAAATAGTTTCGATATAATAGGACAACGAGGTAAACCTATCTAGCTTGCTATCTAGCTTGCCGCTTCTTTACATTATTTGTCACTCGGCTATCCAGAAGCATTGGCATACGAAGGATTTACGTGTTGGAATTTTATTTAAAATAATTCAGCGTAGATAAGGTGTCAAAGAAAGATGTAAACTCTGAACAGTGAAGAATAAATATTCCTGTGGACACGTGTGGGACATTATCTTCTTTTTCAGTATTATTTGTAAAGGCTCGAAGTTTCAATATTTGCAAAGAAGTCCTCAAAGAGAGTCAAATGGGTTGACTGTACAGTGTAAACAAATATTACAAGAGAAGCACTGACAGAGTGTACAGGTTAATTGACACAAGATACTACTTAAATTTAAAAAAAATAATTAAATCATATTTTGTAAAGGCCTAAAGTAATTCAATAAATAATTTGTAATTACAATTATATTCTGCCATAGAAGAAAAAGATTTGAGTCACATATGGTAAAGAAATTCTTTCGATATTATAAATCCGTGTCATAAGTACTTTTTCCGTGTGTGTTATCCATAAGCATGAGAATAATCCACATATATATGTACACGCTTATACTTCATTATCCATTTATGGAGATGAAAGCCTTCGGGCGCAGCGAGGGCCCAGATTTGACACGACGTTTGCTTGCATTGCTACCAAAACAAGAAAGTTACCATTACCCAATGCTCCAGTCAATAACGCAGCTAACAATCCAGTGAAGTTGCATTATTCAATATTTGAATTTACGCGCCAATCCTTAATCGATGCTGAATACAACAACCGATACGACTTGATATTTGAAACAATGATTAACGACAAAAAAGTTGAAAGAAAATATCAACTGTTATCAAATCATACACTTGGACATCATTTACAGTGTATTACGAACTTATGAGTAATCGATAATTCAATTGGTAATGACAAATTGCAAATGAGGTCACGGTCGTATCAGTCAATAAACACCAATTGCTTCTGGAGCGGAACAAAAAAAAGATAGCCACGCATCGGGGAATATAAAAATACGGTACAGCTATGGCGCGTGAAGATTGTAGCATCATGCTTGCCCAGTGCAAATACATGTATTATAATGAAAAGGACACGTTCAATGATTTGGTCACCAGTGCGTGGACGGGTCAGGGTCGGTTACAGTAAGGAAGCGAGTTTTCGCCGGGATAACATTACAGTAATCATTATTTTTAATACTATATGGCGATGATCTAACTGATCCGTCATCCACAGTGTTAACCTAGCAACTATTCGTTATCCTAGAACATCATTGCTTTGCCAAAGAGGTGTTTTCTCTTTCTGGAAATACTCTTTCTCTATTGAGCCTATATTTATATATACGCCACGATTTCTTCTTTGAATTTTTTTTCTCAGCGATGATCTAACCTACCTGTCACTCTTTGAGTGCTTACAATTACGTGTGATACAAATGCTTACTACTTGGTCACAGTGTACATTAACCTAGCAAACGTGTTTGTCATTTTAATGTAACCTTTACGTAGCACTTATACAATAGAAAATTTATGTAGTTTAGGATAGGTGACCTTTACAAGATTTTCGCTGTGATAATGATTTTTCAAATTGGTACTCCCTGACTTTCGTACAAATTCATTCATGGATGCGATACAAATTTATTGTTATACAGTTTTACTCCAATTTTGCACAATCCTTACTGCATCCGGCATGAGTAATCCGATTAAAATTACCACGTTCACCAGGCACTTTTCAAAATCGACGGATAACGTTCCTACCTCGTTATTCAAATTGATGCGGAAACACCAAGTGATTGTTAAGAACCGCGTGCCCACGCAAAATCCATAACCATTGTAATCGGTGGGTCGAAATACAAAAATGGTGGGTTGCAATTTAGGAATTAAATTGAAATTCCGTCTGTGATTTTAAAGATCGTAACGACCTTTCTTACTCGACCTGGCTAATTCGTTTCATTGCCTCTGCCACCCACAGGACTCTTACCTAACGCTCGAAGGACTCTTATCCAACGACATTAAATCAATGATATCAAGTAAATATTAATATACGTTATATAAAATTTCTTTAAATCATAAATTCAATTATCACGAGTACCATCTTAACAAATCCAAAATCCATATCAATCATCCAATTAACAATAGCCAGCCACTATCTGTCGCACTAATCATGAATCTAAGTTATCTAACGCTTAGAGAACATTACAGTTTCACCCAAAAATCTCCGTTATTGACCTACCGATACTTCGTAGCCCGTGATGCATAACAACCAGTCTGCATTGCACATTATTAGATACGGTACAGCAAGCATAGTGAACTACTATAGATATATTGAACTATGCCGTAACAGACCACAATACACGGAAAGAGTATATCGTAATAGACACTATAGTAAAAGATACATAGTTGTCACCGTTCAATAATAATATATAATATTGACCATGAAATATCTACTATACACGCGCTAGTTAAACATTACTATGTTACTACTATGTTCTGCATCCATATGCTATGCACTTGCCCATGCGCTTTGGTGCAACCTATACTATATGCAGATACAGATATATACATATTCTGCCTACGCGTTACGAGATACGGACGTCATCTCAGGACTCTATACTACGTGATGATTCAGTAATCGTTATTTGGAGGCGATTCGTAAAGCCGACCTTAAGATCTCATGAGTATCGGTGGGCGACGTGAAAGCCTACTACGAGATCATGCTCTTATATGGTGCGAGCTGACTTGTTCTCTATAGTCGTACGTGGACGTCGATTCTCTCCTTAATTCGAGGACGAATTCACGGCCATTTTAAAAACGGCACCTCTACCTTCTCTCTGCTCCTCCCTTTACTCCATTCTGGTACTGCATCGATGGCTCCATGCACTTTTACGTTCCTTTTCGTTGCACCGTGTATGCTAAAAATAGAATATATTTTAATTTGAGAAATACAGTCTATAGAAATAAAATATATCTTTGGTTACCTTATGTGGATGCTGCGCTGGGTATTGATAAGTATATATGGATGGATCTTGTTGGAATTGTGTTATCCACTTTTTTTTTTCTCTGTTTCAGGACATTTTCTTATTTTTTCTCTTTCTGATTAAACAATAAAATGGGCGGTATGAGTCAGAGACCCTGGACCCCAACCAAACGTAGGGGGCCTATTGCTGCTGAATATAACAGTCCTGGACCGGCTTGCGTTACTTTACCTCCTCTCATTGGTGAGTTCAATATGGGTCTGGTAATCTCGAGTGGAATGTTTGTACCACTTTCTCATGTACCATTAATGGTAACGATTGGTATGTTCCAAAACGGAATTGACTAATTGGTAGAAATTAATTAGATTTTTAGTAACAGCATCTAGTATGTAGTATGGTAATAGAGATGTTAACTGTCTTTTTTTTTTTAATATTCAAGGAAAAACTGCACCCGATTCAAAACGTGGTAGGGCACCGGCGTTCTCATTTGGCAATAGGTAAATAAAAGAGGACTGATTATTATTTTTATAATTAAATGGATTTGGAGTATTGATAAGTATTATCTGTTTAGACATGCCAATAAAAACGACAGTCCTGGACCAGGACCTGGCCAGTACAATGTGTCCGGACTCAGTGCCAAAGGTTTGGGGAAAAATATTTTGTACTGATTCTTTGATTATTTGAGATAAAAAATTAGCTAAGAAATCTTTGCGGTTTTTACGCGTGAAATTTTTGATCACGGTGTACATGAAAATAATCTATTGGTTTTCTGGGCTTATGGAGGTCACGAGACTGTGGTATCGATCAAACTTTGGTAAAGCTGACATAGATAGAACATGCTGGAATTTCATGGGTCATTAAAATAACCTTACGTCATGGAATTTCTATCAAGGAATTTTCTTTTCTTTTTCTTGGAAATTCCAATTTCATTTATTTTTCTCATTAGATATTTTTAATTGTTTGAACAGCGGATACGTTTTTTTTAACATCTTCCTTTTTGAGTAGGAAAAGATGCGGCGCCTGCGTTATCTCTGCACGGTCGTACGAAGTCTGCAAAAACCGAGCAGACACCAGCACCAGGAGATTACAACCCGGAGAAGGCGGGTAAGGTGATACTGGACAGTTCTCCAAAATACTCGTTTGGAATAAAAACACAAGCGGAAAAAGTGAGCACGACGCCTGGTAAGTAATGGAGTAGAAAAATTTTCAGTAAAAATCACTAAGAGCAGTGTTTTATGAAATATTAAGAAACAGTGAAAAATTATTTTTAAAAAATATTCTTTAAAAAAAATTGGCAGAATCGGCTCGTGTCGATGGAATAGATTGAAAAAATGGTGAAACATTTGTTATTCGCATGTTTTTCAAAACTTTTTTTTTTTTCTTGAAAAATTCATGGTCCCTATTTATCCTAGCACCTGGTGACTATTGCACGGAAAATGTGAATCTCGACAAAGCGCCTCAGTACAGCTTTGGAACGAAGCCTGTACTTGAAAAAGCGAACGACATACCCGGTACGATACTTCGAAAATTAGATATGCTTTCAAGTAGAACACCCTATATAATAATACATTGACTCATTAGTTTTCCTAAAATTCAAGGAATTCATAACAGATAATAAAAACAAAAAATTTCTTAAAGCATCTAATATGCCGTAACACGATACGGGGTAAGTGCACCCTAACGGAAGAAAAACACTAAATAAAATAAATAATAGGAACCACACATGTTATTAAGCTTCGTGAACTAATTATTGTAAAGAATAAATATAATTGATCATCTCAACAATTAATTAGGTGCATCGAGTAATGATCATGAAGTAGCAAGATACTAATGGTAAAGAATGCAATTAATTGTATGCATAATTAATTGGAGTAGCATAGATATTAGCATAGAATTGTATATTTAGTTGCATTAAAAAATTGTGCTAGAAATTTAGTCGTATTTGAAGCACTTCGTAGAGTGTTTTGTGTAGAAACAAATTTGATGAGTAAAAACAATAAATTTGTATAGTTAATAAATAACGTAATTAGTACTGAATTGATGCATTGTTATTAGCGCCCGGAGCATACTGCCCGGAGAAAGTAAAACTGGACAAGACGCCGCAATACAGTTTCGGTCATAGAACACCGATGGAAAAGCCAAGCGACACACCCGGTAATTAATGCATTAATTAGTAAAGAATTTAATTGGTATAAAACTTCGCAATAGCTACACAGTAGTAGCCACTGATGCTTTCACTTTCCCAAGATAGAAAAAAAAATGAAACGAATACATAAAAGATAATAGTCATAAATTCGAAGCGTTGGGAAAGATGTAAAGCAAGCATTTTTCCTGTTTCTTTAATTTTTCATTTTAATTATCATTTTAATTAGCACCAGGGACCTACTGCCCCGAAAAAGTAAACATGGAAAAAGGTCCTCAATACAGTCTCAGTGGAAAAGGACGTGCTGAAAAACCAGATGATAATCCAGGTAATTATAAAAAAATCACTTTTGTAGATCAGACACCAGTAACATACCCATAACAATACTAACGGTAATAGTCTAAAGGGACAATAGGTAAGTTTTATCACTATAATTCTAGCGCCTGGCAGTTATTCTCCAGAGAAATTTAATCCAGATAAAGGTCCTCAGTATAGTATCAGTGGTAAAGGCACAGAAGAGAAGCCAAGTGATGTTCCAGGTAAAATAGTTGTGATAAATATTGTTTATGATTTGATTGACAGTATTCACTATCATAATATCAACTATTAAATAGCGCCTGGGTCTTACTCTCCTGAGAAATTCAATCCACATAAGGGGCCACAGTATAGTATCAGTGGCAAAGGCCCTGAAGATAAGCCAAAGGATGTCCCAGGTAAAATAGTTGTGTAGTTGCTTAATCATAGTTGAAGTTATACTATATACACTATTATAAAACTAATACTATAGAATTAACTATTGAATAGCACCTGGAACTTATTCTCCTGAGAAATTCAATCCGGACAAGGGTCCTCAGTATAGTATAAGTGGAAAAGGTGCTGCAGACAAACCAAACGATGTTCCAGGTATTTATAAAACTATTAATATTTTCACAATGTAAGCTTTTTTGTTGCAAGATTAATTAGTGGCTTTTGTTAATTATTAGCTCCTGGAACTTACTCTCCTGAAAAGCATAATTTGGATAAAGGTCCTCAGTATAGTATGGGTGGAAAAGGTGCTGAACAACATCCAAACGATGTTCCAGGTATTTGTAAAACTATTAATATTTTCACAATGTAAGCTTTTTTGTTGCAAGATTAATTAGTGGCTTTTGTTAATCATTAGCTCCTGGAACTTACTCTCCTGAAAAGCATAATTTGAATAAAGGTCCTCAGTATAGTCTGGGTGGAAAAGGTGCTGAACAACATCCAAACGATGTTCCAGGTATTTGTAAAACTATTAATATTTTCACAATGTAAGCTTTTTTGTTGCAAGATTAATTAGTGGCTTTTGTTAATCATTAGCTCCTGGAACTTACTCTCCTGAAAAGCATAATTTGAATAAAGGTCCTCAGTATAGTCTGGGTGGAAAAGGTGCTGAACAACATCCAAACGATGTTCCAGGTATTTGTAAAACTATTAATATTTTCACAATGTAAGCTTTTTTGTTGCAAGATTAATTAGTGGCTTTTGTTAATTATTAGCTCCTGGAACTTACTCTCCTGAAAAGCATAATTTGAATAAAGGTCCTCAGTATAGTCTGGGTGGAAAAGGTGCTGAACAACATCCAAACGATGTTCCAGGTATTTGTAAAACTATTAATATTTTCACAATGTAAGCTTTTTTGTTGCAAGATTAATTAGTGGCTTTTGTTAATTATTAGCTCCTGGAACTTACTCTCCTGAAAAGCATAATTTGAATAAAGGTCCTCAGTATAGTCTGGGTGGAAAAGGTGCTGAACAACATCCAAACGATGTTCCAGGTATTTGTAAAACTATTAATATTTTCACAATGTAAGCTTTTTTGTTGCAAGATTAATTAGTGGCTTTTGTTAATCATTAGCTCCTGGAACTTACTCTCCTGAAAAGCATAATTTGGATAAAGGTCCTCAGTATAGTATGGGTGGAAAGGGTGCTGAGCAGAAACCAAACGATGTTCCAGGTATTTGTAAAACTATTAATATTTTTATAATGCAAGCTTTTTTGTTGCAAGATTAATTAGTGGCTTTTGTTAATCATTAGCTCCTGGAACTTACTCTCCTGAAAAGCATAATTTGGATAAAGGTCCTCAGTATAGTATGGGTGGAAAAGGTGCTGAACAACATCCAAACGACGTTCCAGGTAATGTTCCAACACTAAGCTTAAAGATAGAAAGTTCATTAATATTAGTTTAAGTATACTTATTAATTAAATACATTTATTACTAATTATTAGCTCCCGGCACTTATTCGCCTGAGAAATTTAATCCTGATAAAGGACCAGTTTATAGTATAAGTGGCAAAGGTTCTGAACCAAGACCCAATGATACACCAGGTACCATTAGAAAAATTAAACCAAATAAAAACTAAAATACACTAACAAATTTTAGTTGTATTATGAACAATTGAATTTTCAAATTAAATGGTAAATCGTATGTCACAGCACCAGGAACTTACAGTCCTGAGAAAGTAAACTTGGACAAGGGACCACAGTACAGTTTATCAGGCAAAGGGCCATCTGAAAAGCCTAATGATAATCCAGGTTGGCGAATTAATAAGAATTGATCATTTAGAAATTTATAAGTAGCGAGTAGAGATTAATTTTTTTAAACTGACTTAGAATTAGTTACTAATAATAATTCTGACTGACTTGGTAGGACCGGGTGACTACCGCCCCGAGAAAGTAAATCTGGAACATAAACCTTATTACAGCTTTAGTAACAGAACACCCTTGGAAAAGCCTAGTGACACCCCAGGTAAAGCTGATACGTACTAATAGTCCTGTAATTGAGTGATAGATAGTTGTCTTAAAAAGTATTGATTACTCAGTCATTATAGTTGGTTTGATCAATTAGTTAATGATTAAAAATTATTAATGCTACTTGATTAAATGTGCTTGGACAGTTTCATTAACTTCAATTAGTATATTGACTTAATAATTTCCTTGTTACCATTTATTAATTATTAAATCTATAACTGTCACCTAGTTGTTTAATAGATCTTATAACGAACTTCTTCAATCATTTAATTGTCGATACATTTTTTCATTTTATTTCTATTAGTTGTTTTCTATTTTGAAATTAAGTTTCACTTATTCGGTTAAATAAAGTCTATACTTATTTTTAATATAGCACCAGGAACTTATTCTCCAGAGAAGGTAAATATTGATAAAGCACCACAATACAGTTTTGGCCATCGAACACCCCTAGAAAAGCCCAGTGACACACCAGGTAAAACTCTATACAATTATTAAGAAGTTATAAGCACGTTGCACAATTCTAATTTTTTTCCTTTAATATTAAACACAAAACTTTATACTTCAGCACCGGGTACTTATTGTCCTGAGAAAGTCAATCTAGATAAAGGGCCTCAGTACACTCTATCAGGAAAAGGTCTTGAACAAAAACCAAGTGACATACCAGGTAAAGTTTCGCCCAAATAAAAAGAATCAAGCATGTTATAAATATTGTACTTCTTTTTTTACTTTTTCTTATTTGATATCTTTTAAACATCAGCACCCGGAACTTACAGTCCCGAGAAGGTAAAGCTGGATCATGCACCTCAGTATAGCTTTGGAATCAGAGTAAATGGACAAAGGCCAGACAATATACCTGGTAAGAATATTTTCTATATATTATATAAATGATGCAAAAGTGCCTATTTAGTAGTAGGTAAATATTTAGACTTGCATTACCATGTCAATGAAAGAATAGGAATATCCATTGACATAGTAAAGAAAGACACAATATAAGAGCTACCTTATGAGCACATAGGTAGAATTTCTGATGGAAAAGATTACTTATAACGTAAGTAACACGAGTTTCTGAATAATTGAAGGACCTGGGGAATACAGTCCAGAGAAAACGATGATTCTACTTCAGAAAGCGTTACAGTTTACATTTGGACTTAGACCACCCATAGGAAGGTCAAACGATGTTCCAGGTAAAAGGTCATGAAGAATAGAAAGTGACTAATAATATAAAAATAATACATCCTCCTCCTAATGATAATTCAACTGTTATACATATTAATAAAGTTGAACTGAAATAAATTATAATACAACTGGTTAACCATAAAAACTATTCTAATACAATAAAACCTTTAACAAATACTGAATAATACTGAATAATACTGAATAATCTCTTCGCCAGCCGATTCTGTCAACCAAATAAATGTTGTACATTCCATATTGAAGGACCTAAAGTGAAATATCTGTAGAAAAAAAAGAACTAAACATACTATTTGCAGCCAGTGACAGTGCAAAATTATTTATCTAAATTAATATTGGAATATTTAAAAGACTCAATTAGTGGAATTAATTATTGATTGGCTATTCATTTCTAAACGTCCATATTGGCAGCTCCTAATGTCTACAATATTCCATCTGCTCTTGGAGGCACCAAGGAAGGCAATAAGAAGACAGCACCAGCTTATTCGATATCTGGTAGACAGAAGAACTTTGCCGATGATAGGATTTTAGTTCCTGGTCCAGGAGCTTATGAGACAATCAAGGCTGATGCTGTCCGAGCTAAAAGTCCTGCTTACAGTATCAGTGCTCGTTTTCAACTTCCTGATGATCACTCCAAAATTCCTGGACCTGGTGCTCACTGCCCTGAGAAGGTAGTTATTCTTTATGTTACCCTGATTCGTCGGTCTGTACATTGTGGACATCAATTACTGATTTTCTAAAATACTTCTCTTTGCTTTAGGTTCAACTGGACTTCCCACCAGCACACACTTTTGGAATCAGACACTCTCCCTATATTTGCAACCTGAAGGATGATCGAGTCTGCTAACAAAATTATTTTGAAAATTTTACCAAGCTTTCTTATGTTTTATATTTTTCGTAAGACTAATTAGCGCTGCCAACTCTTTCCTTTTTTCGCAAGATATTCTCGCAGGGTTGAGATTTCTTATCAATAATGTTAATTTGTTTCTTTCGTTTTTAAGTTGATTACGATCTCATTAACACGAATTAGTATTTTCCAATTTTACAAGAAAACATCCAGCCAGATTCTAAGATTGAACTAAATGAATTACGGCATCTCATTTATATTTTAGAGACTAGTAGTACATTGAGTTTCATTACATCACAAATAAAATAGCTGTACTGTAATCAAAGGAAATATCTAAGATAATCATACGCAGTTAATACACAAAACGATAATTCCAGTAGAAAATTATAATTTATAGGTGCTAATGAAAGAAATGTAGCTTGATTGAAAATCCCCTCTCGACTTCTGTCACCTGAGCAAGTTGGGAACCTCCTTATTTCATATTGAGTTACTTTCTCTTTACGAATTGATGTAATACTTTATTTTTAATCCGTCCATAAGTGAATAGAAATTGTTTCCTTTAATTGGTTTATTATTTTAACATTAATTACCTGTGTACTCTATTTAATTTCTACTATCAGTGTATATTAAACAAAGAAGCTGGTAATAATGTGTTTTATTGCATAACAACCGTATTAACTTCAAGTTACGAATTTACGATTATACGTAATATATAAAAAATAATTTGAGAAGTATTCGAGATACTTTGATCAAATTTCTCTGCTCTATTCTATTCGAGACACTCTTCACAGCCGTGAAATTAATTTACAAGGTATAAAATAATTAGTTATAATCCATGGTAAAAAAATCCTCGGAAAGTCTCGAATGCATTTTTAACCACTGAGCAATTACAATTCTATTACATAATTGTTATTTTTCGTATAAACGCACTTGCCGGCGATCCACGTGGACAGTACCCCCAGTGCCTCATCAAGCATCACGAAATCCGCTTCTGCATTGAAATTCAAGACTCCCTTACGAGAATCTATTTCTAATGCTCTCGCGGGATGCAGTGTAGCAGCTTCCAAAGCCTCAACTATTGAACATCCTATTGCAAAGATGATAGACTCATATATTTGGAATGGAGAAACAAATAAATAAATTCTTAAGACATCTGTTCAAAAGTTTTCGTTGTATGGTCGAGATTTATAATAAGCACATCGAACATAAAGAAGATGAGAAAAGAAAAAATTATGTAGGACCTGCAATAACTGACTCACCGGTTGCTTCTCTGAAGAATCTTACACAATGCGACATTTCTGCTGTGCTACCGCATAGTGTTTCTGTTCCTGCAATGTAGGCTCGTTCATCACGTACTTCAATATCATATTGGCCTAGTCGATAAACACCTTCTTTAAGACCTAAAGCAGCTATAGCGTCTGTCACCAGAACCAAACCTGGAACAAAAAATAGTGATTGCTTATTTAGTTACAAATTACTTGTGTATTCCAAAGATAATACCTTCAGGATGTGTTCGATGAGCTATTCGCAATGCTGCTGGATGTGTATGAATACCATCAGCAATGATGCCATAATAGATTATTTTCTCTGTTGGTATTCTTTTAGATGTTAATAATCCAACTAAGCCAGGATCTCTGTGATGAAACTGTTTACAGAAATATGGGAGAATTAAACATTAAAAATGCATAACATGTTTAATTGTGACTATTGGTTTAAACATGTTAACTTACCGGAAGCATTGCATTGAACAGATGGGTAATGAAGGTGGCTCCATGTTTAACAGCTTCCTCACCATCACTTAAATTTGCAACCGAGTGACCTGATGCATAACAAAAAAATAAATGTATTATTTATATTTTATACATCTGTACACAATAAGATTAAAAGAAATCTTACCCACAGATATCTTAATGTCTTTTTTGCATAGTTCGGATATAACTGATAATGCATTTGGAATTTCAGGCGCAAGAGTTACATAGCAAATGTTTTCCAAGCTCGAGTACATATCTGTGAGTGATCTGAATCCCTAAATAATAATTAAAAATCAGTGAGCTAAATTTCTATGAATTTGAATCAGATAAAAATGGATTAAAGAATCTTACATTTTCAAAATTTCTAATGTACTCCTCTGGATGAGCTCCTTTCTTAGTGATACTTATGAATGGACCTTCAACGTGTACCCCCAAAACTGTTGCACCATGACTTCCTCCGTTACGTTTTTTAATTTTTGGTAATACCTTTCTATAAGTTTCTGGTGGAGATGTTACCAAAGTTGGACAGAACGATGTAACACCATAAGTAAGTAATTTCTTGGCGACCTTATTAACACCTTCCTCGACAGTGTCAATATCATTAGAGAAATCAACCCCAAATCCACCTGTAGTGAAAAAAAAGTAAAATTGAAGAAATACTTTGAAGAATAAAATCACAGTACTACTACAAAAAAAACGATAAATGTAATAATATAATATTTTTCTTCAATAGTCATAAACATAAAAACTATGCAAAATGTGACAACCACAAAGCAAATGTTTTATCTTCTGATAAGGCTTATCCATCTTTAAACCTCCGGTGGATATAACACAACATAATACAATATAAATGATACTAATAGTGCATTTAAAAAACATTCAATCTAATATATATTTACCATTAATCTGTAAGTCTATGAATCCAGGTGATATTAATGCATCGTGACAGTTGATCCTTTCGTCAGGCATTATTTTCTCATCGTAAAAAATTTTTTCAGGATCGACGATAAGACCGTTACGAACCCATAAGTCTTCTTTTAATATTTTTCCATGCCGCAATATACTACAGTTGTAAAACTGTCTTAAAAAACTGCTCTCGGGTTCAGGCATTTTTTCTTTTAATTAAAAATGTCTTTTATGCTAATAATAGTTTACAACAACGATACTATTTTTGACAAACTATACATTACTTTAAACTACAGCTCACTAACCAACCACTGACAATTGCAATAAACAATGGGCAACTCAAGGGACTCCTAACTGGTGCCAATGAACTCCTTATCTTCTGATGCACTTTGTAGATGGCGATAGTTTCTGGTCTTTCTCTGAAATATCTTTTGAAAATGATAAACAGAAGATTAATTTTCTGTACATATATGCTGTTGAAGAAATTTGAATGAATAATTATTAAGATTTTTGATTCATGAATAAGGGAAAAATAAAAAGATTGAATGTCACGGCTAAAGTTTTTATTAAAGCATCATCTGCATACGCAGTAGGTGCATGATATGTTAAAAATAAATAATTATTCTGGCCAGACAATAGTAAGGCTTTGATATTTAATAAATATCTACAGAATTGTTTTACTGAATTTGATTCACTGCAATGAATTTGTCATACAACTAATATAACATTGATTGGCCCTTAAACTTTCCTCTTCAAGCCTTCGAAGACGCATTTTCGCATCCAGTAAAATGTCTTCAGTGGAACTGCTTTCACTGACTATAGTATTCGCTTTAATAATTGGAACGTCGATTGTAGTTGATTTTATTAAATGTGCTTCTTCCAATTGTCGAGATAATTGAACAGCACGTAAAGTCAGTTCTTCAATTCTGGACTTTTGCTCTCGTACCAGACTTGCTAATTCCTGCTTCTCTTTGTTTAGTAATTTTCTTTCCTCGTCTATGGAACTAAATTCGGTTTCTGTTTGTACTTTTACATCCTGAGTTATTGGTGAATTATTTTCATTGGATGGAATGTCCTTCTTCACTTTATTTAATTCATCTTGTAACTTCTTTAAATTGCTTTCGAACCTTTGGTAATTGTTACGTTCTTTTTTTAAGCTAAAAATAATTGATTTACATTATATTTATAACTACCTGTTATAAATTAATTTTCTTACCGTTCTGATTCTTGTGTTAGAAAATTCTCTTTAATCGAAAGTTCCATTTCTTTATGAAATATTCTCTCTGAATTTCTTCTTTTTTCATCTGTCAATTCTTTTTCTTTTGTTTCAACGGCAAGCATTAATGCCTACAATTCAATTAGATTTAATTAATCAGAAATAACAAATTTACAACCATGCTGCAGCTTGCAACATTGAGACATTCTGTAACTACCTGTGCTTGCTCCAATTTTTTATTAAGCAAATCAAGTTGTTGATTCACGAGATGCGCCTGTTCTCGTAGCTTATTCTCCTTTTCACTAAGCTGCTTCTCAAAAGATTCTTTTTGCGCCACTAACTTTTTCTTGATCGCTACAAGCTTGGAGTAACCATCATTTGTGGTCTGTGTTTCTCTATCATACCAAATAACTTTAGATTTTTTCATAGAGATGCTTGAAAGACATTTTAATATACAAAGTAACAGAGGATCATTGCTCTTCCCATAGTCATCAACAATGACCTGACCTTCTACACTATCAGCCCGTATTCCTAAAGTCTCCAAAGTATGACAAACATAATCGTCTCTTAACTTTTGTGGATTAGTGTCAGTAGAGTCTGATGCATGTGGCTCATCTCGAAAATTGACAAGCAATGGAACCTCACTTGCGAACACAGAAAGGGAATAAGTGTAATCACGGTTCCACAAGTACTCCGCTATTAATAAATCATGCACATATTGATTTGCAGATTTTGGAGTAGTATTCTCACGCAAAGAGAACGAAGGTTTGATTCCTTTCAATGCATTTATTAGATTCTGCCGTAAGTGTGTACGCACATTAGATATTATGCCACATTTATCAAACCTGAAATTACCAATCAATAAGGATCATTATATAAATTGTATGATATTTAAAATTCTTATAAATAGGATTTATATAAAATAGGGAAAAAATAAACTGATCAAATATAATCCAATTTTTAAAAAATGCTGTATATTTATTTTAAAAATTCTTGACCTACCACGTATATACTGCTGAGTAATATTCACTGTTCATTTTACGTTATAAAATTCACTGGTATTCCTTAATATATAAAAGATACAAACTTATTGGTTATAGTACATAACTACATGCTCCAGTTTACAAACAACCATCCAGATGTTCATCCCACTCATCCACAGTATTACCAACCATGACATAATGGTACAACATGACTAACCCCACCGTTAAAACTAATGGCACTTCAATTTTAATTCTCTTTGATGAATTACAAGGAATTTCACCGGGCACGGATTGACAAGCACAGGCTTCAACGGTGTAACCATTGCTCTAGAATATAAAAAAAATGCATAAATATCTTCTCCATTTAGCATTAATAAATATTAATTAATGAGCAAAGAAACTTACTTTATGTGAAAAACAACCCCGTGTCACTGCTTTTGTTGTACTTTCTATCATTTTACCACAAAAATGTGTACTGTTTATCACTAGAAACAAAATTTTCTACATGTTATTTTTCATTCAACACTTGTTGCTCTACTTTGTAACATATCACTTGTATACTTGCCAGCATTGTTATAAACAAAAGTGTACTTTATGCAAGTATATCCTGAACGCAGTGGACAAGTAATATTTGCATGATTAAAAGTGTCCCACATGTAAGTCACATTGGGTTGTGTCGAGTCACCTATAATAGACATTTAGATTGTTACACTTTAAAAAATTAATCTACATTTTTTTTTTAGAAATACCTGTAATAACAAATGGTTCAAAACACGGAACTCCTTCATATGTCGTACAATTGATATTCACTGTTGAATGATTATCATACATTGAACCAAGCCATGTAAATTGAAAACAGTACTTTGAATCGGTGGTATCAGCAGCTTGCAATACAGATAATATTGATATAGTTATAATATAAGATAGAATGAACTAAGAAATAATATGAAATACCTGTCAATTTGATTACAAACAACATTAGCCACATCAAAATGAAACACGCCCGCATTTTCGTCACAATTATGCACAATTGTCAAAGAATGAAATCAATCGTCACAATTTCATGTTATCTTCCTTACCTGATAACGTGGCACGTCACGCGATTTACTGATAAGACATAGTTTACTATATAATTGAATCATATTGCTACTTATGCATCAAAGCATTTAAGGATTGTGTTAGAACTGTATGCAACTTTCATTGCTCTGCCAGAAAATATTTCCATTCGCACTTAATAATTAATTAGGCACTCATTCTTATTCATTCAATCTCACATCGATACATTATAATTATAAAAATTACTAAGAAAATGTTTCCAGTTTAACAGTCAATCTATTATTAAAATATGCACATTTATTTATCGGCGACTTATGAGTTAGTAGTAGACAATATAACGATTTACTTATGAAGTAATTCGACAGAATATATATTAAGAGATTTTGAATGAGATTTCATGAGTAAGAGTAAAAAGGAGCGAATTAGTATAAAGTTAAATACAAGAATAATATGAAGAGAATAATTAAAAATGCCTAAATAAATGCCTAACGAATTTTCAAAGGCGCGGAGTGCCTTTCTTTCTTCACAGAGTCCTTAGTCACAAAAATTATTGCGGCAAAACGTATTTGTTCGAAGCGGCCAATGAATGCCCTAGAAATTATTCACCATCATCCTTGTTAGAACTCATCATGTCGAGCAAGTGCCTCGCCAAAGTCTGTAGCCTGGGAGCCTACAAAGATATCGTATTTCTCCAGAATTTCATCCTTAGTAAGTTTTTGATCGGCATCGGTGTCGGCCTCGTATATCAAATGCCTTGACTCCGCTTCAGCATGATCAAAATCTGCTGGAATGATCCAGTTTTTCACCTGAAATTAACAGTATTATTAAAAATTTGTACTGTAATATATAAAACTTATATAAGAACTTGCATGACTTACTTCTTCGTTGTTCATAAAACCATCTCCATCCTTATCACGGTAACTGGAGAACTGCTCCTTCTCATTTTTCACCCACTCTGGTTCTTCGTCTTCTTCTCCTCCCCGATACATGTCACCTGATCAAGTAATATAATTATTATTGATATCAAGACATTTCGATTGGTGAATATCGCAGTATGTGCGATTTTAGAAAACTTACCAATGTATTCAGCCAGAGATACTTTTCCATCTCCATCCTTATCAATATCTTCCATCGTTTCCAATACAACAACGTCTCTCATGTGGTCATATTCTTCTGGATGTAGGAATGCACTAAATTCCTCCTTTGTTAGAGCATCATCTCCATCTTTATCAGCAACAGACCATCTTCTTCGGTCTCGTTTCAACATTACTGCATATGAAAATCCTTCATCCTCGGACTTGTTCTTGTCTTCATTAACCTCATCCATAAATCCATAAACCATTGTACGGTATTCAGACCATGGTAGATTCTCCTTGTCATCAGGATTGTGCGACTTCCATTGTCGCTCAACATCATCACGAATATAACGCTGTTGCGTGTATTTAATCCAATCCTTTAGTTCTTCCTGAGTAACAAAACCATCCTTATCCTTGTCAATCTTGTCAACAATGATTCCCAAGCGACGAGTACTTTCTTCTGGGGTTAACTGATCAAAAGTCTTTGCATCCTCACCAAGAAAGGCTTCATGATCGTAATCAGGATTATGTTGTGAGTTTACAAAGTGCTCCTGTTCACTAAGATCCTGAAAATCAAATACATCTTAAACTACACTCCACTCTGAACTGTCAATATTAGGTTAAATGTGTACCGAATCTGTATTAGTCGAAACAAAGGAATTTTATAATTAAATTTACATTCATAAGTAAAAACTTATTAAATCAATATGGTAATTCATACAAGTACAGGTATTATAATAGCATATACAAAATCCTAAATAAGTAAATAGAAAGATCATAAACAAAATTTTGGTATAACAGAATTTCTTCAAGAGTAACATATACAAATTATTATCCAAGTTCAGAAATAATGTAGCACTTGTAAATCCTACAATTTCCTATGGCTGAAAATAAAATTTTTAAAAATTCCAACCAAAAGCACAAATACGTTAGATTTGTTGAAAAATAATAGATTATCAAGTAATTGTAAATGAGTATAAAAATAGTTGATAAGTTCATTCAAATCTTACCTTATCCAACACACGATTTTTCTGTTCATCTTCAGGCTTGGGAATAGCTTGTGCAATAACAAACAGGACAAAAAGTCCAAAAAATTCGAAGAATCGTGCCATTCTTTTAAAGTACACGTAGAATTTAGAAATTAAGTATCTCAATGCATAGAACACATGCAGCGAGTTATTAAATGCCGCGTAACCAGTAGTCCAGTGATGTTCTCTCGGCTCTCATCCAGCTTCCACATCATCAAAGCTCAAGCTTTGACGCCGGGCGTCTTCCCTCCCCCACTTTTCTCATGTCTGGCCGCGCGTTAGACGTCCGAAGGCGTCGCGGCGCTCCGCTTGGATGTTCTACGTCCCATGAGATCGCGGAGCGCAGAGTATTAAAAAAAAAAAAGAATTCCTTATCTAGGTCGGCCAATAATTATTTTAACAGGCCCCCTTTTTAATAATTTAACAAATGGTGGACGTGGCACTCCATCTTTGGACGTCTCTTGCGAGTTGAAAATCGTCATTAGAAAGTAGGAGGAACAGTGTGAAATTTCATTGGCAAATTCCAACAATTACTGTAACCCCAGTAGAATTTTCCTTCTGATTACAAATTTTTCAAATTTTACGAACCATAAAGTCTTATATCATTGGTCGGAATTAAGGGCAAGAAGAAGCAGGTGGCGTCATCTGATAGAATAATCGATGTAGTATTACATAGCGTTAATAAACTTTCAAAATCTTTCAAGGAGTTTCAGATATTCACCAAAAGATGGAACTATTCAAAATTCCTATTTGCCGCCGTTTTCATGATAAAAAGAATGAAACATTCTATGAAATTCTCTATGAAACTTTATTAATCGCAAGTACTAGTCCATTAATTTTCCCATCTAAATTATACTACAATTTGTAACTTAGTAAAATAAACTGTTCAAATTGACATGCACTTCAAATCGTTCTTATGACAATTGCCTCATGTGTACATAATAGTATTTTGATAAAATTCACTACGTTGTATTCCAAAAGCATGAATCACCATCTGATACTCGATATCATCGCGCTGAGTCTCCCATTTATATATCTAGGCCGTTCTTATCCGCTTATCAAGAATATTTGCCCAAGATAAAGAAAGACTAGGTGGCCGCCCATTTACCTGTCGTTTGTAAGTGTACGCGGTCAGCGTTAACTGCAATTCGACTGAATAGTCCTGGTTTTTTCAGTCCTTATTGAAATATCGTTAAAGACTATTCAAAAAGTGAATACGAAACTAGTGCACTTTCAAAATGGTGATAAAAACAGCAGGTACCACTGCGGTACAATTGGAGCGCACAATAGGCGGTTTAAAATACACCATATTCTGCCTCAATGCAATCGTTTGGGTCGGTATTTGTATATTATTTACTAATTAGAATTTAAAAATGAAAAACAAACATTAATGCAATTCAAATCTTACTATTTAGATAATGAGATCGTACTGAATCTTCTTTTATCTCAGTAAATTTGTTTATTAGACAATTAATATCTAGCTTCATTCTTTTACTTCTGATAAGTACAAAATTGACTCATTGGTTCGTCATGAATGGTTGATTATCATTATTATCAGTTGACATTGATTATATCGCACCAGTTGCGTACTAGTATGGTAAAATTCAAAATGGCTATTGACTGTTTGGTTATTGTTTTAAAATTAAAAAAAAATACAATTTTGTACCGACAATATTAATAATGCCATTGACTCTTTTTAGATTTTGGGTGCATCGATGTTCGGGCTTTCAATATGGCTAAGAGCGGAACCTGGTTTTGCAGAATGGGTTCAATTTCTCAATATGTATCAATTCTACATAGGAATTTATATATTGATTGCCACATCGGTAATTGTCATGATAATTGCCTTTATTGGTTGCGGTGCTGCTCTAATGGAACACGTTCTCGTTTTGTTTGCGGTAAGCAAAATTTAATTTGTTTAAAGCAAATAAAAACAATAAATTATATCGGTTGTACTGAAAGATAAATAATATTTATTCATTGACAGTTTATTGGGCTGCAAATATTCTCATTTATTTGCGGTCTGGTTGGTGCAGCTATCCTTCTTGATTATTCTACGTATGACAGCAGTATTCAGCCTATCATTCGTGAGTCGATGACTACACTGATTATCAATTCGCACAACCCTAATGCATCGACAATTTTAAGAATTGTTCAGGAAAACGTGAGTATATATAAATAAAACAATAAATAAACATATAAAACATTAATGCCAATATTTATGATTTATTCAACTCACAGATTGGATGCTGTGGAGCTGATGGACCAATGGATTATTTGACTCTGTTAAGACCTTTGCCAACTGAATGCCGTGATACAGTTACCGGAAATGCATTTTTCCATGGCTGCGTGGACGAATTAACGTGGTATTTGGAAGCCAGAGCTGGCTGGCTAGCTGGATTGTCTATGGCTCTCTGCATGCTTCACGTAAGATTCAAATTTTTCAATTACAAAAAATGTATATGTAATTAATCTCATTTAATTATTTTTTTTCTTCAGATCATCCTTGCAGTACTGTCTTTTGCACTTATTCAAGCAATCAAGAAAGAAGAAGAGGCCGTTACGTACAAAAATTAAATAAAATATTTAAAACATTCAGTCAAATCATTCATCAGTTTTAAAGTACAAGCATGTCTAATAGAAATTTTCAAGAAATCGAGTGATCAGAATTTTTTGGGGAAATTCTTTTGACATTTAATAATCGCTTGTATGAAGGAAAGAGAAATTCTCCAGCCAGGAAGCTAGACGTTACTATTTAATACAATCTTTTTATAAATGTATATCACGTATCGAAGAAATAAACCATTTCTTATTTAACGTACTATTAAGTGTGTCTTTTTAGTATACTCAAACATTGTCTAGAAATTTGGACGTCACTCCAGAAGAGAATTTAGAAACGGAATTAACTTTTTGATTAATGAGCTATGTAATTGTCGCCTCATGTTCAATTTGGACCAAGACATTATTCTTTCCAAGGTGAAGTGTTTATGACACGCAGGAGCTGCGTAATAAAAAATAAAGAGAAATAATGTCCACATAAACGAGTAGCTAAAGGAGTTATTTAATAACAGGAGATTGATAAATAGTTGCGCGAAAAAGAAAAAATATAATTCGCCATTAAAACTAGCCTAAGGCAATCGTAATGCGTCTATTCTTACATTAAAATCAATAATAATCAATTAACTGCTCTAGTTCCAATTTGCTGCTACCTTACTAATCTACAGTATAAATCTAATTAATCTCAAGAAATCTCAACGTGTAAAGTATCAATCCAAACCCAGGAACTGATAATTAATTTTGAACGTTACTTCACCTGAAGACATGAAGGTCGAGCTTCATACTGTCCCAAAAAGACCTCTTGCTCTCTTGCTCGTATTTCTCATACGTTAAGGTCAGAATCGTGTCATGATTTCATCTAATTCAACTAATCCTGAGATACAAATCTAATTTAATTCTACGTTTCGCAGTCCATGACTTTCTGGCAGTTACAAAACTGATTTCACTACAAAGGGTTAAGACCTTGCGCGTCACTGTCCAGGAAACAATATGGCATCCGAATTCTCAAAACACTAGGGTAAGCATACATAACCCTAATTCATATGTTAATGTAGTACATCAAATCGAGAAAAGAAATAATGTAAACTTTAGCATAAACTTTATAATGAAGGAACGTGTTTTATAAGGCTCGCTGTGACGTCATGCTTACATGTTATATTGTCCTAATATTTTATTTGATCCAATTAATCTGATAACATTAGAGATAGTGGAACACGTATCCAATAAATTTCACGTATGTGATCGAAGGTCCTGATTTAAGTTTTTTTTATTACTTATTTGGTCATCTAGGAAACGCATTCCTAATGCTCCGGATCTTGGCCAACTAAGGTCGTGACGCATGAGGAGTACAATTGTTTCCCGGTACTGATCAGCCGTGACATTTGAGCCGATTTTGGCGTTGCGTAGCTTCCACTGCCTCGAGGTGAGTTCTAAAAAACATTAATATCGTATCTCAAAATGCCTGAAGGCACGAATATGTAAGTATATCGCCATTGTTTGGTTTTTTCTTCTTCTGCTGTACAAAATGAGTATTGAAACTTGTAACGTAGCAGATTAAAATAAAATGAAATTAGAGCCACGAATATTTTTCATAGTTTTATTTACAAAAATTCGTTATGTCTCCTTGTTTTTTTTTCTTCATTTTTCTTTTCCTTTACATTTAAATTCTCGTAAATATACATGCAAAGAATTACAATAAGGTACAGAATAATTTATTTACACTTATGAAAGCAGGCCGATCAATCGCAACGAGACGTGCTACCCACGAAAATCGAGTTTTTTGATTTTTTAGTCAAATCTTGGGTACAATTTGTCATTTACATTTTTTAGCAATGTTTCTGACCTGTGGCTATTACTTTTTTCACGTTTTAGAAATTCTATGAGTATTATAAGGGTACTCTTGGATTGAAATATTAATTCACTGGTATTCTTTCTAAACCTTAATTCACTGGTTATAACGAAGTACGGAATTAAAAGCAATACATTTATTTTGGACGATCTACGTCAACTTTTTTCATCTCTTTCGATGATAGACTGATAGTCAACGATCATTGCCTGAGTCACGGACTCGTCGTAGAGCTATCTATCTATGTAAAATTACATAATCCTATTTCTAAATTTGTCACTGTTAAAATAAACGCCAAATAGGAGCCGAACACAATAGTACTCTTCGTCTGCACGATTATATGGATCATTCTATAATATACTGATAAAATCTAATTTTCCATTTTATAATTTCAATCATTTATGGATCAATTGTCAATGCTGATCTCATCCGACTGTTCATTGCACCATTAGATTATTATAAATCCTCGAGTATTGCATATGTTTAATTCAGGTATTTCTTGGCTGCCACACAAAAGCCTCACACCGTTGTAGCATTTCAATTGGATAACAACCAATGCCCATTTGCCAAAGTCATTGCCACCCAAATGAGTATCTCGCTACATCATCTTTCTCTAAATTCCAATTGTACAATTTTCCAATTGCTTAACCCACATATGGGAAAGGTGGATAACCAACTGGTGGTGGGAAGTATCCAGGGAATGCAGGTACTGTAGGTTGTACAGGCACTGTTGATGTGACATAGGTTGTCAATTCCGTAGGTATCACCCTGGTGGAGAACAAAGTGGTGTACGCCGTCTTAGCGCCAAAGGTCAATTTTAGTACCCTAGAGTCAGACACGGTAGCAAATGTCTGTGTGATCAACGGCGCACTGGTAACAGTAAACTGTGGATGTTGCTGTGGGAAAATTGGTGGTGCCGGTGGTAAAATTGGTGCTATGGTGGACGTGCCATATTCGTAGGAAGTTCTAGGCACTGTGCCGACTGGTCTGGATAACGTAGAAAGCATTGTATTGCCGCCGTTGACAATTGGTATCACGTGAGACTCGTATACAGTTTCCATAACAACAACTGGTCTTGACGTGGTGATCACTTGGGGCTGAGGTTGACCAAAGTACTTGAGCAATGCCAACTGTTGAGCCTGTTCGGGTGACAGCTGCGGCTCTGGAGATGGTGTCGTGGGGGGTTCTGGTTTATTGCGAGACTGTGATGCTGATTTGAATGGGTTTAAGTCAGATTCCAATTCACTAGGTGCCACTACTCTTTTAGGTATGTCCTCATCGTCGCGGTCATCGTCGCTGAAGTCCAATTCCAAGTGAAGTTCACTTCCAGCTTCATCCAATTTAGAATTGAACTCGTTCAGTGTTTTGCTCGGTATGAACTGATAGATTTCCATTGGTGGCAGTGTCTTTGTGGCTGTTACCACCCTGGCTATGTTATAAGTTTGCACCAGGGTGAGTTTGGTAGTATTACCATTTGATATTACTGGCAGTAAGTATGTCTTTAATAAAGTTTGCGTTGTGGAGAAGGTTTCGACAAGAGTTTCTAAGGGTGGCGTTGCCTGGCCAGGATCTAAGGATATGGCTGGCAAGGTAGCCACCGAGGAATCTAACGGCAGTGTTGTTTCATAGGCAGCTCCAGTGTTCGCGAGGATGTTCTCTGTTAATGGTTCTGATGGGGATATCGGCGTGGAGGGATGGACTGTATTGAAACTTTTCTTCTGGGTTGACGTTACTGTCACGTATCGGGTATTTCGCATCGTGCCCACCTAGAGCAAGCAAGCCATATTATATATTTAATTATTATTAGAGAAATATATTATTTAATTATATATTTAGTACCTGGAAGGTATAGGGCGACTTGATGGTAGCTATTTCAAAGTAGATATCATTGAGATCAGGTGCTGTTGAAATTTCAACATTTATCGTCTCCACAGGAAGTATCTGCTGAGGTGGTTCCCGGATACTGGCGTCGACATCCTCGCTCTCGCTAGGATCAAGCTCATCCTCGTTTGAAGATTCCTCAGTAATTTTTCTCTGTATGACAGGTGTAGACTTCTCCTCGATTATAACCTCCTGGGTACTAACTTCCGGGGAGAATGTCCTTTCCTCGTCATCTACCTGCTTGCGGATCTCGATCCGTGGCTTAGGGGTAGTCTTGTATGACCATCTCCCTGAAGGTCGTGGATGCTTCACCTTGGGCAGCAGACTTGCGGGATTCACCGTTTCTGGTTTAGGCTTACCTAGTTTAGCAGTTGGACCCGGTGGGTTGCTTGGACGGAAACCGGAGCGGCGACGAGTTGTGGGAGGTTCCGTGGTTGTTGTTTGTTGATTTCGATTCCTTTTATTAGAAAAAGATGAATCTCTGTTCCTTACGCTTCGAGGAAAATCATTAAGTTTATTCAGATTAAAACTTTATTTTGGGCTTACTTGTAACTTGGTCTGGCAGTTGTGGGTCGATTTTTGCCAATCGATCTTGGTTGCTGATGTGGTTCGGTGTTGTCCTCTTCGTTAACCTTACTACGGAACTTAGGTCGGGCCTGATGATTATTAGAATGTCTTCTAGTAGTTTTCACATTGGGTCCTAAGAATGATTCAAACCAAAATAAAATAGACGAATATAATTTTATGTTAAAAACAACAAAGAAATACATACCCGATGGTGAACTAAACAATACTTCAAGTGGTAACGAAGATTCATCCTGATGAGCAACTGGAGTTGGTTCCAGCTGTGGTTTTAGCTTTCCATGCTGAGGTCCAATAGTTTTCAAAATCCTCTGAGAATTCGTGGGCCTTATTTTCACTTCGGGAGCCGATGGCGTCAATACCCTTGAGTTACTCTGAAGAACCTGAGCATACTTTCCATTTATGTAGGTCCCAATAACATTGGTCTCGTGCACGGTTGTCAATCCATCTTTGACAATTGTTCCTCCCAATCGTGTAACCAAACCAGTTGGATTTTCTTTATCGCGTTTGGTCGTCGGTCTGGGTTTCGCATGAGCTTTGGATGAAGGCCTTAGGTTTATTAGCTGTAAAAAAAAATAGTTCAAACCTTCTATTCTGACTTTATATAGAAGAAACAATCTTTCACTGTACAGAGAATGTGTCAATAAATTTATTCTGACCATAAACCTATGGAAATGGAATACAGTGGGTCTTGTATTGTCTTCTAGTCTAATCAGTAACCATGATCAGGATGTTAAGTCTCACTAAGATATGAATGTGAGTTCAATGCCGGAATCGTTATTAATTATGCGAATTCCACTCCTGTCAATCATGTAAGAACCGGAATTCCGATGCCAATCTATTCGCTCGTTAACTTACAAAGGTGACCCATATATCTGGTAAAGAACTTTGTGTGTGGAATTAACTAACAACAATGACTGGACAAAGTAGAGACAGTCCCTTACAGGCCCTTTCAATGAACATGTTTTAACAGACAAGAGAATTGATATTTCTCTACACATATATGCATGTAGTAAGAGTTCCATGAAATAATTGACACGTGTAATTATCTTAATAGTAATTCATATTCGTTTGCGTGTATCAAGTAGAGGAAAGGAACTTCAATGAAAACGAGTTCTCCATAAAGTAGAAATAAAGAAGGTGCATAAGAGGGATCACGTGGATAACGATTAAAAATTAAATTCAACTATCCGTGGGACAAGCGTGGGAAAACAATCGATAACCTGGGATTAAATACAAATATATTAAAGATGACGGAATCAGCAATATATATAGTACGGCATAGGCACTTGTTTACAAATTCCCCCCCCCCCTCCTCCCCCCGTCTTACTCATATAGTGCTTCTTTTTTTATACAGTCAATCTTCTGATCCCACGTAGGTAGCAGGGGAAATAAAGATGCACACAGTAAATGAAGATTGTGTACGATAAATGCATATTATGTTTACGCCGTGATGATTCTAATAATCCTCATGACGCAACCTTCCTCGGATAATTATAATTCCTGTTCATTGTAACGTGGGAATCATCAATTTTTGTTTTGTACCTGAATTTTTTAATTTTTAAGAATATCATTATTTCATGGGAAACGTCAGACAATGAGTCTTTGAGAATGAACAGGCATCGAAGGGAAACTTTTAATTGCGTATAAATGTTCCTCAAAATCCTTTAGTTTCGAAATATTATAAATTCATTTCCTTTACCTTGTAGGTCTCGTCGATGACTTCCGCTGGCTGTTTCGACAGGAAGTCGTATTCGGGTTCGGCAAGATTATTTTTTATGGGTGTCTCATCTTTTGGACGAACCTCCACGACGCTCGACAATACAGGACTCTTCGTGACAACCTCTATCCTGGTTTTGACATTCTAAAAAAAAAATGTCAATTTGGGTGATGCTGTAAGTTTGCAGTAAAAAAAGACAGTTATGATTCACCTCGTAAATTGGAAAAAAAAAAAATAAAAATGACTGAAGAACGGAAAAAGTTACCGGAATTCAATTAGGTATGCATTGTGCGTACAGCAAAAATTCGTCAGAATTAATCTTACGATGATCGTCAAAGTTGTGAGTCAGTCTTTACAAAAAGAGAAACCGGTTTCTTTTTTTATCTTCGTCTCGCTTTATCCTTTTTTTTCCATGTAGACAGTCTTTCGAAATTTGGTCATTCTTGCACGGGCAAGGACAACCAATCAATCATCCATTGTGAGTAATCGTTAAGATTGTTCTTGAAAAATATATTTTGAGGTTATAATAATATACTCATCCCAGTCGAAAAATGAGAATGCGCAAAACATAATACCACATCCGTTCGTATATATCTTTATACCGTTGAAATGATTGTACAAAATTGTTATTAATAAAACAATTGTAATTTACCTCGTTTCTTATGGGTACCACATTGTCCTCTGAATGTTTAACAACATTTTTCTCGACCACAGAATGAACCACGACCTTTGTCCCTTTTGTCTGTGGTTTTTTGTTATCTTGTGGGACAGTTTTACTAGGCTGAATATCAAGGTTATTCTTAGGAGTTTCCTTGGGCTTCGTCTGAATCGGAGGACTCTTTTGATCCTTGTCCTGAGAGCCTTCTGAAGAATTTGGAAATAAAATTTTAATCTCAAAACAGTGGTATGAACGATGTTGCCAATTCCACAATGAATAAATACCTGCTGGAGCACTTTGAGGACTGAAAACCATTATGGTATTACCTATGGTTGTAGTAAAATCCAAAAAACCATATACGGTTTGTGTAACAAATTCATTTTTCACCGGTGCAGCTGGAGCAGCTGGTTCTACTGCCTCTACGACGCTACTCGTGGAACGACCCGTGTACACTTGAGCGTAGCAGCCTAAAAGAAATAAATATTAATTGTAACAAGTGTCATTTATTTAAGTGAAATTTCATCTTACACGTCATTCAAAGCACGAATAAGATACAGTCGTCAAACAAACTGACAGTGTCTAGCGGCATATACACCAAGTGGAAAAAAAAGTCCGAATAAAACACATAATTTAAAGAAAGTATCCTCTTCGATGAAGATTTATTATATCGAATCCATTTCGTTTCTCGACTTTCACTAAATCGATGCCTCGTGGCTCGCTGAGATTTCTCATTTCCGTTGGCGTGTATTTGAAAGGAAAAAAAAAAGGTAAAAGAAGATGGCCCATACGAAAAATCAAATATCTACAGTCAAGCCCTAATATGGCAATGAATAAAGATTGGCCAATACAAAAAAAAATTAATAATATTTAGACTATAAGCTTTCAAATCACCCATCCATTCTTTAAAGAAAAAAATAAAACTATTTCTCTGTAATCTCGTTAGCAACAGTTAAAACGCTCGAAACCGTGACGATTCTTCGTGACAGTATTAGCGGAAGATAAGAAAAAATTACTTGACAAGAAAAAAGAACGTGACATCATGGAGTGAAAAAAGTGCAATGCAAAATTGCATTTTTACCATTGACAATAAAAAAATTGACAACTAATAAAATTTCATTTCGCGGTATAAAAATCGCTCTAAATCTTTTTATTTCTCGACAGTATTACATAATATTTCTTTTAATACCTGTTCTCAAACATATTCACCATTGTATCAAGACGTAATGTCATGCACGACGTAATTAATTTTCTGTGTAATTAAATAAAGTTACTCGGATCACCCTAAGAACGTTACGTACCTTTCGTAACGTTAACTGCACTTTCTCACTCGTTTTCACGTTGCATTTTCCTTTTCGCTACTCTCCATTCTCACAAGGGAACCTGAGAGCATCAGGTCAGCTAATGCATCGCTGTACTCGTGTGTTTTAAAACGTCAGAGAAGGGTATAAAAAAATACAAAACCCAGTCACGTCCTCCGTGTTGCGTGTGGGAAAGATAAAGCATTTGAAGAATATACATAAGGACACGCCCAATACACATAGGTGCATCTCGCGAACGCTGCGCAATGTTCGACATTTACCGCAGATATAAATAACTAATCGTGAATTAAAGGCGAATCCTCAATTGAGAATAGTAGTAATTTTCTTTGGACACCATATAATTGCTAATTTTAATTAACAAGCCTGCCGACCTCAACGTTCATTGTGAAACATTGACACTCCGTGACAACGTAGTGAATTAATGTAAGTAATAATTAAGTCAAATATACAAATTTTATACGCCGCTAATGGATCCCAAGACACAAATTTAAATGCGATTATATCACACCTACATGTCTTTTTTACGATTTGCCACAATTTCGCGTTAACTATTTATGACACGATTCATTTAAATTTATTTATTTTTTTTTTCGAAACACCTGGCTCCAAACGCGTTGGCGACTCGATGATTCTTTAATGAACCTCGCGATGCTCCTCACCTTTTTATTGACATGACGTCGATATTTCCGAATATCGTGTATTTCAAAATTATACAAAAAGAGTCAAATTAATCGTTAAAATACAAACGACAAAAATTGCATTATTACTTTTATATTTTGAAGTATTCAAAAGTTATACCCATTAAAAGAATTATAGTGAAATCAAGATAAGGTGTCTGCCTACGGATCATGTGAACAAGTATGTCTGTCCTTGTCTAACACACGTGAATGCCCATTGGTCTGTCTCTCTCGCGCTCGTTGTAGGTGTAAGAAGCTTCAAAAGTCTCCGAGGCTTCAATTAATCGAAGGATGAGCACGATAATCGATTCGTCGTAATATTGTGTCGGTTACTAATCGACATTAGAAAAATTTTACTCTCCTTTGTAAAAAAGTAAATGTATTATAACTATAGTGAATTCTAATCAATAGATTTAAACTGGATAACATTATACAGGTGAATGTACCACCCACTGTCTATATTTAATTAAAATCTTGCATGAAAACCACAACCGCAATGCCAATGCTACCAACCGCAAACTAATTATCAAAGGGAACATTCGCGCTTTTCGCGGTAATCGGCGGAACTTCGATGTTAATGAAATAACGCGGATACAATTAAAATGTAAAACAAAAAAAGAATATAAAAGAAGATCGTCAAGGACTTTCGCTCTGGTAATGCCCTCGAATTATAATGCTCTATCAAATTTTAATATAAATTAAAATAGTTAATAGATTTTATAAAATATACTAACCATTTCACGTTGAATCACAAAATGTTAAAATATTCACGGCTAATTAGCTCTTTCGAATTTGCCGACATCTCGTATTAGAAAAATATACTCGCGCAGTTCTTTATAGGCAACTTTCCAATCACGCGTAACGCAATTTTTTTCGTTCGTCCGGAGCATGCCTTTTTGATATTTTTATTTGAAAAGGATCTATTGCCAGTGAAACTTTTTTACCTTATCTCCGTTTACGTTGTCTATTTTTCTTTCGTTAAGTTGTCACCTATCAATCTTACTTACCCCAAACGAGGGCTGCCAGCAGGACAAAAACGTATCTCGCAATCATGTCGATTAGGATGTCATCGTACGTGGCTATGGCAAATTTGTCAATCTGAAATATAAGAAATTACTTAGAATTAAAATTACTTTACCCTAGTAAATTGGCGTGAAACAACGTGCCATTAAGATTTTTGTGAAATATTTTTCATGTGATCAATACCGTTTCACGTGTTTCGGCTGTTTTACAGATTTGTAAAGCAGCCTTTGTCGCAGTTATCGTTGCAGCGATACTCAATGCTAAAAGTGAACAAGAAATACCAGCTTCTGGAATCATCCACTAAAAATGTAAAATTATATTTATCGGATGGCAATGGACGACCGCGACTACGTTTCTAATTTGAGATTTATACTGTATGTCCAAATTGTACGTGATGGATTTTTAACGTTGTATGGATCGTGCAAGAATACGTGGTACGATCTTGTTGCGCAAAAGCAAGTTGGTTGTTGTAATCGTTTAACGTGAAACAATAGTAAAAGGCAGGCGAACTGAGCAAGTCAAGCCGGTCTAGGTACTTGTAAGCTGACGCCGACTAGCTACATCGGCATGACTGGAATTTATAAATTTTATTTAACAAATTTTATACCTTTTCACATGCCTATTACTCTTGGTTAGTGCTTATGCGACACGTAGAAATTAAACGAAACGGAGCCTGTTGTTATTTATTTTTGAAATTGCAACGAATTTGGTTGCGTGGTATATCGTACGTGAAATTATACGTTTGTTTTTCTTCATTAGCTCATCTTTATTCCAGTAGAGCTATCGACGACCGTTCATTTCTACATGATTGGAATTGACAATAGTCAATTCCGTTATTCTCCGTATAGCTAGGATTTTTCAGTTCTTCATTGTTACGTAATTCGATGCGTCTGCAGACAGAGGCAATCTCTATGAAATTGCTTAACTGTTAAACGGCATCATCGAAGCTTGTTACTCTCAGCAGATGACAGTCGATGATTCATTTAATTTTAAAAGGGCGAAATCGATGCTTCTATTGTTTTCTCTCTTGTTACGTCGTGGCACAAATCAACAATTAGCTGATTGATTCAGGCAATTATCGATACCTCTCAAAATTCAGGCACGTATCTCGAGGTCACTCCATTAAACAGGAACAGGAAACAACTGTAATTACTATTAAGAGAAGGGGTATGAAAAACACGCACAGTCACTTTTAGTAAGTAGGAAATACGAGATTTTGCGTAGCTTTAAAACTCGGCTCGTTTAAATGTTTTGTATGCACTGTGATCGACTGTATTTTTTTGGAAATAAGAAAAAATTGTTTACTTATTAACGTACATTTTTCTGTTTGCACATCGTTAAATAATTTGGCTCTTTGCTCTGACGCATTAAAATAGTAAGAATTTTAAACCGGTTTTCAAATCATTCTCGACCCTGACAAGACGCGATCATCTTCTGGACATATCATGGGGGACATTCATCCGAGGTCGAAATGAACACAGGGCAAAAGTCATGGGGAAATCATCTACGATCATCGAACGTCGATATAAAAGAAGTCGATGATGAAATTAATATCTGACTAAGCGCTTGGCTAGTATAGAGTAACCTTGTTCGGCCCTCGATTGACTCTCGTTATTTAATGGGGCTCGAATGTAATAACCTGATAAAAATAATAGTAGGACAACATTAATGCCCCGAAGGAAAATACTTTTTTGTTCTTTTATTCTGATATTCAAACGTAGTAATACCCCGTTATCATTGTATCGAAAAAAATTTAACACTGGACAATTTATATTTGCTCGCAAGATTTTATATTGTTTGACTTACTATTGCAGAATCGACAGACTATAGGATATATTATAAAAAACAATATTACATTTTTATTTTCACAAGCGTTACGTTACTACAGAAATGCTTTGTGATATACGATAATTAAAATACGTTACGAGTGCGGACTTTCATTAAGCTGAAGCCTGCCTCACGCTCTGCAGTACCTACAACAAACAATAGGAAGTTTCCATTCAAATCAGCTAGAGATAATCATCTCTCCGATTAATCAACTTTCATCGTGATAATTTAACACTGTTGTATGCTACGAATCAAACTAAGGCAATTCTACCGAAAAGTTATGGTACGGACGGAATGAACGGTTAGTATAAATTCAAACAAACTTTTCCGAAGCTTCCCGAATGATCCCGAACAGGATAGCTGAGACCAGCGTTCACTCCGCCAGTCCTCGTCTCTTCGACTGGCAGCCGGGAGCCTTTCACTCGCGTTTTCTCACGCTGTTGCGCCAAACTCGGCCTCGTAATCCGTTTTCTAATGTAACGTACCTATGGGGTTCATATTTTACGATTAGCTACGTGAGAAATTACCCTGGAGATATATGAATGCCTTGAGAACAGCCCTCATAACCTTAAAAGTTCCTAGAAAATCATGTAAGGGCGGGTGCTGCCATGGTGGGAGCAACTTTGACACCATCAAAAGTCCCTAGATCGGTCAAGGTCGTGTTGTCGCATTTGTACCGGATTGTTCGCATGCCGGACAAATTAATGGGAGTGGCTACAAGAAGGAATCTTACAATAACCCGTGTCAAGAAAAACTTCGAGAAAAAATATAAAATAATGGATTCCTCAGGATCTTTCATATATTGGTTTGTTGCTTTGATTTTATTTGTATGCACTCGTTTAGGGAGATGATTTGTATCGATCTATATAGCTACCGCGATTATGTAATGGCGAATGGTATGTTTCTTTTCTTTTCTATTCCTTTTTTTCTTATGTATGTACATAGCGCGCAGGTTGCAGACCTAAGGGGAATGGTGAATGGTCGAATTCTTGGCTTTTTCTCTCACTTCGCCAAGGTGACCCTGGTCCATTATAACGGCAGGACAATGTCCACGGAATTCAGCACTGACAGTATAAAGCCTTATAGGTATGGCGAGCCTTCTATTTTGCATGTTAACTTCAATGGAAAGTTCGATCGTAAATAGATTTTAACTATTCTCAGAGTAAGGACCCACGTGCCTGACTATTTGAAAAAAGAATCAATAATAGCAATCCCTATGTAAATAGAATATTTTAATTCTTCGACCATGATGTTTTAAATTTACCATAAACAGCCGTAAAACCGCGCCTTATAAACATTTTAAAACTCATAAAACTCAATGCTACGAATATATCACGACACGCACTATTTATTAATCCTTCGCCTACATCACCGTATAATCATCTGTTTATCTGTCATTAATTTATTATTGATTTAACGCATTATTATCTATGCCGGACATTTGAGACTATTGAGAAAATTTCCCCAGTTCCGTTCTCATTGAGAGAAATCGGTGTCTCACGAGGAAAATCAATATCTCGGACTTTCGAGACGACTTTCATCGAGACGAGATGCTGTGGCATCCTCGGCCGCAAAGGCCTGTCGACGGTTTGTGCAGAAACTGCACTCGGTGCAGAACAAGCAGTGTTATGTCACAAAAACTATTATATCAGTAGAATCAAATTCCATAAGGACAAAGAGACCGTGCGATTGGTAGAAGAAAAAATCCGCCATCCAATAATAGTTATTAACTGTACTGTTGAAACTAGAAAAAAACATTCGATAAAAAAGTTTCAGACTTTATCGTTGATCGACCTAAATGTAATGCTAGGTAAAAATAAGAATTTTTAAAATAATTTTACAGATATGTACTCTTCCCAAAATTTCCCAAAATTGGAGAATCTTCGTACGACGATGATCTACGCAGCTTGTCATAGAATACGCCTGGTGCCAAGATTTATAAGAATTTCATCGACCACTCAAAGAATCGTTAATGCTAATATTCAAGAATATATTAATGGAATACCGGTCATCGGCCGAATCTAGTGATTCTTGACCAATCGTGACAAGATCATGGCCAGTCTCATGACCGCAGCACTCACGAGTAGCCAAACAGTCTCCGTTTGGAGTACAGTGGCTTCCTGGAAGATTACTTAAAAGCCCTGAGGCCATAGTTAAGAAAATAACTCATCTTCACACTACGTATAAACACTACCGGTATCACGTGTCATAACATTAGTACTTATTGATGATTCTCATAAAAGCAATAAAAATAAAATTGTCATTGGTGTTGAGTAATTTTTGTTATAAATTATTTTTCTGAATTTTATTTGATAAAATCATTGATTTGCGTAAGCTAATGAAAATTGTCTTATTTTATTATATTGATATTGTTTTAATAATTTATACGACTTGCAGGTGTGCCCTTGTAACAATAATTAATTAATTACATATGGATTTTATGGAAGCTCACATACCCACGTATTCAAGTAAAAGATACATCAGTGGATGTATACGATAAAATGACAAGATGCAAAATTGTGCCGACCTTGAATATAAAATGTGTCCTTGGATCAACAAAGGAATTCGCATGCGTTTCGGGTGCGTTTTGCTTGCGTTTTGTCGTTCGGTACTGAAGATGAATTTTTCATCGTGAAATCCAACACAAGAGCGATTATATGGGATTGTAAGAAAACTGAGAATTTCATTTAAAACCAGTATTTCGGTTCTTTGTTTTATTTCAAATAGAATTTTCTTTTAGGAACTACCATGGACTCGAACGGAGTTAAGCGAGTATACAAGACCCATGAAATCCCGGATCCTTTATGAAGATAAATAAAAATAGGTACTGCCATTTTTTTCATATGTACAAACAGGTTGTAAAGGCCAAATACGTGGCGTTAAGAGGATCTTTGTTCGTGGACCAGTTTGATTTATGTTTAAGAACCCTGATATATTTTTTTTTCATATACTGCTAAGTTTGACCCTATTGATTTTATTGATTCATACCGTCGTCTGTGGCAGTTTTGATACACTTTTTTCTTGTATTCTCATCCTGAAATATTCTTTACAGAGATTGAAGGAAATAGAAGAGAGGGCGAAGTGTACGAGAGGCAAAGGGAAAATAAAAGAAGTGGGATAATCGAGTTACGAGGAAGGAGTCGGCGAGACCCACGTAGGTTTTGCCGGATAGTGAAAGCGACTATCAATTCTCAGTCTCTTGGAAGCCCTCCGGCCACAAAATAAGATTCCTTTGACCCTCCTATAAACTCACTGCTCGTCATATAACGTATCTTTATTATAGGTGTCAGAGTTTCGTCGAAAATGAGATGAACTCTTAGTTTCTAATTCACAGCAGGTAAGAGCGTACAGCGAAAGTAACTAAAACATAGTTGGTTATAAAAAATGAGGAATTTCATAAAATTGTTGGTATTTTAGATACCAGAAAAAAGTCAACACACGATATAAAGGAGGAGTCGTGCCTTGAAGAAGGAGAAATTTTATTCAGTAACAATAAAGAGAATCAATAAGAAAGAAAGAACTTAACAACGGAAGACAGTACGTGACACTATTGATAAAAAATAAGTGAATAACAAACTGGCAGAGACGCATTCTGAGGACAAGATTAAGAAAAGAAAAAAAAGAGAAGGAATAATAAAAATTCATGTTTTGGATGAATGATGAAATTTTCAGCGCCTGCCAATTAATTGCTGATCAGCCACTGATTACTCGGTTGTGATTTTGCAATAGTCCATTTCTCGCCACTTCTCAAATGCAGCCAAGTCAATCGTGCACGTAATCATTGTCCGAATGTTCATCTCATTCAGTTCTGTGTTCATAAAACCGATCAAATGCTTCAGACACTCTGAACTGCAACTTCATCATGAAAACTTAATGCAATGCGAGTCGTGGCCCAATTATAGCGATAGAACGGTATTCGCACACTCCAATGTATATAAGTATGCATTCTACATATGTAAAAATGCATATATGGTGTGTATACCTATCTGTAGATGTACAGGAACGCAAAGACATGTTCTGTAGGTATTCACCTGAAGCTTGCACGTGTATTCATATCAGGAACGGAGTCTCTCTGATATATAGATATATACTTACCATATTGGTATTCATGCCAATCCGGATTTTACTGTATATCGCCTGTACCAAGTACGTACTAACTGTAGATACTATTAATACAACCAGTACTAGTCTTAACAGCCATATTACTACTTTTCTACTGTCTATAATGTCCAGCATGTTTTTAGTATCCATCCTTGTTATACTGTATGTAACTGCCATTACTTTTAGAACGCTGCCCAACAACGCCACTACTTGTACTGCCTATGCTACTGATGTACTTTCACTTGGTTTTCGTTGCGCATATTCTACTCAAGGAAGATCTTTGTTCGAGCATTGGAATTTCTTGAAGGACCTTGTCGAGGTCCCAGGCAAGGATTCTTAGGGCCTTGTAGAGGGCTTCACGGTGGGGAATCCCCCAATTGTTGCATACGGTATATATTGTCATTGTCCCTCCTACGCATGTGAATTCTTTTAATATGACAATTCATCATGTTTGATGTACATCAGAAAGTAAGAGAGGGAAAAAGGAAAAATGACCGTGTATCAGATTTCATGTTATTTTTGTTCTCAAGGCGCAGTCCATGCTGTATTGCTTTTAAAAGCGATAATAGTACTGGCAAGAATTACTACTGTACACTCCATTTCATGAGGTCATAATATAGTTATCAAATAGATAACCATCATGCAAAGGATATTCATAATATCTAAGAGCATAATGTACTGTTAGTAAAAATTCTTATTAGTTAAATAGAGATTCCTGACTGTTAAATTTCATAAAGCAAGTCACGACTCAGTGACTAGACAAATGACTTGACTAAGTTTTGTATGTTGCAGTATCAGTCGAAAAATCCGTCAGTTGTCACTCACTTGTCGCGATGATCTGAGTCTGAATAATAATGACTGTGTCATTGGACAATTGTAGGATTCGCTACAGGTTGAAAAATTATTCATCCCGATACGACTCAATAGGCACGTTGAATGTTCTAAGAAAATTGTACAAGTACCCAACGGTCAATGACACTCTAAATAGGGACAATGAAGTAAACGTTAACATTATGGTAATAGATTGACAAAAAATCATTAAGGTATGAGTACTTTGACTGGAGTATATTACCAGGAAAAATGGTGTGCTCAATTGTCAATTCCTTTTTTTTCGCAGCCAAATAAAAGCAAAGTGACGCTTTTGATTGTCACTCCGAAAAAGATGGAATTCTTGAATGATGATAACAATAAGAAAAACATTATGGGACGTTGTGTAAATAAAAAATGGCCTACAAAAAGCAGGAGGAGAATGTTCCTTTATTATTCAATGGTAATTCTCTGGGTTATAAGAAGCCCTCGTGTTCGTCGGCTAAATATTATTGCTTACTGAAACTAAAGCATCAGTTTTTGTTGTTGTAGCTTTAATTCTCTAATGTCTCTGTAGTCCGTCATATGTAATAATGCTGTCTGTTACCAAGGAAAATTTTCTTCAGCTGACTTGTATTTTTTCTATCAACATTTGTTTTTCAAAGTCAAACTGGGGAATCCTAATTCTCCGTATTTGTCACTGACTACTGGTAAGAAGATCTTGATTTCTTTTCACCAAGTGACAATATGATCATTGTCAAAAATATTTCGCAATCCCAACTTCTCAGCTCGTTACAATATAATAATAAGTTCTGGAAACTGGAGCGCAATTATATTTCATATTCGTCCCATGGTGCTCTTGCAATACAAGTATTTGTTTGCCAGTATATACATATTTCATTTTTCACAGTGACAAGATTTTGGATGTTGTCATCAGGCTTAAGGATTTTATTGCTGCAAGTAACAGTACAGTGTCACCATATTTTTCACATTTAGCATTGACAGTTTCCGCAGGTTGTCCTTCGCACGTGAAAAATTCTTCAGTGAGAATAAGTATTACAAGCAATCATAATTGGGATACAAGCCATATTGACTAGCAAATGCTCACTGGTACAGTATACAGGATTAGTGTGAACGAACCTTAAGTGCCAAACCAACGTCTGCAGTAGCCAAAGCCAAGATTCTTTTTACCAACTGGTAATTTCTATCGAAAGAGAATTCGTCAGACGTGTCCACGACCGCAAATTCGTTCCTCAAACTGTACAATCTCTCAAATTGTATTATCCAATGTGACCACGCAATCTGGCCAAGATTGCCGGTGAACATTTAATTTTTATCTTGGATAACGGTGGAGAACCACAAACGAGAATTGCAAGTAAGAAAAAAATATTAATATCACGACTGACAACTTAGTCGGTTATGCATTTTATAAAAAGTGGTGACAACTTAACTTTGGAGAAATTTACTGATTGCCAATAGCAATTTTACGCTATCATTGTCGTGTATTTTTCCGTGTGTTTTATTGTATCTAACAATTTTTCTAAGGATGCTTAATCGTTTTTCTCATCTTTTTCAGGTTTCTGAGTAAAGGGCATCTTTCGATATTCTTTGGTGGGATTATAGATAAGCTCATTATTTCTATGATCTGAGAAAGTGATTGACGATTTAAAGTTATCGCTTTATACGCATTTCGTTCCATAAATATTCATTCGTTTCTCGTGAACTTTCTCGGGCGAGATTCTTGCCGACACTTCCGGCAACATAATATTCAGTCGTCCGCGTTATGCGAATTGGCAAATGAAAAATTTCTAAAAACCGAACGAAGAAATTACACCAGGCGACATATATCACTACGACAATCTTATCAAATCATTTAAATGTTACCTAGTATGTTACGCGTGCATATAAAATTCAAAATTCCACTTTTAATAAGACAGTGACATATTATTAGAAATCCTATTATCAGCTATTGCTGATCAATAATGGGAATTATTTTCTGAAAAAAAATTGTAGCACATCCGCACTGTACTGTAAAGTATGTACAATTGTTTAAAGTCACAAACAACTAAATAAAAAAATTATCCGTTATTTGTTTAGCAACCGTGACGATCGACCTGCTCCCAATTAATTCATTGATCCAATATAATCTTGATCAATGACAAAACCGAATTGCCTCAACATCCTCATGTAAAAATATCGTTAAAATAATTATAGTTGTTTCCATACACGTCATACGAGTAGAATAATAAACTTTGATATCAGTATTATCATTTGACATCTCAAAAGAATGACAGAGCACCCCTTACCATAAAACGCAAACTATAAACTACGGAGAAAATTAAAAAAAATAGTAAACTCACGAGAATTCTGGCACTTTACCCTCGTGACAAAAAAAAAGTCAGATATTCAGCCAAGAAAAAAAATCCCTTCCAAGTGTCTGTCTCTCGAATGTTCGCAGAATAAGGTGGAGAACATTCCCCGTTGATGGTCTGGAAGTGACTGGCAATCCTGAGCAAAGTCAGCGAGCTCCCTGAATTTTTCTTCTCTCGCTCTCAAACGATCTCCACCTACTCTTTTCTTTTATTCTTTCTCTCTCTCTCACTCACACACACACACACACTCCTCACTCCCAGTCTCTCAGCCTCCTTCTCGCTAAGTGAGTATATTATTTCTCGTAACGCCTCGCTTACCTTCTAACGTAAACCCTATCTTGAGGCCCTAGAATCCAAACGCACTCTAAGTAAAACTAGATACATAACACAAACCGTACTATTCGCGGTCTGATCATACACGTCTGCTTTCACTTCTCCAAGCGAAACGGCGTACATGAACCAACCAGCTAGCCAGTCATCCAGTCAACCAGCCAATCAGCCATCCAACCACCCAGCATTGAAATCACCGACTTCATTCTGACGATCATCAGGTTGGAGAATGGTCGACCAGAATTTCAACTTGAATGTATTATAAGTACACAAGACAGTATATTACTCAGTGAGCGACATTCTTTTCGATAATTTATGCCGCTACAATTGAACGGCGCAATCTACTTGCTGTGGAATACTGGTAGAATGACGTATAGTTAGCTGGGATTATATTTCTTCTTTTTATCTTCTTGGAGCTTGCAAACGCTTCCTACTACCACGTTGTAACTGTCGATACCGGAATGAATTTTCAAAGAATTTCCTGAATCTTACGCAATTTCTACTAGCGCTTTCTTTTTTATAGCCATTTCGATACAGCCGCTCGGAAGTAAACAGGGTACGTCTGACCACTACAAGGAATCTAAACAATTCTGCTCGGTTTATGGCTTGCAGCCTTCGGTGATAATAACCAACAGAATAAAAGGCTTTGGAGTATTGTATTGCATTTGGATTGCATGCGAGGAGTTTCAAAACGTTTATTGAATTAAAGGTATGCGAAGGAGTTTCGTGAATTAGAGTAAAATGGAGGAATGCATTATCTTTGTACCTTGTTTCATTATTAAACATTCGTTAAATACTAGACAGTTGATAGATATTGGAGTGCCTTCTAGCAGAGAAACAGTTCTGTACGACAGAAGACTGCGCCTGATAACTAGTTGGTTCAAAGTAGAAGGTGATAAAAAGAATCAATGGATTCATTTTTTATTAAATTGTGTCCCTCTGTGCTTATTAACTGGAAAGCTCTCAATACTAATAATGAATCGAGAATGAAAGGCGCCTGTCAATATGCAACCGGTTATGCACATTTCGAAGTGCCACAATTACATAGTACCTGAATATGTGGTTGCGCTTCTCTTAAAGCTAAGCTTTTATTTTTTAGCAAACACGTGACTGGTACTTCCTTTTAAGTTTAGTTTCACTGAAGTATTTCCTTCTCGTCAAAAGACACTTTACGTAAAATTCGTTCAATGCATTCTTGCGAATTTTTTTTTGAAATTTGAACAACCCACCGTCAGCAATCATGTAAGTTGGGACATGTGCGCTGCACGTGGTATGAATTGAGACTACTGTATGTTAGTACATAGTAATATTAGGTTATGTTGCATTGACTCAATTAATGATTGTTTATTTTATTAATTGTAAGTTCTGGAAGTCATGGCGTCTCGTCAAACTTATAAAAATGACAATAAAAGTCTTAGAAAACAAAAGCGAGCACAACATAGGCTCGTACGAGATTTGAATATTAAGGCATCGGATTTGCCAACTCGGGTATGTTTAAAAGAATTGCGATATTCATGTTCTTTAATAAATGTCTAATTTTGTATAATATTTTCTAGTTCCTTATGGTTTGCAATGCTGGACTGGTTACAGGATTCAAAAGAGAAACTCTGGAAGATATCGTTGCTGATATATTGCCTGTCTGCAAGCTGTCCGAATGCAGTTTTGTCATGCCTCCAGGAAAATCTTACTGTTTCCTTGATATGGCTACTACACAGAATTCAAAGATTGTTTATGAGAAAGTTCATGGGTGTATGAAACTTCCTGGAAAGACAACACCATTCTATTTGTCTTACGTAGAATCTGGTATTAATCACATACTTTTCAATAATTCAATCATATACCTTTTTTCATAATAATAATCATCCCCCATTTTTATGGGAAGAGTTATTCTTCAGTGTGGACTAAGCACATTTATTTCCATAGTTCCTACAATAGAGGATGATTATATGAATGCTGCGTTACCTCCAGGACTAAAACTGATAGAGGAATTTGTTAGCGAGGAAGAAGAGGCATCTCTTCTTAATTCCTTAAATTGGAACCATAATGGTAAAACCAAATTACATAATATGTATACAATTTAATCAAGTTTTAAGTATAAAATAAAATAGTATAAAGCAACATTTGTTCTTCCAGACAAAACGTCCTCAGAATTAAAGCTACGTCAAGTTCAGCACTTTGGATTTGAATTTCAGTATAATACAAATCTTGTCGATCCTGAGCAGCCTATAGAAGCTATTCCAAAGAGTTATAATTATCTACAAAAACGATTTGAAGAGCATAATTGTGGTCACTATAAATATGATCAATTAACAGTCAACAAATATATGCCTGGACAAGGTATCTATATTATTTCGTACATTAAATGTCAATGTTTCTATATTTAACATTTAATTTTTTTTAGGAATTCCGACACATATTGATACTCATAGTCCCTTTGAAGATACAATTCTCTCCTTATCACTGGGATCAGCCTGTGTTATGAATTTCAAAAATGGCGATAAAAAAACTACAGTATTCCTTCCACCACGTTCCCTCTTAATAATGAGCGGCGAGGCACGTTATGTCTGGTCCCATGGAATCTGTCGAAGACACAATGATGTAATTAAGACAGAAAATGGCATCACCATAAGACCAAGAACTACTCGGACGTCGTTCACATTCAGAAAAGTTCGCAGAGGCGATTGTCAATGTGTCTTTCCAGAGTTTTGTGACTCGAAGCGCAAGAACGGTGCACAAAAAATTAACGAAAATATAGCACCCAGTCTCGAAGAATGCTACGTTCATCAGGTACAATATTTATAACATATATCTTCTAAAATTTCAATTATAAATATATCCCTTTATTATCATAGGTTTATGAAGAGATATCAGATCACTTTAGTGAAACTAGACATAAACAATGGCCTAATGTCAGTAAGTTTCTAGATACAATAGAAAAAGGAGGTTTATTACTGGACGTAGGTTGCGGAAATGGAAAGTACTTGGCTGGACGACCAGATATAATTAAAGTATTAAAAGCTACAAGAATATAATTGTATTAGTGTTAATGAAACCAATTCATATTGATCTACCTTAACAAAATCTAATTAAAGGTTGGCTGCGACAGGAGCAATTGTCTACTGGAAGTGTGCAGGATGCGAAGCTTTGAAGTGTACTTATCAGACTGTCTCTACCTTCCATGTAAAGATAATTTAGTAGATGCTGCTTTGAGTATCGCTGTTATTCATCATCTGTCAACGGAGTCAAGAAGGAAAAGGGCAATTGAGGAACTGGTTAGAATTCTACGACCTGGTGGCCGCTGTCTCATTTACGTTTGGGCTAAAGAACAGAGGAGACAATCTGTTCCGTCAACGTATTTAAAATTTTCTACCAGTCGCGACAAGAATATAGAGACAACAAAGTGCCACAAAGAGACAGCTCATGGAGTTATATTACCAATACATGAGAACCGAACGGAATTCGTTCATGGAGATGTTTTGGTACCTTGGAAGAGGAAAGATGGTGGAAATTTTTTGAGATTTTATCACGTCTTTCAAGAAGGAGAATTAGTTGAGCTTTGTCAAAGTATTGCTGATGCTAAAGTATGTGATGTTTATTATGATCAGGGAAATTGGTGTGTAATTTTAGAGAAGATTTAGATTATTTATAATAAATGAAGTAAATTCCATGCTTTTTTCTTTTAATTGAGTTTTCCTGTATAACTACATTCTATTACCCTGATTACGTACTGATTCAAATTAATGCAATTAAGTTGTAGTACATGTTTAATCCGCTAGATGTTCCTAGTTATGGGAAAAAATCAGTGGCGACATCTGCAACTACATGACTGTGTAAGGCCTGTTCGTTATATGAAATTCAAATAGAACGTGTAGAATGGTAATTTGAATGCTGTACATTAAAAGTTCTATTTAAGTGTATTGTGAACGTTTATTGAGAAGCATAAGATATCATGCGGCAAAACTCATTAGGACGTAAGTTGTCCTTAAATCCAGTGAGAGTTTCTTCTTTTGACAAAGAAGATAGAGATCCTACACGAAATGATGCTAGAAAGCCATCACTGGCAAAATCTAGAGCTTCTTCAACTTCTGGAGACTCTTCACACATTCCTAGACCACGAATAAGATCCATTGGTCCATCCATTGATGGACCTTCAAGAAAATCTAATTTAAAATTGCCAGGTATATGAAACTTATAAAACTCTTATCGTACTATCAGTACTATTTTTTTTTAATAATATTGTCATACTTCTTTTTATAGGTAAAGTTTCTATAAGCCATTATGGATCTGCAACTCCAAAAACTCCTTTAGCTACTTCTAATCGAACAACATTGGCTTTGCCATTGGGCAGTACAGTACGGGGACGCTCTCCATCAGCTGAAAGGGCCAGCGCACTAGGGGTAAAAGGAAGCAGGAAAGATACAAGACCTTTATCAGACAAAGGCTATCAAATGGAAATGCTACGCAGAATTGATGAATACATGCGGAATATTGAACAGTCTTGTCTACTTAATCCTAGTGGAAGTCTAAAGCCTATTAGTTTAAAGATGTTTGTTGATGTTGCAGCAATCCTGTTCAAACTTTTAGATGTGAAACCTATCCTCACTATGAGTAATTACATAGTGGAATTGCCGAACATAAGCAAGAAGGTTCATTATCCTGGCATAGTTAACAAATCCTGGTTAAAAACAGCTAATACTATGCACTCGTGGCCTCATGTTCTTGGTTTACTTTCCTGGCTAGTTGAGTTATGCGATGTGATGGACATAGCCACCTACAGTTTCCAAGTGAAGAACTTACCATACCATGGAGCAACAGCAACGGATTCCTTATTTAATAGAAGTACCTTTGAATCTATGTTGAATTGTTACACAGCTTGGAACGAAGACAAACTGGATGAAGAAGAAAAACTACTCAAAGAGCATTTCCAAGAATTAGCCAACCAGATAGGTGTCGACAACGAAAATATTCTGGCAGCACAAAATGAACTTAAAGTTGAACAAAAAAAATTAACAGAAGCCCAAAACAATAACAGAAGTGCTAATAAATGTACTGAAGAGTTAGAAGATACTTTAGCATCTTTGCAGGCTGATGAACTAAAAGTATTAGAGGACATCAGAGCTAAGGAAGAATACATAAACGAAAGCAAAAGAGATTTTCAACAAATGAAGTCAGAAATTGTAATTTTACAAAATGACATTCAGAAACACGAAGCTCGTAAACGCGAATTAGAAAAATTAATAGCAGACCAGCCAATGTCTGCCGCGGAACGCGATGATATTGTCGAGAGGTGTAGTGTAAGTCAAAATTATTTGCACCAGGTCGACGACCTATTAATGGACTTGGAAAAGACTATTTACTCACTGGACATCAAACTAGCATCCACAAGAAACAACCTGAACAAAGTTATCCTGGCTTATAATAAGGACATTGTTCTAAATTTCAATGCCAGCATTGACATCAATATAAATGATTTAATGATGCCTGAGAAGGAAATATCGAGTTCATTAATTTTTGAGGTTCTCAATGAAAAAAAAAGTTTTGCCGATCGTTTCAAGGAGCAATTGCACCAAAAATTACTCCTAACAGAAAATTCAATAGAGCAGCAGAGCGAGCATTACGAGGCTCTGCAGGAAAAACTGAAAAATTTAGAAACGGAGCATCAGGATGTAGTTGAGAATCTAAAGGAAAAAAAACTCCAGATTAAAAATATCAAAAAACAGTACAAGGAAGAGGAAGCATTTTTAAGAAAACAGATAAAGGACCTACAGGATAATATTAAGTTACTGCAAGAACCTTTTGCAGACCTTGAAAGTTATACAAAGGATCTAGAGGAATCCAGAGAGAAACTGGATGCTTTGGAAAGACGTAAAGCTTTTCTTGAGAGACAGGCCAGCCGATTTTTCACAGAATTCTTTCAAATAATCGCAGAACACAGAAACGAAGTAGCTCTCATTTTGAAAAGACTGCAGCAGGGATGTTAAAGATTATTCATTTTTAAAAAATCATGAAAGATATAAGTACCAAGTAGTATCTGTGCCTATTATTGTAAAATGTATGTATAAATTAATATTTTTCTACCAATAAATAAAAACTTTTATCAAATTTCTCATTCTACAGAGACTATGTGAAATTGCGAACGAAAGAGGAGTAAACAATGGCTGAGTAAGAAAGTACAAAAAGGAAGAGACTGGATTTTTACAATTTTCCTTTTTATTTCCCTTCCGATGACACTGGTGGACGGGTGTGAACAATAAGTCATTTTTTTATTGATTGTATTTTCCAGAACTCTCCTTCGCTAAGTTCGATTGTCAAATAAGAAATTAAAAAAAAAACAATACCAGACGAGAAAACATTCCTTTAAACTAAAACAACGCGCCCTCGGGTAAGATTCAAAATTGAAATCTCGAGTTGCAAGAATAAAAGTAAAATGGACATACACGTACCTATACAGGCGCGAAGCTAATCGACAAAACCAAAAAATCCAATTGGAAAAAGGCAGGAAAACAGTTTTCTGCGCCGAATCGCAGGACTTTCGAAAAGCACGAGAAGAGATTCTTTCTAATTTTCATCATCCTTTTTCTTTAGTTTATCTCTCTTTGTCCCGCACGCACAACAACAGTGTTATCGTCGCAATTGTCACTCGTGTACGCCGTTTCTCTCGCGTTACGCCACATGACACGTAATAAGAGTAGTAATTAGTATTTTAGTAGCAATAACGATATCCGAATTTAATCGTCCTCGCTTTTCGTTCCTCTTCTACCTTACGTTGCCGTTTATTTTTTTTGCAGGTTTTTTGAAAAGTTTATTTATCCCTAAGAGATATACAAAACAAACATTTTGCCATCGTAACTATCATTAATAAGTTCCCTAAGAGTAAACACAGGAAAAATTTCACTCTCTCATTTTCTTTCTCTCACATTCGTTCTCTATATTCTATTTCTCTCTCTCCCTCTCTCCTTATATATCTCGCTCGCCCTCCCTCTCTCGCTCTCGCTCTTGTCCCCTCAGTGTTCATCGTGTTGAATTCTCCTTGTGGTTTGCGGCTCCTTGAAACGCCACCAATGTCCAATACTCAATCCCATTTTTCAAAATCAATGCTTGTACCCAAAATTTGTTAATCTGCGGTATGAAAGTTGGTGTAGAAACTCGTACGATAAGTCCAGACACAGACGCCCTCCGTGAAAAATAGGTTAAAAAAAGAAGATAATTTATTTCAACAAGTATAAAAAAAGGAAAGAAGTCTATGGAATCTACTTTGACCCCCTTTTGATTTCCTACGGAATTAACGTCCGTCTCCTACATATTTTGTCTTCAAGTATAAACGCAGATATATCAAAGAGTCTCTCCTTCTCTTTCTCTCTCACGGATGCACTCATCACCTTCGTTATCCCATGAATATATTATTGGTGTGTTTCTGTGTTTCATATTGGACACGTAACATTTTTGTCTTATAACTTTTTATTTTTTATTTCATTCTCATTTTCTTTGTCTTCAATTAATAATTATAAGACGCTCACGCGCACACAAAACAATTCTCCATCGGAAACCTCTCATTTGATATTACACCGCCATTAATAGTGCCTAGAACCGAGCTACAATACACGTTTTCATGCTTTTTTTTTAGTTTTCTCATTTTTTCCCTATATCCTCCTCTTATCTCCAGATTATCAAGGGGATACACGTTCGCTCGCTCTCAATCTCTCTCCCTCTCACTCTCTCGCAATCCTTATTACTCTTTGCCTTATCTACGCTCTCATTCCATTTTTTTGTTCTTCCTATCGCCCACATTCTCTCTCTCTCTTTCTCTCTCGTCACTCTCTTACTCTCTAACGCCTAGTATTTCTAACTAGCTCGCGCCTCTCCTCGCCAACGTTATATCTTTTCTTTTCTATCTCATGACAACGCATTCCTCGTCGAATCTTTTTCACTTTTCTTTTTCTTCTCTAAAATTATGCACATCCGGCAAATCAGTATTAAAATATTACAATTTTATATTTTACAGTTAATGTGTTGTCTCTTCCGAAGGAACGCCCTCCGAAGCGGATCGCTTTGTTTTGTGTCAATGAAGCTCAAGTAGTAGTGTTTTCAAAATGTGCATCCTGGCATGGCATAAATGGCATAAATGGCCAGTCATCGTCGCATAAATATTTCAACTGTTCTTTCTCGTCTCGTTACGATGTTGTGCTTGTCGTTGCTTCTCATTTTCTTTCTCTCTGTATATTGTCCCAGTATGTAACGGTCGATAAGGTAGGTAGGTGGGTGAGGTTTGTGGAGATTCTTAACTTAATGGCGACAATTAAAATTAAAAAAAAGTGTCTCGCTTTTATTCATCTCTGTTTACACGCATTTTTTGGTGTACGCGAAAAAAAATGTTGCGCGATTAACATTCTAATACAGAGAAAGTATCGAAGAGTCGCGGCGCGTCTTTATGTTCTGTGTCCGTATGCATATATATATATATATATATATATATACATAGTATGTATATAGCGTACACTATGACAAAACAAAATTCGCACGGTGAAACAGCCCAGCGTGTTGGTTACTCGAATTCGCATCGGAGGCAAAATTAAATAAAACATACATATCAAAACACGGTTTGCGAATCCGAAGAATTGTACCATTTAATCTGCCGTTGTTGATTGAATCTCGTCGGCCTCTTGGAACCAGTGAGTCAAGGTTTAATAAAAAAAAAAAGTTCAAAACAAAAATAACGAAAATTAATACAATACATCAGGACACGTTTATCTTTCATGAGAATTACAGTTTTAATTAAATCTTTGAAAAAAAAAACACGTTTTACCAACTCATCACCCACCGTACGGGGAAAACAAAACGAAAAATAGAGAGTGCATTGGTTTTCCGGCGATACCAAGTAACAACCTTTTGGACTACTTTAATTTTTTGTCAATTTGTCCCAGTGTCGAGAATGTGATTGTGGTACGAGATTTGAAAAATTGAAATAAACAGGGTAAAATTACAACCTTTGAAGACCGATAAAGCGCAACAATACCTAAGAGAAGTACATTCGTTAATTGATTAAACAAAAGGTAAAGTAAATACAGTCATAATGAAAGGATAATACGAATATCCATCGTTGGTGATCAAATATTAGGTCTATATGCAGGTACGCGTGAAAAGTTCTAGTACTGAGAGTACGACAGAGTGCCGATAAACTCGTGGGGAATATCCAGGGTGATCGCGACACGAGGACAAAGAGACATTGAAATGAAGAAACTACTAATGCTAATAAAAAATAATAATTAACTGTGTCGTATTATGTACTAAACGCAATGTATGTAATGTATCTATTTAAATGTCTATATGGTCCTAGCGTGAACGAAGACCATCGCGAGTCGTATTTAATATAATGGACAATTGGTTGTCGGCGTTGACTAAGCGACGAAGTCGCTAGTCTCGAGTCGCGTCCTTCGGAGAGCATGAGAGAAGGATCGGAGAGAGATAATAAATTGGAGGTGTTTTTGCTTAGTTTTCATTTGTTTCAAGCGATTTGCGCGGCCCTGCGCTCTCGACCGGACATTAAAACGTAGACCGGGCACCTATAGTCGCTTTCCCTAACCTATGCCACTTTACATATGTTACTATTTAATCATCAATATGTTAAAATACAAATGCCACTCACACGGCTGCTCTCAGGCAAATAGTCATTAATACTCAACCTTTCTCTCTGTTTCTTTCATTCCCGTTAAAACTCTTTTTCTCCCACTCTTGCTCTCTTCATATCTTTCTCTCTCTTTCTCTCTCTCTCTCTCTCTCTCTCTCTCTCTCTCTCTCTCTCTCTCTCTCTCTCTCTCTCTCTTTCATTTCTATTTCACCAGCTTTCTCTCTCTCTATAGCGCGCTCTCTCCCATCTTCTCCCTTCCTTACTTACACTCTCCCACGTGCTCTCTATGTCACTTTCATACATTCTCCTTTCACGCAATTAAACTCATTCTCACACGTTATACACTCGCACACAATCCATTTTGTTGTCTCCATTAAAATAACGCGTGTTACTCGTAGAATCGCAGGTTCTGGGTTTTGGGGGGGAGGGGGGGATACAGAGGTAGTGCAGTGATAGCGATAGAATGAACGGGGTAATTCAGGAAGCAATGAAAGGAATAACAGGATCCTGGATATCTTCATTCCGTGTTAAACGCTCAGGAAATGACGACAGAGCCGCGGAC